CTGGGATCTGGGGAAGAGGTCATTTCAAGATAAGAGTGAACATTTTTTTATGGCTGATCCAACCTTTATGTGACTCTCAAATCACAATGCAAGTCTCAGTTCCTTCTAAGTTGTGTTTTTGTGCTGATTTGTGCTCTGCTGAAAACCACAATGATGCCATATCTCCAGAGGCAGGTTTTCTATATCAACTTTTCCCATTTAGGGAAGGGAGATGATGATAAGTTAATGTTGGACACTGCAGAATAGTTGCAGTGACTATTGTTGTGAATCAGGTTGTCAAGTGTCTGAGTTGGAGTCTTGGTGCTATATGAAGGCATCCAACCATAACATGTAGGGATTTGATAAATTTTAAATTCTATTTTAAATAATTTGATCCAAGTATGAGATATTTTAAATTGCTTGCTTTATAAATTTTTAGTTGCTTGTTTTGAATAATGGATGGAATTAATAAAAGGTTTCAATTAGATAAGTATTTACCTTTGAATCATAGATGGTTCCATGTCACAGCTTTGTAATTCAGTTGAAAAAGTAAACTTCAAATTTGTAAAATGGAAACCTATACAGTAAGAGATTATAATTTTTGAAATTTGATGGTTCTATTTTTTGGTAATGTAATCTGAATACTAGCTATCTTTAAAATATTCAAAATACTGAATAAAATAAGATAGTCATCCTTTTAAATGGTTGGGTGAGTCCACATGGATGTCAGGGATTTCACCAGAAATAAAAAGCAACAGCAGAAACAGGATGTGGCCTTCTTTCACTTTGAATTTGAGATTTGAATTTACATGCTGTAGTTGGGAATCTTTAAGTGGAGAAATCAACATAAAATTTCTTGGGGGAAGTAAATGCAAACTTGTTTTTGGAAAGATACATCTTCCATCCTGGAGGTAAAGGATTCACATAGAAAGTGCCCTGCCCAGAATGGATCCAAAATTCAATATTACAAAGCTCATGAGGTAATCCACCCTAAATGTGAGAAGCAAGTCTGACAAACAGCAGAATTAGAACACTTGTCCTCCTGGGAAATTCAACTATGATTATCCCTCAGCATTTCTCAAAAAAACTACATCTAAAATGATTGAAGATATAAAATGGCATTGAAAACACAAGAAACTAAATGTATGTTGTTATAGATGGAATGCACAATATATATATAGTGTAAATGTACAGTGCTCTAGTAGTTTAGAGAATGAAGAAAATATTGATGTCATATCTGAATTTGATGCTAAAATGTTGAAAAGAGGAAATTTTAGTTGGAGGGATATTACTTCTTTCAAGTTTACAAATCAGTGGCACCATAGCAACCTGAATAATGAATGTCCTATAAAATGCCCCATAAAAATAATGAATGTCCTACAACATATTAGCTTCTGAGGGTGCATTTTAAATTGAAATCAAGACCAACACAGATATCATAATAACATGCAGTCTTGTCTTTATTCAGAATAGCTAAGAGAGATGCCAATTGTAAATTAGATTATATGAAACATCCCAGATATTGCCAAGCAACACACCTCTTGAAAGCATAGCTAGAATACTGCAAAACTATCTCATAATAAGGCAGCTGAATTCAGAATAGTTAAAATCACATTCAAGATACAGAATTCGTTTTGTTTGCTCAATGATAACACATTCTGTATAAATCACTGAACCTGAAATGTGCTAGGTTTAGTAAAGCAAATAAAGAATTGCTGTATTTCACTAGAAGGATGTGATATGATGGGGATTAAATGCTATCTGCTTTAGATTTGATCTCAATTAATAAAAATGGCTGTAACATAGATTACCGAGGAAATTTAATTTTTCCCAAGGATGATGAACTTCACTGAAAACACCTCCCCCACTTTTTTCTTTTTAAGTCATCAATATATAAACTATAAGGCCAATGTTTTCTCATCCTTGCCAGTCGCTTTTAATCTGGTGTGCTGAGGCCAATAGGCTGTCAGGTGTCAACTTTCTGAAGATCATATTCCATGTGGGAAAATGTGCAGTGCTCTTGTGGTAGAAAGGGAACTGTTTATTCCATGCATTATGTACTGGTTTTAGCCTGCTTATGAACTTAATATCTTTTCACAAACTGGTGGCTGACTCACTTTTTGCCAAAGCTCCTTTGTCAGAGTAGAATGAAATATAAAAGCTGTCAACTAAATTTTGACAGTAATAACTACGTGTAACCACAGTCATAAATTCCTCTTTTTGTGGTTCTGGATCTAATCTTTCATCTAAACTCTCTACTATATTGTAGTTATTCATGAAAGTCTATTTTGCCTATTTTCATGCAGCCTACCATTTAGTGTAATGAGTACATAATGTAGCTATTTGCAATAGGACTTGAGATTTCTCACATTGTTTCTTTCCCATTGTTCATTCTCCTATACTAACCGCCTACCTACTATCAGCCTGGGTGAAGGAGGAACAGAAAGAAGCCATAATCCAAACCTTTGTCTATAAAAGAATGGTCACCCTGAGAGTTGTTATAATCTTTTCCACTTTTTTATCTGCTAAATCAAGCTGCAGAGTGAAATGCATATAGTTCAAAACAGAAAAATAGTAATAAAAATATCAGATATTATCTACAGTTCTCTGTACTACCAGCTCTAGTCCACTAAATTTCTGCATTTGAGTCTTAATATGTATTTAAGTTTTGCTGTGGGTTTTAGTTGAATTGATTGGTTTTTAAAAATCTGTGTAGATTTTAATAGCGATGCAGAAGTTCTAGTAACAAAAACATTTAGATTTGTACAGAGGTTATGCCCATTGTGGTTAAGCTCAATAAATGTAATATGCCCTCCCCTACCCCTCAGGTGTTATCATCTTTGAATTTCCAACTTTATACTGTGAAAATGACTATAATTTTTTTTTTAAGATTTATTTATTTATGCATACAAGACCTGGAGTGTAGGCTGGGGGGGGGGGCAGGGTGAGAGGATTCACCAGAAGCAGAGTGGGGAGCAGAACAGGTAAATTGACTGAAATACACTGCTGAGGGGAGCAGCAGGAGAGACAGGAGAGGTCTACTGTGCCATGTGGGTTAGCTCCCTGGCCTGGGATTGCAGTGGCTGCAGATAGCTTCGTAGTGCTGAGACTTAACCCCTTGTACCACCAGGGAGGCCAAAATGTTTATTTTTTTGAATGATGAAATTTAACTGATTACATTTGTTTTTTTCCGTGTGTGTCAACTGTGAAAAATAATGTGTTCAATGTAAAATGTCAAGCAGTTACTAGATTGAGAAAAATATTCCTAAAGTATGAGGTATAGATTTTTCATACACTGGGTTCACATATATTAGAAACTATGAAACCAAGTACAATGACTGTAAATTAAGAAGGGGACTTAATATATATTGGTTATATACATTTCTGCCCTTTCCAGGAAAAAAAAATCAGTAAAGATTCTGCATAACAAAATTGCTGCCTTTAACCTTAGAATTTCTTTGAAGAAAACATTGTCCTCCAAATATTTTATAATCTTGATTGGAGTTAAATAGACATGTTTATGGACCAGAATTTTGTATCTTACTGTAAGTAATAAAGCCTCCTTGTTTAGAAGTATATTAATTTTTGTATAATTAGTTTTAATAATGATTGTCTAATTAGTTTAAGAATAATGATTGTTTTCTCAGTTTACGAGATATAACCAGTAATTTTTCAATACATATTGAAATTATTTAAACCTGTCAAAAATTTTAATGACTATAAATGTGCAAATTACTGTGTCTATGTGTGTGTGTAAAGGGACACATAGCTACTTAAAATTTTGGTGAAGTTTGTGTGTGTGTTTTCATACTTAGCATGAATTTATAAGCATATATCTTTTCTTGGCTCATAGTATTAATAATCATGTAGTAATTCATGTAAGAAGTATGGAAATGATTATGATACAAAGAACAAGAGTAAATGATCACTGACTTTAGGACACAAGATCTTTTTATATAATAGATGTTGGACATTCAATATATTAGAATGTCAAGACTTCATCAAAGAAAAGACTAGGAAATCATTACGGAAGGGTGTCTAAGTACAACAAGTTGTTAACAACTGCTGGACTTTTTTGTCCCATTATGTAGTTTCTGTGTGGTTAGGCATTCCTTACTTCTGTGCCCCTGTCTGTTAAATGAATCTGATAATAGTGCCAGCAACTCATGAGATCTGCTAAGGCTTAGATCATCTCTATGCAGTTCATTTTGAAATACTAGAACTGTTCTCAGATGCCAATCTAGGTGGCCAGTTGCTTCCGTATAAGAATGTTCATATTGCTGGAATATGAAGTTCTTCTTTGTTGTCTAATTGAGAGCTTGTCATTAAGGATGGAAAAATATGGTGCGGAGGGGAGGTTTTGAGAGCTTTTTGAGTTGCTTTGTTTCCTTTTAAAAGTCAAATATTAGAATATTGTCTTTTTGTGTTATGTTCAATAAGTTCTGTGGGCACATGTATATGTCAACTTTATACTACAATGGTATTTGCGTTGAACATATATGGATATAATTTCATTGCTTTTAATTCTTAAAGAAAAATTTATGAGCACATTTAGATATTTAAGGAAAGATTGATAGGACTTTATTTCATTTTTCTCTCAAAGTATAGTAATTATTTTATGACTAAAACACAGAGAGTAGATCAACAATTAGGAATAATGGTCATCTTTTATGACATCAGGATATAACAGATATTTTTGTTTATTTGATAGCGCTGTCTTTAGAAGTTATAAAAGGCGAATAGAGGCTTAAAAAGACGTATGATGGGCAGGAATGGGGTAGGGTGTAACTAATACGGCCAGGTAAGACGCTGCCATGCATTACTAATGAGACACTCAGCCAGAAGGTTACCTGCAAGTTCTAAAGCATCAGATGCTGTATGTAGTTAGAAAGGCTGGGAAAAATTCCTTTTAGAATTACTTTATTCCAAGTTACAAAGTTTTAAGAATTTGTGCACTCTATAAACAGGCACATTTCTAAGATGCCATCATAATACAGACCAACAATTTGGTTACATTTCAGGGAGAAAGTCTACACTGAAATGAACATTGTGAGAAAACTCAATTTAATGATACCTTGGAGTATAATCTTGCTTCATATACTGCTGTTTTCATTACAAGGTAAGGACATATTTTTCCCCTTCCTTTTATTATCTTTTATTTTCTCTTGTAACTGAGAGGAATAGGTTACCATTATACTGTAAAGCACTTTGAAGGCATTAAAATGGATATATAATAAATGACACCCAGCTCATCTTTTTGAAAATTCTTAATAACAAAGATAATTTGTGCCATTCAGTTTCTATTTTTTAAAATGTTTTATATTTTTAAAAATATCATGCTTTTATTGTGATACATAAATGCCAGAAGAAGGTGTGATTCTTTTTCTTTTCTAATAAAAGGGTAAAATATTTGTGTGATTTAAACATTTGAATTTTGATAATAAAGAGAATTTGAGAAATTAAATTTTCTGCATGTGACCAATTCACAGAATGGTATATCCATGTTTTAAATATGACCTTAATATTTGGGGCTAAGAATTGATTTTCAATTATTTTTATAGCTATTTTATTCATACACTAATTTTCGTAAAATGTTTTTATAGAGAAAGCATTTGCTTACATTCAGTTATTATTTTTTAATTCCTGAAAAGGGCTGTGTATTTTTGGAGCTCGTGGAAGAAGTAGGAGAAATTACTCTAGTGTAAAAGACTAAGAAGTCATATCTTCTAATTCTAGTAGTGACTGAAACTTCAAGGAGGTAATGTCACAGACTGTGGAGAGTTGGAGGGGACTCTGGAGAAGAACTTGTCCTGAACTATCATTTTGCGAGAGTTTGGTATCTTGCTTATTATACCTGACTTTTACTAAGTGGTAGGACTAATACTTAAATTTGGGTCTCTGACTCCAAGTCTAGTGATTGTTCCACTGTATGATGTCTCTGCGTAAATCAGGGTATACTGATCCTTCTTTTTGGATTACCAGTCACTAGGGAATTTGTCTCTTAGGGAATTTGCTGGTCAAAAATCTAGAAAATGCAAAATAACCAACAGTAAAACCCAATCTGAATTTTAGATTGTAGGTAAAATGATCTGTCTAATAACAAGAATAAATGACCAAAATATTTGGATAATTTTTCTCATTCTTTTCATACATATATTTACCTCTGACAGGATATACTTGTGCATCATCCATCTTGACGGGAACATCAAAGTGAGTAATGCTTTTAATATTCTCTAAACAAAGCCAATGGGAGTAAGTAAAGCTCAGCAAATAATTGTTTCTGCTTTTTCTTTAAAAAAAAAAACAGTGTTTTACAAAATTAGTATATGAAATGCTGTTCTTTAAAAACATTCCTGGAAGTTAAATATTATCAGACGCTTGGTTCCTTATTTATGAAACAGAAATATTTCCTTTCAATTACAAGAGGAGTTCTTGGTGATGACCAATGACTATAGATTTTGAAGGAGGTATTACTTTTATTTCAAAGATTTGTAAAGAAGTCATACTCAGTAATTCCCCCTTTTATGTCATTATTAATATACATTTTTGATTGCAAATGGGCTGTACTCTTAACAGTAAAACACTTGTAATGATAAAAATGAATAATGGTTTTAGCAATAAAAAAATGAAAATAATTTTTGGACTACTCTATTTTAATGAAAAGTAGAATTTAACTTACCATTTGATTTTGATAAATCACAGGTTGATATACTTACATTAATGCTACTTTTTATGGCATGGAAGGGAGAGAATTATTATGTTTGAGAAAAGTGAACGTGATCTTGGCAAACACCAGTTTTATGAAGTCATGCGGCGAAAATATCTTGTGTGTTGGTGCTACAGTGTTACACTATTTTGTTTATTTCTCTAGCTTCCTAAAATTCAGTTTACATCAGAGACTGGAGAGATTTGGGGACATTCCCGAATTTTGTAAAATGATACAGCGCCACTGCTCAAATCTAAACCCTCCAAAAGGGGGAGGGGGGCTTTTTAAATGTTAAACCAAGAAAGACCTCTTTGATAAAGTGATGGAAATCAGGAGGAAAACACCAGCTCTCTCTTGGGAAAAGCTTGTTCAGGTTGCCTAGGGGCCTTTGACTATACAAGTTCTTTTTGTTTTCTTCCAGAAACGGGTTTAATGAAAATCGACAGAAAAGAGCTCTTTTAGCAGCACAGGTAGGTTATGCCTCAGGTGGAGAGAGAGGCAGGGATATAACCCATTCTGCTTCAGGACTCTGCTGTCACTTCAACAATGAAACCTTTGTGGAGGGGAATACAATGTTACAAACAAGTCAGGAGAGAGGAGGAAGAGGCAAAGTAACTTCTCTACTGCTTTTCTGCAACCCTCAAGTTCATGCTTAGTTAACATTTACTTGTTCAAACTTAAAATACGTTTTTCCTATTCCCTTCGGTTACCAACGGATAGACTCACAGCGTTTGTGGGTGGATTTGATCTCATCTACATGCTAGAAAGCTTTAATTGGTTTAAAGATTAAACACAATATCAGGACAGTGCCAATGGAACACATACAAGTAAAAGAGATAAAGTGTACATGATCTCAGTTAAGTACTGCAAAAGAACATCAGAGATGTCCCGACAGCTTTTATGACTGATAAATCTAAATTACAGGCACTTCTGGAGAGGTGACATTCATTCATTCATTCATTCATTCATTCATTCATTTAAAAAAGATTTATTTATTTATTTGTTTGTTTGTTTATTTATACAAGCACTGGGCACAGTCAGAAGCGCAGGAGGGTGAGAGAATTCACCAGAGCCAGAGCGGGGAGCAGAGCAGGCAGAAGGACCGAAGTACACTGCTGAGGGGAGCAGTGGGCGGCAGGAGGGGTCTGCATGCCATGTGTGACCCTCCTCAGGTGGCCGGGGAGCAGCCGGGGATCGAACCGAACCGGTGCTGCAGAGGCTGCGGGCAGCTTCGCAACCCAGCACTCAACCACTGCGCCACCGGGAAGGCCCTATTTATTTATTTTTTAAGGGGTAGGGTAACACTGAATTTAAGGAGACCTTTTTGCTCAGAGTTCTTTATATAAAGGATATTGGATGACATTATTACAATATCTTCAAACTATGATTGGCATATTCAAATGAGTGGGTTCATAAAAGTATTTATAAAAGTTTTTAAAATAGAGAATCATAATTTAATGAAGGCATTTCTTTGGAAAGTAATATGATTCAAGTATTTATGTAGCAAATACCTTATATATTCAAGGAGGTTTTTGTTAAATGCAGATTTGCCACAAATTTCTACTAACAGCTAAAATGGATGCCTGAATTTGTATATTTCATGATGCTAATAAAAGAGAATTGAAGACAGATTTGATATGCTGTTGTGACAATTTAGAAGCCAGAACTAATTTATTCTTTAAAGAGTGGAGCTCTTTTTTGGTACCAGATTGGGCAAAGGATTGTCTCTGGAATGAAAATGCTTTTTTTGTTTTTTGTTAAAAAAGAATGTGTCATGTTCTGAAGTACTTATGTGTCATGTGATGTTGTTAAAATGATTTTTCTCTGTACATGTTTGCCAGTAGACCATATTAATCACAAAAAGACATCATAATGACTCAGTAGAAAATCTTATTTTGAGAAAGACTGACTTCTGGTGAACCCACCAGATTGAAGAATCTGTGAAATATACCTCAAAGTTGTCACATGCAACAAATGGAATATTCTCCATTTAGATGGCTTTAGAATTTGTGTGATTTACCCCAAAGGAGTTACATCAATACCTCCCCTCTGTTAATGAGTGAGGAACACTCTTTGTTTTGATTTCCCTTTCAGAGAGAATAAAGAGCAGGATAAATGAACTTCTACTTTCTCTAGCTAAGAGAACATGTATCAAAATCATTTATTCTCTGAACATGTTATTAAAGCAGGGATGTTAGAGATGGGCATGAGGTTGTAATTGTGTGTTGTACAGTTTAGGACTAAAATTTCATCTGTTATAAGGATATTCTTATCTGCAGAACATTGATGGGTAGATACCTGTGTGAGTAAGGATTCAAAAATATGTTTTCAGTGAGATAAACAATGAGCAAAGAAAGGATAGACACGTCTGTCAATGGCATGTGTGTGTGGCTGCGATTTCTTATCTAAAGACTCTGTTTTTCAGTGCTTCTCACTCTCCTATGTAGATGTAATCAGCAAGGAGGAATAATGGGCTGTCCTTTTTATCAGTTACATGGATATATACTCCCATGGCATGAAATTTTTTTTTTTGCATTTGCATTAAATTTAAAAAACTCTTCTTCTGAGCCAAGACATAGATGTAGAAGTAGGTAATTTATTTCGAAAGTGCCTGAGGGAGACAAGATCCTGAGGAAGAGGGAATGGGGAAAAGTCAATATAGTATATTAATGAAGGGCTTCTTGCTTTGGGCATCTGGGGCTCAGTGTTGTTGGGGACCTTTTGAGGAGCTGTGTAGCATGTATTTTAGAATTTTTTCTCCAAGGCATGGGGGGAAGCTTTCTCTTATTGATTGAGGGCAGCCTCTACGGAACTTATTGAAGACATTCCCTGTGGTTTGTCTAGCTTGAAAACTGGCCACAGGTAGAGAGAGGGAGAAGCTAGTGCTAATGTGGAGGGTCTCAATGTGCATAAAAATCCAGATGCAGGTGAATTCCAAGATGGACTGAGAGGATATGAGATGAGAAATTGATATCAGGATCTTAGCTATTTATTTTTTTAATTTTTACAGGTTAAAAGTTTTACTTTTTAAATAATTAAAAATATTTTTAATTAAAACTTTAAATTTTTACTTTTTAAATTTTATTGGATTACCATTGGTAATAATATTATATAAATTTTAGGAGCACCTTGATATGTTTACACCTCTCTATTATTCCTCCCACCTCCTTCCCACATCCATCTGGTAACCGCCACATTTTGTTATTTTTTTTATTTAAGATTTATTTATTTATGCATACAAGAGCTGAGGTATAGGCCATAGATGCAGGGGGGGGGGCGGTTAGAGGATTCACCAGAGACAAAGTGGGGAGCAGAACAGGCAGACGAACTGAAATACACTGCAGAGGCGAGCAGTGGGCGAGACAGGAGAGGTCTGCTGCGCCATGTGTGTTTCTCTCTGGCCGGCCTGGGATTGAACTCGTGCTGCAGAGGCTGTGGATTGCTTCATAGTGTGGTGCTTAACCCCTTGCGCCACCCGGGAGGCCCACCACCATGTTTTTCATAGAGTTTTTAGGAGTTATTTTTGTTGTGATTTGTTCATTTGTTTTGGTTATGTATATTTCATCTTAAAGTTTTATCTGGGTTGCTTGGATTAATAGAAATCTCTTTATTGCTCATCATCTATGTGTGAGGTGCGATGCTGGAATCTTTTTATTGTTTGAACTGTCGTAACTGTGTAGTAAGAAGGTTCCACTGTTTCCATTTAACAGATGAGTCAAAGGGGCCGCTAAGAGTTTAGGAAATATGCTAAGAGTAAGTAATGGCAGAATCAGAACTCTAATCCAGGTACATTTGAATCTACAATTAATGCTTTTAACCACTACCCTCAAGTGACTTGGATGCTATAAAAAGCTATAGTTAAATGTCCTATGAATTTTAAAATGTCAACTCTTTGGAAACTGAGGATGACATCTACAGCAGTAGTCGAAGTCTCTGTGGATGGTATCTTCCAAGGGGAGGGTGCTAAGAGGGGCCATCGCTGTCCGCGTGTCCTTAGCCCCTTGCATTTTCTTGAGGCCCGTCTGTATTTGGAAGTATTAGATAACTACTGCTACTCCTGTAGGCAGAAAATTTAGTTATGTAAAGATTCGGCTCCAGACAGGCTTTCTTCCAAGGAGCGCAGGAAGACAGAAGAACTATGTTGAGAGAACACACAGAACTGTCAAAGTCACATAAGAGGCAAAACTATACCTTAAAGTCATGTCTTCTAGCCACAACCCCAGAGGAGCTCTTTCTGTTTGAGTTTGCCTTAATAACCCAAGGAAATACAGACCCCATCGATAATTTCCATTTTTATAGCTATTTTCTAGGTTTTCCAATTTGTATGTTAGGCTAGAACTAAATAAATATCTTGTATTCTTATTTCTTCTTTCAAAGTTTGAAGCAACTTCTCCAAGATATTTCTTTCATGAAGCTGTCAATTGGGGTGAGAGCAAAATAAAAGGTCAGTGCTACATCTGTATTTTTGTATTCACTTTCTCAAAAGACCTCTGTAGTGGGATAGATTGAATGAACTCTTTACTGCTTTCATATAACTCATGAAGGAAACTGTACCAGGTGGTAATAACACTTAGTAATAGTTTAAGTTCACTTCGTAAAGAAATTTGAATTATCTTGGCCATAACTAGGACTCACACATACAAAGCTGATAAACTATGAATAGGACGGGGTATCAGTCCTTTTTTCTGTATCAATTACTTGTTCCTTGATTCTTTGACATAGCTATTTTTGCATACCAGTTTCCTGTTTCCTTTAAACAGAATGCTGATGGTAGTTTGAAATTTAACTCAAGTTTTTGTTGCATTGAAAATAACAAGAAATCCCGCTGGTCTTAGCCTGATACTTATTTTCAGGAGAATAAACAAGTCTTGTACATACATTTTTGAAGGAGATGGATTTGTTTTTCTGAATATTTAGACACTTATTCATTGGAAAAATGTAAGATTATAATAAAAGATAAAATTTAAAGGTAGATTTGCCTGTAGGGGAAGGAACTGCATTTAAATTTATGAAAAGCTTTTTTTTTAAACCTATATTTATGATCAAAGTTGAAACAGCTCATTTTTCCTCACTGAAGATTGACTTAGAGATTTGTACCTTTAAATGTAAAGAGACATTTTAGATCAATGAATCTTAAGGTAGAAGGGTTTTTAAATTCTTGCCTCGGCAGAACTGTGATTAAATTATCACAGTTAGAAAAGTGCCTTTCGTGACCTTACAGTATTCCAGAGAGGTCCAATTTTTAATACTTTATCTGACTCAAAGGTGTCCTTAGTTCTCTCGATGTGTTCCTTAAATCCCTAGTGCTAAATTTTTGCTAGTTGCCTTTTACTCTGTCATTATTAGAGAAAAGTTTTTCACTGTTCTTCATTTGCATTTTTAAAAACTCAATCAGGAACGCATAGTTTTCTGTGTTTTCATGTCAACATAATCCTTTGAGGTGATTTTTTTTTTTTTTACAGGAAAGAAAAAATATCTTTGGTGATGGCTAGCAGTGACTATAGCTTCTGCCCCACTGATATTAAGTAGGGGTCAGAAAGAATGCGTCATTTATAATAGAGCCTAAAGACTAAGACACAAACTTCAAATGAAATGTTTAATCATTCTCTTCAAAAAATGGGAGTTTCCTTTTGAGTTTTCAACTCTGCCTGATTGGTGGAGCTAATAATGATGGGGCTATTGTTTAATATAGCACTTGCTCCCGGAGAGGGAGCTGATGGATGCAGTGGGTGCCAAACTCTGTCAACAGAATCATCTGCACTTGTGTATTTCTGGTTCTCATCATGTGGGACAGGGATTCCTTACATGGGAACTTGACCTTTAAATTGCCCGAAAGAGGCTAACCTTTGCTCTCAGGCTAGTTTGAGATGTGAAAGCCTGTCTTTCTTGTTTCACAGCACACATAATGAAATGGACTAGATAGAGATTTGACGGATTTAATTTTTAATTCATCAAGCAAGAGACCCAGGATTCTGTTTGAGTTAAAAAGTGATTATAGTTAGTCCAAGCTAAATCATGACATATTATGTTTATAAGAACTGATGCAGGCCAGCAGATAACTTATTTTTGTTTCTCAGGTTCTTGCCCTCATGAATGCCTTAACGGGGCTTTCTGTTCTAAGACTGGTACATGTGACTGTCAAATATTTCAGGCACTTGGGACAAGGTGCCAGATTGGTAAGTTTCAGGGATACTTATGAGAGAATTATGAGCTGCTGAAGAAAAGCATTAAGATGTAACTTGCTACATCAGTGTTCATCCATTTGGAGTTGGAAAAATTGTTTTGTATGTTACGTACAGTGCTCACCATTCATTCTCAATAATTTAGAAATGATTTAAAAGAAAGTAGAATGAACTCTTTCCTTTCTTATTCATCTTTACTATTTCAAATACTATTTTGTCAAATGTTTTTCCCACTTTAGATGGTACTATACCTTTAAAATGAGGTTCTCATTCATTTCTCTTTTGCTTTATACATACATATATATATATATATATATATATATATATATACAGATTATCCCATCGAATAATGTTAATTGAGGTAAAGTAGGTTTTTGTATCTTTTTTTGTATGTTTTGTATCTCTTTGCAGATTATAGATTCTAACTTCTACAAATTATACTTTCACACTCTGCCCTCCACCAGTGACCCAACAATCCTCTACCAAGAGCCATTGGGCCCTTCACTCCCCCACTTCCACTCCACTAGCCTTCCACTCTGTTGCCTCAGTTTTGCAGTCAGAATTTATTATTGGTTTGGTTTTGAGACCTGAAACATATTGAGGAAAAAAATAGGTAAAATACTCCACAACACTGACTCTTTTGCTTTATAAATTAGAATTGCTATTAGAAGGGACTGATTCTTCCTGGCTTTGAATTAATTGGACATTCCATACATAAAAATAATAATGGTCACTGAAAACTCTTCAAAGGCTGAGGATTCCCAAAACTATTTTTATGCATGGTGTCTAACATAGGATCCTATGTCAATAATGATCAGTAAATATTGTTTAATGAGTGCTTACTCAGTGTCGGCAAGACCAAGAATTGCATTTGTGACATGGGCTCTGAAGGAAAGTACAAGAATTTATGAAAATATACAGCAGAGGTAAGCTGTACTGTCAGAGAAGACTGCCTGAGGAATGAGCCACTCTGTGTGGGTTTTCTTACTGAAAAGGCCAAAGGTAGTCAAAGCTAATAAATTTAGGTAAAAATTATAAAAAGATGAATTGTGTCTTACCTTTATGCTCCTGTAGAGTATATTAAAATGCTTTGTATATACTGAGTGGTCTGTAAATATTAATCTCCATAATTTTCTAAAAGGGATGGTCTTGAAAATCTAAATAGACTAGAAGTCTATCCAGAAGGGTAGGAAAGGGAGGTAGGCATGAAGATAACAGCAGATGAAGTTGTATGATGTCACATGAACATTGTTTGAAATTTGGTCAGTGTGAGGTCATGAATTCCTCAGTTCCAGCAAACTTTGGATGACAAATACTCCCACATATAGGAATTTTTTTTTAGATCAGTGATTATTTTTCTTTGTGGATGCTATTAAGATATTTTCGAACAAATTAAGAAGACTAGAACACTTAACTGTTATCTATGCTCATTTTTAGGACTTTTAGTGCTGGCATTTCTTCCTTTTCTGAGTCACTGTATTTTCTTTATGCCTGTTACCTTTTACCTTATCCTCCTCTCTTTCAGAGCCTTGCTTTGGAAGCAAAAATTAAGGAAGTTTCTAGCATACATTTTTCCTTTAAAATAACATAGAGACCGTGTTTTATTTCCGGGGTGTTTAATAGTTTTGAAAGCAGCTAGAAATGTTATGTTACTTATTGCTTCCTGTGATAAAGACCACCAAAGAAGAAAATGTTTATTGTGATTAAAAAAAAAAAACAACACATAGAATCACTTTCCATGACTGAACCTTGTTAGAAATCAGTATAGTCTGTATTATTCCACTAAATACTATCTTATTTCTTTTCAGTGCCAAACATGGGCAATGGTAGAGATGGGATTTGCAAAACCTGGGGCCAGTACCACTTTGAAACATTTGATGGCATCTATTATTACTTCCCAGGAAACTGTTCTTACATTTTTGCAAAGGACTGTGATAATTTGGAGCCTCGGTACACTGTATGGGTAGGTGATTTTAGAATATAATTAACTTAAAATTTAATTCTGGCAAAGAGTATGCTTTTAAAATACTGGGAAACTAAATGAAAATATATAATAATCATAGCATGAGTACTTTGGGCTGTGACTGGGGAAGGAGACGTGCTGGTCCCTAGTGTGACAGGCCACATTTGCAACTGTATGGAATACAGTTCTGTTGAGATGGGGCCTAGGATTAGGAGGAGAAGGGCTTGGGGTCATGTGGGAAGGATTTATAGGCAATTCATAAATGTCTGTCATGAATGTCATAATATCAATACCAGTTCTTATCTCCATTCTTCAGATTTATTTGATCAGTTTGAGGAGTGGATGGATTTAGACACCAGACATATTATTCATATTACATGTTTCCTTCTTGACACTTCCATTATGATGCCCACCCGGATTGATTTTTAAGAGCAACAACCCTCAGTGTGAGCATAGGAATTATATGAACACTGCCCAGTAGATTTGAAGACAGGCAGCTAATTACTAGGTAGATTGTTACGTATGATTGAGCTCAGAGAGTTAGTTCTTAGTTGCAGAATTCTTGATGCAAAAATATTCCTAGGAGACATCTTAAAAGGTAAGTGGCAGAGTGACTCATAGAAATAAGGAAGCCAGGAATCTCCTCCCCTGCTCAGTATCTTGCCGTGAATTTCAAGTTGTCTCAAAATACAACCAGGAAACTGCTGAGCACTCCAGTCTGGAAACTGAACTCTCCATAGCTTTATTTTCTGCATGTCTGTTTTCTTTTTCTCTTTCTAATTATGTTAGAGTTGCCTAAATTATCTTCTCTCTTCAGGTGAGGCAAATATTAAATAGTAGGCTGTGAATCTTTTTGAGAGCAACAAATGGTTTTGACCCAGAAAGAAAATGAAGTCTACTGAAAGTTAACTTATGGGGCACAAGGATAAAGAATTGGAGGTGTCTGTAGATTGGGGAGTTAGTAGAATGCATCTTTAGGGCTACTTGCAGGGCTACTGTTCTCAGTCATTTATGTCCTCTTCTCCTTCATTTTCTTACTGGGTTTATCACTGATACGCCTTCTGACCCTCTCATTGAAATGTTCTTGTTCAGTGTCTGACCCTTTTGAGGACTAAGGTGTCAGCTTAATAGATAATATATCTATCACACACAGTGCTGTACTGTGCTTCCAGAGCTAATAGATAGTGTTTTTACTTGGCCTTGTGAGGGATTTGCTTTCAAATCCACTTATTCAAAATGTCATCTTTGCTGTGATTATAGAAACAGTTTACTTCTTTAGCAAAAAAATTTGAAAAATTCAGAAAAACATAAGACACCACATTTTTTAGATTTTTTATTCAAGAGTTATCATTGCTAATGGCATATTTCCTTCTAGAATTTCTCTCTGGATTTTGTACACATTTGTAATATTGAAATCATACTATGTATAATTTTCTGTCCTCTCTTTTTACCTAATATTATATTAAGAACTTTCTTCAATGTCAGATATTTTTGATAAACACATTTTATTGTTCCAACTAATTAAATACTCAAATTATTCAATTATGCTCTATTTTTGAGATTTATTTTTTTAAGATTTATTTATTTATGCATACAAAAACTGGGGCACAGGCCAGAGGTGCAGGGGTATGAGGATTCACCAGTGACAGAGTGGGGAGCAGAACAGGCAGACGGACTGAAATACATTGCTAAGGGGAACAGTGGGTGAGACAGGAGAGGTCTGCTGTGCCATTGTTAGCTCCCTGGCAGGCTGGGGATTGAACTCGTGCTGCAGTGGCTGTGGATAGCTTCACAGGACAGTGCTTAACCCCTTGTGCCACCAGGGAGGACTTATTTTTGAGATTTAGATCATAAAATATTTTCAGCTTTTTAAAAATAAATATTGATGAAATATTTGTTTATATATGTTTAGACGCCTGGTTATTTTTTCTTCTGTAAATTAAATTTTATTTTTGTAATAAAACTAGACATAGTTTAAAAGATTGTAGCCAGGTATACAAACAAAAAAAAAATAGTACTTTCTTCAGCAGGGATTGGACTACCTAAAAGAAAGATGTCAACTTATTTTTTTGACAACTTCAACTATTTTCACATCAACTTTTCACATCATCTATTTCACATCAACTCTGGCTTTTATCTTTTGTGGCAAAACATGCTCTTATTTCCTTATTTTTCAAAATAAGCTTAATCTGTTCATTCCTGCTATGGAAATAGAGGAATCATCTCTGTTGTATCTCTTTCCTGCCCCTAACACACTCCTTACCTTCTTTTAGTAGAATTATATCACCAGCTAAATTATATCATTAGTTAAATTATGTGTTTTCTTTTTACATTATTGTCATTTATATATTATACATCTATGAGAAATATCTTCCCTTTATCCTCAGGATTCTGAGATTTTATGATTCTGAGATTTTTGTTTCATTATTATCCTATTATGTACTTGGAGGGACCTTTCAGACTTTATAAATCTTTCAGTTTGGAGTAATGTTTCTTTCTTAATTTCCTCTTTTTTAGAAATTCTATTCAGATATCAGAACTCCTGAACTGAGTGATTGATTTCTTAATTTTCTCATTGATTCTCCCATATTGATTTTATTTTTTGTTATATGTTTGAGAGTTTTTTTTCCAATTCTTAGATATTTATCCCCTAGCCATTCTATTCAGTTGTATTTCTCCTATCATATTATTAATATCCAGTTATTTATTTTATTCTTCGAAATTCATTTTAACAGTATTTTATTCTTATTTCTTGAATGACATATATTCTTATCTTTCAGAAGATATTAATTAAAGATTGTGGAAGTCTATTTTTCTTAATGTTTTGATTCCATTGATTTCCTTTGATTTATTTATATGGTGTCTTTCATGTTGCTTTCGTCAAGTGACTAGTGACCCATAGATGTTTGCTCACATTTGAGAATTAGGTTCTGAAAAGTGATTGGAAGCTCTGAATATACAATGGGACTTGATCGCCTAGTAGGAGATTGATCTGAGGCCCTCAGGTTTCACTAGATAAAGCCTTATATATTAGTTTCTGTATCTCCTTTTTTCATTTTGTTTCTCTAAATTAGAGTCCACCAATATCTTGTCTGGTGTCAGATGCTAGATTCTTGGAAATTGTGACTACTTTAGGCATAATACTATTTTGCACATGCTACTTCCTTTGTCTAGAATGGTCTTCTAGATATCCATAGGATGTGATCTTACACTGTTTTTATCATGTCACTTTCCCAGTGAGACTTTCATTGACCTCTTAATCTAAAATCGTCCTCCTGGTGGCACAAGAGGTTAAGAACCACACTATGAAGCAATCTGCAGCCTCTGCAGCACGAATTCGATCCTTGCTAGCCAGGGAGCAATCCACATGGCGCAGCAGACCTCTCCTGTCTCGCCCACTGCTCCCCTCAACAGTGTATTTCAGTCAGTCTGCCTGTTCTGCTCCCCACTCTGTCTCTGGTGAATCCTCTCACCCCCTGCATCTCTGGCCTGTACTCCAGCTCTTGTATGCATAAATAAATCTTTAAAAAAATAAAATAAATAAAATAAAATTGTCTTCCTACCCCTTGAAACATTCTATTTCACTGCTTAATGTTTATCCTTGCTGTCATATTAATGTTCAATCTTTAAACTTTTTTTTTAAGATTTATTTGTTTATGCATACAAGAGCTGGGGTACAGCCCAGAGATGTGGGGGGTCAGAGGATCCAGCAGAGACAGGGTAGGGAATAGAACAGGCAGACTGACTGAAATACACTGCTGAGGGGAGCAGCGGGTAAGACAGGAGAGGTCTGCCTCGCCATGGCCATGCGGTTTTCTCCCTGGCCAGCTGGGGATCAAACTTGTGCTGCAGAGTCTGTGGATTGCTTCATAGTGCGGTGCTTAACCCCTTGTGCCACCAGGGAGGCCCCAATCTTTAAACTTTAATTGTTAAAATTTTTTATTATATTACATTTTTTTGAGGTAACATTGGTTTACAGCACCTCCTATGATTCAGAGGTATAGATTCACACCTCTTCAGATGTATGTTAGCACATTACACCCACCAGCAATGCGAATATTGGCTTAGTAAACATTGAATTCTTGCATTGTTAAACATAGATCTTAGCACTGATGATTTTCCTGATCACTTTTATGCTTAGAAAGTTCTTTTCCATCTACACGGTTTTCTATATTGTCTTTCAGTTATTCTATGGTTTCATCTTTTATACTTCACTTTTTGGACCTTCTGAAATGAATTTTGGTAGGGTAAGATAATCTATTTTTCTCCTTTCTTCCTTTCTCCTGTTCTTTTTTCATCTTTTCTTCTTTATTTTCATTTTTCTATTACTTGTAAACTACTTTTCCCATAATTTTTTTTTCAGAAGTAAGCTATCATCCCTAAAGTATCTAGACAATTTTTTTAGTAATTATCTAACCAGTAAAATGTGAACATGAAAATTATACATGTATGTCTTTGTTGTTTTGCTATCAGAACTATTTTTGCTGCAATACATACCATGTAGTTTTGGAGTATTAACGTACAGCATTTACAGATTCAGGTGATTTTAAAATAAACTGGATTAGCATGGGCTTTATGAAGTTATTTCTGTTGTCTAATATCTGAGGCAAATATTTTTTTTCTTGAAAATTCTAAATGTATTTATGTTTTGTAAGTGGTCATGGGACTAATGGTGGTATGGAGCTATAGACATACATTATAGTTTCAAATGAAGGCATATATATGTGTTGTTGCTTCCTATATTTCTTTTGTTTTTCCTCCCTTTAAGGTTCATAATAGCCCTAGGTGCCTTGGTTCAGTGTATTATTGTTATCGGTCAATCAGCTTGTTCTTTTCAGACCAAGAGGAAATTCGAATTTATGGTCATGAAATAAAAAAGGATGGAATCAGGTAAGATATACTGAATGATATGATGATAACAGTAGCATAGGTTAATAAAATTTCCAAACTGGAAGTGAATTGTGGAGAGTAAGAAAAGAAGATTTCTTTTCAATAGTAGCCTTAAAGTGATATTGCGCAGATATCAAAACTTTAATACTTTGTGAGGCTGACTAGGTAGCCACAGAACTCATCAGTTTAACTTTGAATAGGTAGCGATTGGGTTACCATGTCTTTTTCTTTTTCTGTTGTATTATTTTGACAATTGTTGACAATGGTTGACAGTGGTTGACAATGGTTTACAATATCACATATTGTAAATTCAGGCATAGGTTCATACTTTTATCACATCTCTTCCTAAGAGATTCAGAAGAAATCTTCATAGTTCAACTCTTCAATTATTTTTGCCATTAAAAAACATCTTTTCTTTTCCTACTTCCCCTACCTTTTATTTTTTTTGAAGGGTAAACTTAAACTAAAACTTTATCACTGAAAGTCCTTCTCATCTCTGTGAATGAGGTTTGGATGTCACTTAAGATTTTTCATTAGTCTTTTGACAAAGATTCCCAAGTCCATAGATGACTAAACTTGAATAGATCAGAGAAGGACCTGCTTCTGGTTTCCTATCTGCTAAGGAGAATTTTGGGGAAGGAGATGTTTATTAATTTGTAAATGGTTTGTACATTTTGAACTAGGAATGCTATGGAATAATCTACCTTCCTATCTAAATAATTACAGAGATACTCAATTTTAAATATTTCATGGCTGAGTTACGTCAGGAAAAGTAAATTATGGGATGGAATGAAACTATTCATCATCCAGAACTCACTGGCAAGTGTTTGAACCCTGAGGATTCTTTCCAGCATAGCCAGGGTAGCCAGACACTAAATCAGGCTTTGTCAGAGTGAACAGCTCTGGGTAGCCCCTCTGCCTTTGTGTTTATTTTCTTGACCAGTTGGGGGCTTAGCCATTTGAATGGGAAGATATGCATTTCCATAAATGTACATATATGTGTATATGTGTGTCTTTGTCTTGGGGCCAAATTTATATGGTAATTTGGATTTTTTAATAGACCTTTTCACTGATTTATTAGTAAAATACTTAATACTAATTAGTATAATATTAAAAAACAATTTCAAAATAGGTTATATGCATAAATGTAATTAAAGATCATATATATGTAAACATTTCACAAAGTTAAATTATGTATTAACCTGTGAAATTGATTATGGTAAATAATGATGAAACTAAGTTTTTATAGCTAACAAATTCATTTGACATGCCTCACCTTCGTTCTTAATGAATAAAATTAAATTTTTAAAAATAATGTAAAAGAGAAGTCAAAGATGTTATTTTAAATGAACCCTATAGGGGTATTTGTTTAATCAACAAGCTCAATTTCCATACCACTCAATGGAATGTGTTGTTAGGGTAAAGTCAAAAATAGGGAATTTGGAAATAAGATTTCCAAAATGTTCCTTGTTGAATTGTATGAGCATGGAATAAATTTGATTCATTTTGCAAGGTGAAAGCAATAAGCTTTATTTTTGTTCAATATTGATTAAGATATAGAGAAATAACTAAAATATTATAATTAATTTAGCTTTCTTTTGAGTTATTAGAAACTGTTATTCATCTTCAGGATGTGGTTTCAATTAATATATCAAAAACAATATTTATATTTAAAAATAAATGAAGTAATGAATAAATGTCAGATTAAAATTATGTACAATAATTGTTGGAAATGTTAAAGACAGCACTGATTGTAAAACTCCCTTTTTATGTTTAATAGTATTGAAAAAATAACATTTTATGACATATATTGATGAAAAAGAATTTTGGACATTTGGTGTTTACATAGTATGGCTTTTATAATTCTCCTACATACAATTTCTTATCTGGGATTTTGGGTAACATAATTGGCACTTAAAAAAATTATTGTTTTACAAAATAGTAATGCCACACAAGATTTTCAGGAATACTGGTCCTTTGTTAAATCTAGGACAAAATATTTAGTTTTAGCTCAGAGAAAATATTTACTTGAGGATTTCTATTTGCGTGATAGAAAGAAGGTGTTCTTACTATTCAGTTAATTAATTTGCTTATACTATCACAGTAACTGGCCCTCATCCTAACTCAGAACAGGTGCTAGAGAAATTTTTCCCATAATGAAATCAAATGTGTAAGACTCTGTATATTGTGCTTTACCTCACTGGTTGTTAGTTTTCTCACCCGTGAAATGAAGGGTATTGGTACATAGGAACCCATGAATAATTTTCAGCTTTAATTTCTGTATTCATTTTAATTTGCATTGTTAATGTTTCCTGCCTAGGTTGTATGCAGTGTTGCTTAGACTTATGGGAGATTATTTAATTTTAGCTACTAATCCCCATCTTTATCAGCATCCCTTTTATGTGGTAGACCTCAGGATAATCATATTTTATTTTTAAAAATTGAGTAACTAATCAAATTTACTGGAAAGGAGATAAGTGTCAAATCAGCAAACAAAAAGTCCCCAAACAGAATAACTAGACCTCCATATAAATAGCATCCCATTGCTATGAAGTATCCTTTTAAAACATGATTCACAGTTTTCAAATACAGTTTTCATAAACTTGCAGGGTCATATTGACTTTTACTATGGATTTTGTATGTACTTTTACTCATATGACTTCTACTTTTTTATTAATCATATTGACTTTTATTATGTATTTTGTATGATTCTTGTTTATAATTTTTAGTAAGAATAAATTATGGCAGTAGTTAGCCTCTTTTTATTTATTTTCCTATGTAAACTTGATTTACTTTCCTGTTCTTACAACTAGTTTTTTGTAAAAAATTATCTGTAGACATCTTTGTGCAAATGGTTACAGATATTTTGAATTATTTCTTTGGGGACTATCCTTTTGTGAATGTGAGTATATTTACTTTTATAGTTTTTGTGTCACATAGCTATGTTCTTCTTGGAAAGGAGCTCACTAATTTGAAGTTTTTTGGAGAAGTGTATGTTTATATGTTAATCTCCTGCCTCACATTACAGTTAATGATTTTCAAGTGGCATGACTGTCTTAATAAAAATGATTTCCCCCTTATATTTCTGTCATTATTTTCACCTGCCCATTTCTCTAATACTCTGCATATTCTTGTAAAGATGTTCTGGTAACTGAATGACCAATTGTTTCATTTTCTTCAGTTCTCCCATTTCTTCTACTTTCTGTGCATGTGCACATGCTTGTGGAAAATGGAACCAGTAAATAATGGATCAGGAATTTAAATATTCAATGTGACCATTGTTTAAATATTTCAAATTGTGTCCAATTTGAAAGTTATGAATTTAACTCCTATGCAATACTGACAAAGGATTTTATACTCGTAGTAGTGTTCTTTGTAGCATTGAACATGTAAGTTGTAATTAATCCTGTTTAGATATTTTCATTTGGGAAGCAGTAACTTAAACCAAAGTGAGATTTTGTGTACAGTAGCTCTATTTCCTTACCATTACACTTAAAATTAAACAAAATTGGAACACAAGCAAAATTTCTATGTAGTTTCACCATTGTCCTCACTTCCAAATTGTTAAGTAGCAGTTTCATATTATCTTGAACTCACTAGATAAAAAAATACATCAAAGCTCTTAGATTCTATGTCGACAAGGTTATTTTCCAGATTTTCAAAAATCACTGATGTTTATCAGAGGTGTACTTTGGTTTGTTGAAAGAAGCATACAATTATAAATCTAAATTAGAATGGGGAAACAGGTATCCTTTTGGTCTTTTTTTTTTTTTAAGATTTATTTATTTATTTATACAAGCACTGGGTACAGTCAGAAGCGCGGGAGGGTGAGAGAATTCACCAGAGCCAGAGCAGGGAACAGAACAAGCAGACTGACGAAACACACTGCTGAGGGGAGCAGCGGGCACGGCAGGAGAGGGCTACATGCCACGTGGGACCCTTGCTGGCAGCAGGGGATTGAATTGGCGCTGCAGAGGCTGTGGGCAGCTTTGCAGCCCAGCATTCAACCGCTGCGGCACCAGGGGAGACCCCTTTCAGTCATCTTTTTATTTCCATATTGAAATCCTCAAAAAGGTTTAGATTTCCTATAAGAACTATAATTTATTCAAAAATTTTGAGCAATAATTCTGTTTAATCTAGTTATCATAGTCACTTTATCACTTTAAGAAAGAAATAGAACCTCTATAATTGATCCTTCTTCATAATTCTTAGGCAGTCTTTGTTCTATTTTTTCAAGCTTAACATTGCCTCAGACAATTGGACAGGTGTTTATTGAGAAACTAGCTGACTACATCCTGGTGAAAACAGCCTTTGGCTTTTCTTTGGCATGGGATGGTATATCTGGAATTTACCTCAAACTGTCTGCAGAGCATAAAGGAAAATCTTGCGGCCTGTGTGGAAACTACAATGCCATTCAGTCTGATGATTTCATCATTCAGCAAGGTAAGTGGAGCAGAAGAAATGTATGGTTTACTTCTGAAGTCTTCTTTTTTAACCTGATCAAGCTGCTTGTACCCAGAGTGGCACATCCTGTCCCAGGCTGAGTAGCATTGGTTACTATCCTTTCCCCTTTTCTTGATTTTTAGTGAAACTTGAGTAGGAAAATATTTTGAAAACTGTGTTGTTATTTACATTTGCTAAATTAAGATACTGGACTTACTCATGTAACAAATATTGAGCATTAACTTTGTGTCAGGCACTGTTGTAGGCTTAAATGAGAAATGTAAGTGAAAGTGTTCAAAGGTCTGTGAGTTTAGTGCGGATGTACAATGTTGGGAGCTTCATGAAATGGTGTTTTGTGTCCACTTGGGTATTTACAATGATATAATTCACAAACTCTGAATCCCGAGACTGTATCAGCAAGTAAGGATTTGGACTCGGGCAGTGACAATCAGATAGTAGTGATTGGTTTCTTTTTCTTTTGTATCAAAGTTTTACAAAATAAATAGTACTTTGAGTTGGTTCTCAGTGTAAAGTAAGAAAGGACTGCTATCAGTAACTTTCCCGGGACATCTGGGGAATACAGTATGGAGGTCAGAATAGAAAATAGTCTTTGCTCTTCAAGATAGGAAGACTCAGATTAGGGATTTAAGTTACACGTCAGACAGACTTTGATAATCTTGACCACAAAATGATTGTTCACAGTGAGATGACTAAGGCAACAAGCAAAAGGCTGTCAGTGGATTTTAAGAGGGAGAAGACAGGCAGGAGGTAATTGGACTAATTTATAGCTGAATTGACAGAAATGAAGGACTAGATAAGATGTGGGAGAACCTGAAGAGAGATTTTAGCTTTTTCACAGTTTTATTTGGTGCACAGAATAGAGCAGTGATAAATTTTTTTTTAAAATTTTAAAAAAAAGCTAATTTACAACAATTTATGGAGGTGTTAGAATCTGCCTTTGACTTTCTCCTATGCTGTACAATGCAAGAAAATGTCTAAAGATGAACTATGTTACATTTAACTTTAAGATGCCTAGTCTTTTCTTGAAATTTGTCCTATACTTTGCTGATTAGATAAATCTTTTGAGGCAATAAAGTGTAATAGTTTGAGAGAATTTCACTGAACACATAGTTTCTTAACATGGACTACAATTACACATTCTGTGAGTTTCTGCTCATTCTTCAAGGATGACTTCACAAAGAAATGAGGCTTTTCAGAATTTCTGTGGATAAAGAAAGATTTTAATTTGTGGTCTAGTTGAAACTCTGGTTCCATAATTCCTATCTATACCTAACTATACAGTAGCGCAGAAGTCCTGGTTTACCCTATTTTGCCCAGCATGAAGATTAATAGTGTCTCCCTTTGACACTTGAAAGTGTCCCAATACAGACAATAAATTACTGTATTTTTATCACATTTTACAGAAAACATTTTGGTTTAGCAGGCTCCCAGAACTTAAATTGATATGGATTTTTTTTGGAGGATACTCCTTTATTTTTTTTTAAATTTATTTTTATATTCCCCATACAATTGCACCCCCCTTATTTTGCCTCATAATAACCAGCTTTTGTGACTTGTTGATTCAGGCAATGTAGTAAAAATAACTGAATATGTTGTTAAATGTTGGAATTGAAATGAATTCCAAGAGATTGTAAAATCTGCACATAAATAGTGAAACAAATGGGTCTTTACAAAATATTTTTGTTTTTGCAGACTTAAAGAATGATGTTTTAAAATGAAATATAACTATACATTTATTTAAAAAAGAATGTCAGTTTTCCCATTTTTATTATTTATTTATTTATTTTAAAGATTTATTTATTTATGCATACAATAACTGGGGTACAGGCCAGAGGTGAGGGGGATGAAAGGATTCACCAGAGACAGAGTGGAGAGCAGAACAGATTGATTGAAATACAAGTAATGAGAGGAGCAGTGGGCGAGTCAGGAGAGGTCTGCTGCACCATGTGGGTATCTCCCTGGCTGGGGACCTAACTCATGCTGCAGTGGCTGGGGATAGCTTCATAGTGCTGCCTCTTAACCTCTTGTGCCATAGGGAGGCCCAGTTTTTCCATTTTTAAATAAGCCAGACTAGGCCCATGTTTGTTTCAATATGTAACATTTCTAACAATATGGGAGATAATGAAGTTGACCATCTATGTTTGAAAGCTCTCTAGGATTCTAACCATCTATTTAATAAATATTGCAAACTCCCTTGCCTTTATTCATTCACTTAAACAGTGAATGTAATTTCAGCACCTGCTATATGCAAGAACTAAACTAAGGATACAGCAATAGAGCAGCTTAGAGAAGATCTCTCCCATTCATATATCAATAGTATGTGTTATAATAGAAGACAAAATAAGTAAAGAAACAAATTATAATTGAAAGCTCTACATATCATGAAAAATAAAATGGGGAAAGGAGATTAAAAGTGAGAATAGTGTGTGTTTGGTGACAGTTCAGGTCATGTGACAGGGGAGGTCTTTCTGAAGAGGTCACATTAAACAGATGCTTTAATAAGTGAGGAGCGGAAGGAAGATTGGCATCAAGAGTGATTTTAAAAGAGGAGGAGCATGAGCAAATGCTCTGAGCTGTGAATAAGCTTGAGTGAAGAACAGTATTAATCCAGTATAACTGTGGTAGGTTGAGCAAGAGTAGGAGCAGAAGGTATATGAGAGTGGGGCGAGGTGGGGTGAATGGAGGAGGTTGGCAATTAGGGAAGTCCATCCCTGGGTCAAAACCTTCTTATAGACCAAATCCCTCAACTTCCTGCTGGTTGGTTGTAGTACTCATTTTCTTCCAACTTGATATGAGAAAGTGAAGAAACATTTGACTTGAGATTTTTTGATTCTAGTGGTTCAGGAGACCGTCTGAGATGGAACTCTCAGATGCCATCTTGTTTTGGCTCTGCTAAATACATGCGATTTGAGATTCAGCCTTTGTATGAATGTGCAGCAGGATTAATTTTCATGTCAGGCCCTGAACTTGTTCTCAGGCCAGGTGCTGAGACAATTTAAGTTTAATTCGGAGCCAAGTTTCTGGATACTCACCACTCACTGTCTCTTTGTTGTTCCCTGCATATTAGTTCTTGAATCTTGCCTCAGAGTAATGCTGGGGTAGTGTCAGGATTCTTAACCATCTGTCCTGAGCATGTTTAGAAACACTATTGCTCATTTTCAGATGAACTGAATTCACTTTTTTAGTTTTCTTTTCTCCGGGTGTCTTTTCCGTTCTTTTTTTTTTTTTTTTTTTAAATTTATTTTATTTATTTATTTATTTATTTATTTTTTTAATTAATAAATTTTATTTTTATATTCCCCATACAATTGCAATCCCCCCATTCCGTTCTTTCCAGTCCTGTTTGGTTGTTCTCTGGAACCTCACTGAGGGCTCAACAAAAAATTTTAAAATGTATGCCCCCTAATTGAAACAGCAGTTACAGAAAATGTTGACTAATGTCAAATATAATAAGAGGGCTGTCTGAAAAATTTCATACCAGACTTTACTTATGTTTCTTAGTTCTTTCATATTTCTTATCCTGCTGCAAGAATTGAATGCTGGCTAATTAGTGCTTTTCTGGTGCATATGCTGTATCACTCACTGTCCAGTCCTTCCCCATGTTTCAATGAAGTCTCCTTTTAATTCCAAAGATATTAACTTTTATTTGGTTAATTTGCTTAACATTTTTACTATATTAAAGTAATGTTATAGTCTAATGTCATTGGTAATAGTAAAGCTGTTGAGTTTAACTTGACCAGGAAGTTTAGGTTGACAAATTGTGTGTTTATGAAAAGTGATACTATGATACTTATTTTTATGTATGTTTTTGGGTGAAATAGAGGACTACACAGAAGACATTGCAATGTTTGCAAATAGTTGGTTGGTGCAAACTGCAGATGACACCAAATGTGTACCAACACCCTCAGATTTTCCAAATCCATGTTCCAGTGGAATGCCAGCATTTGAGGTAAATTCAGTGTGAAGAATTTGGGCATGTTGGGGCTAACACATACATATATTATTTATACATTTAACATGAAGCCTTTTGAGAGCAAATAATGCATAGTTGAAAACTATTAAATTCAGGAAATATAATTGCAAACAGTAATAAATTTAAAACTATTTTGGAAGTAGTAAATGTAATAAATTTCATAAAAGTAGTACTCATTATGAAAATACAAAGTTAGACAAAGTTTGGTTAAATTTTATAAGCTTGAATAACCCTGCCTTTTCTGGTAAGAACAGAGAGTCTTGCAAATAGATCATTAGGAAAAAAATAAAAGAGACTACACACCTATCATTAAGTGTGTTCTGTTGATGGTTATCTTTTTCTTGACAGGCAATCTTCTTCAAGTGTCAGATACTGTTGCAGTTTCCCTTTTTGAGCTGCCATGAATATATAGATCCATATTTATATATTGCCAGCTGTGTTAATGATCTTTGCAAGTAAGTGAGGTGATTGTTTGCAGTAAAATTTTCTTTGTCCAAAATCACATCTCTGACTTAGCCATTTCAGTGACTCACACACAAAATATAATGGGAAATGCAAAAGCCAAACTGTTAAATGCAAATTTGCACTTGTTAAAATGTGAATTTTAACAGCTATTCCAAACTTCCTGCTTATCAGGTAGAGTCTAAATGGTATATGGGAACTTTGTTGTAAAACACCAGACTGATTTTGGGTAGAGTAAAACCATTTTAATGGCCTTTAGGATATGATATTAAGAGGTTAAAGTTTATCAGGGTGAGAACAAAGAGAAAAAGTCAAGGTAGTATGAATTTGTATTATTATTAAATATCCTACTTGAACTGAATGGATATTATTACAAAAATAATGAATATAATAATGATATTTTCCTGATAGTAAAATAAGGTTATTTGGGATATTTGTTAATTTTGAGTAGAGTGCAGTTCAACCTTTACATAGTTGTATTGTGTGATAATTTTGGGAATTTCTTAGCTAATGCAGGATCTTGGCAAGAACTTCCTCTCTGCCTAAAATATTGGGTACTATCACCTACTCTGTATTATAACATCTGTTTCTTGTTTGGTTTTATTTTTTATTTTAACATTACATTGTTATGTCTCTATTCTGTAACTCAGTCTCTTGATCACTTACTTAGCCATGTATATGGAATTAAAAATTGTTCTTCCACAATGAGTCATGCTTAGACCATTCTCTAGTAGTCTTTTCACTTGATTAATCATTATTATCCTCAGCATCCACTTCTTAAGTCACTGAGATGAAGTACCATTTGGCACATCCAGAATCATTCTCCATTTATGTATTAGGATATTGCTTGGCTGTTTCAATTGCCAAAGTATCAGTGGCTTAAATTAAATTGAATGTTTATAGTTCTTTCACATGAAGTCCAAGCTGGTAAGTGGTCCTGGATGCATACCATGTGTCCACGCCATTAGTTTTCCAGTGACTCAGAGATATTATTGGTATGTTATAACCCAGAGTCCAGAGTAATACACTCAATTTCATGGTCAAAACTGGTTCAGCATTATGATATCCATAAAGACAAAAGGAAGTAGAAGGCTCACAGCATTTTAAAGGATATGACCTGAAAGTTTCATGCACACTTTGTATAGAGCTTAGACACATGGCCCCACCTAGATACAAGATTGGGAAGTTTTGCCTTTGCTTGGTAGCCATATGCCCAGTAAGAACTATGTGCTTCTACTATTGAAAAGAAGAGGCAACTGGGCATCAAAAAAATTTCTGCCATGTCAACTTCACCCCAAATTTCATCATTGAGAAACTAACATTTTTATCTTTTAAAATTTTCATATCTTTAGGCTTTGGGTTTTGAAAATGTGTTCCTTTCTCCAGGGTAAATCATAGCAGGATAGAGAAACACATTTTATTTGTTGAAATCGGCTGACCCCTTAAGAGATATATTTGAAGTAGAGAGGCCAGGTTTGGGGACAGAGCAAGCCTGTAATACCAAAAAGAAGGGCATTATAATCAAGCAAGTGAGCATGATAAAATGGAAGTGAGAAGTTATCTGAGTCAGCCTTTCCCTCCCCTTAATATTTCACCTGGGGTTAGACTCACTGACATTATTTCTCTGCTAAAGGAAATTCTCTTTGTTATCTATATAAGGTAAATTTCATGGTCAAATCATAGGGATCCTGTATCAAGAAAATGAAATTGCAGATCAGCTGGAGATTAATTTCCTGGGTGGATTGATTATGTAAATTCAGTACACATTTTCTGAGTTATCTATACTGTCATAATTTGGAGAAACAGAAACAATTCAGACATGTTTCCTGTCCTGGGAACTCATTCTATTGAGACAGAGAGATGTGTCTCCAGGATTGGCAGGAGCTCTAACTGAAAAGTGCAGTGGATATGGAGGAGAGAACAATTAGCTCTATCAGGAAGGAGTGTCTGTGAAGGTTCTTTAGAGGAGATGACATGTGAGATGTAATGCCCTTCTTTTATATTTCTAAGAATGCTAATCCTAACAGCAAGGAGATGGTTGTGGTTTAAAAGCAGGTATTCTCTACTGCTCATTTTCCTGATTAAAATTAACATCCAACATAGAAAAATGAGCTTATTTCCCCCTTAGTAAATTGGTATAATAATTTCTTTTGCCTGTTTGTTGAAACATTTTTTTAAGATTTATTTATTTATGCATACAAGAATGGGGGTGTAAGCCAGAGGTGTGGGTGGTGAGAGGATTCACCAGAGAGTGGGGAGCAGAACAGGCAGATTGACCAAAGTACACTGCTGAGGGGAGCAGCGGGTGAGATAGGAGAGGTCTGCTGTGCCATGTCGGTTGCTCCCTGGCCAGCTGGGGATCAAATTCATGCTGCAGTGGCTGTGGATAGCTTGATAGCACTGTCTTTAACCTCTGTGCCACAAGGGAGGCCCTGTTTGTTGAAACTTTTTGAGTGATGCCATTTAGAAGGTGCCTGACAGGTTCCTAAGTATGTATGTAGATACTTTAATAGTGGTAGCTATTTTAATAATAATTTTGTTGGCTTGAAAAGCCAACATTCAGTAACTGTCTTAACTTTCAACACCACTATTAATTGTAGGAAACAATTCACATTTTAAGGTAAATCATAAACATAATGACTTTCCAGGAATTCAACAATTTTAGCTTACCTGTCCTTCAGAGACTTTCTTGTTTGGAGATTTTGGACTATTTTCTGAGCTCGAAGTTAACATGCCCAGTCCTTGTTTCCTTTGAAAGCTCAGTTAATTGGACCAGATAAGCTCCATGACTCCAATTTCAGTAGCACAAGATAAGAGCAATTTGAGATGGGTGGCTTTAACAATAGATACTGAAAATGCTAAAGTTCACAAAATACAACATTCTTAAGGTCATTATCTTGTAAGATATTTAACTATTCAATTTTGAGTTTTAATCAGGTTGAAAAACAAGCCCACCACCTTATTAGAAACCCTGCTTATTTTATAATCTGCTTTGGGATTTGGCAGACCTTTTATATTTGTTTGGGGGAACTTCTAAGGTGATTATAAGAAAATGATTAGAGATTATTTACTCTTGGCAAGATTATAAAAGCAGCTTGCTTTAGTAATTTAAACTTGAAAGAACTTTAAACTTGAAATACTTAAAACTTTTAAATCATTTTTTTAAAAGATTTATTTATTTATTTATTTATTTATTTATTTATTTATTTATTTATTTATTTATTTATTTATTTATACAAGCACTGGGTACAGTCAGAAGTGCAGGAGAGGCAGAGAATTCACCAGAGTCAGAGCTGGGAACAGAACAGGCAGACTGATGAAAATACACTGCTGAGGGGAGCAGCGGGAGGCAGGAGAGGTCTGCGCACCATGTGGGACCCTCGACAGTTGGCCGGGGATCGAACCGGCGCTGCAGAGGCTGCGGGCAGCTTCGCAACCCAGCGCTCAACCACTGCGCCACCGGGGAGCCCCTCTTTTAAATCTTAAATGCTATTTTTGCGCTCTCTTAAAAGTGCTGCAAATTATTAGTATTATTTTATTTAAAAATTAGCCTATCTAGAACAGAGTGTCTTGGAAATAAATTTCATATTTGTTACTTTTGTTGTGATAGAATTTTTTATTGAATTCTGAAAGATCTGGGATGATTTGTGTGAGAGCAAAAAATAATATATGTGAGGATCCTGAAAATAATACCATAATTAAAATAGAGATTTTTATCTATATAGACAGTCCCTCAGTTCAAAAGAAAAGTGTCCAAATTACTGAAAGCCTTCAATGAAGACAATATACCTAGGTCTTTTTAGCTGAGATCCTAAGTTTATGTGCTTTCTGCATTATTGTCTATATTATGTACATGCTGACTTAGTATGCAGATATTCCCCACATCTGCATTTTTAGTGATCAGGAGATCAAAGGTGTGGCTTCTGTTAATATTTCCCATGTGATTCTGGCTCTTTCCTATATATTAGTAATATATATATGTGTATACACACACACTTACACATACACACACACACATATATTGAATATTTCCTATGTAATTCTTTTCCTTTTCCAGAACTGATGATGATGACACCTATTGTCGAGCAGCCACTGAGTATGCTAGAGCCTGTTCCCATGCTGGCTACCCAATTCAAGACTGGAGAGATGACTTTCCAGCATGCAGTGCGATTTCTTTTTTTTTTGTTTTTCTCTTTTTAAAGATTTATTTATTCATATATATAAGAACCGGGATGCAGGCCAGATGTGTGGGAGGATGAGAGGATTTGCCAGAGACAGAGTAGGGAACAGAATAAGGCGGACTGACTGAAATACACTGCTGAGGGGAGCAGCAGGCGAGACAGGAGAGGTCTGCCGTGCCATTTGGGTATCTCCCTGGCTGGTAGGGATCGAACCCTGACTGCAGAGGCTGAGGATAGCTTCACAGCGCTGCGCTCAACTACCTGCGCCACCAGGGAGACCCCAGTGCAATTTCTTATTTTCCAAGTCTTTTGTAGTTTTGTTAATTTTAGGTTTATCCTAGTACTCAAAACTTACCCAAATACTAAACACCAAAGATATTTTATTGATGCAATAACTTTGATCAACTTGCATATTTTTCCGAACAATGTGATTTTTTGGAAGGAGAGATGAGTACATTTATTTACAGCTCCTCTGTTTGTGCATTTTAGCTGATAAATGTGATGATAGCTTTGTCCATCGGGATTGCATCAGTTGTTGCCCACCAACCTGCACTTTTGAGAAACAATGTCTTGGAAGCAATCTCCACTGTCTTGATGGATGTTACTGCCCAGATGGTAAGTGCTTCATGAAAGGAAACATGCCTGCCTTCATGGAAACTAATATCCCATGATCTGAGATTCACCTCTTACTGTGTTCATCCAAGACTTTGGGCTGGTAGTAACTTTTTATCCTTGTAGGATTTCGTCCTAGAAGTGACTAGAAAGATTGACTGCTTTTCTTTAGTGAAAAGTGTATTATTTTGTAAATATACAGGAAATTTAGAATCTGGAGTCCTGTAGTTACCCCTAGCATTTTTTTTTTGTTTGTTTTCTTGACTACTTAAAAGTATTCAGTAATTTATGTATTTTCATTTTTTTTTTTAAAGATGAAAGCTAGTTGAAAGAAAAAAAAGAACTTCACATTTTGACAGTATAAGATTTTAGTCCTGATGTAATTTTAGCATTTGAAATTAGGAGTAATATAGCAGGTAATAGAGGTAGGATTCAGATTTGGGAATGCCTGTCAACTACTGATAGATGCTTATAAAGAACATTGAGAATTTACTCAAACCTTTTATTTTTACAGATAAAACTGTAGAATCCTTGAGGCATTAAGTGATTTCTTCACTGTCATACATTTAATATGTGTGAGGACTTGGATCAGATCTGTAGTCCTCAATGGGTCTCAGTTCATTGTTCTATCAGTGTTACTCAAACTACTATTTGTGGACCAGTGCCCTACCTATTTGTTATTCATTAAGGATAAGATTAAGAGTTTATACCAATATATAAATCCATGCACCACAATATAAGTCAGTGCTTCCTTCATCTAGAAAGTCTTTCTCTGCAAAAAGATCTGCTGAATGAAAACCATGTGCTTAGTAACAGAGTTGATTTACATTTTGGCTCAACCACCTTTACTCATTAGAAAAAATTAATGAATACAGTTCTACTATTTTAGCTGTTTGAGTAATACTCACTAGCCTTTTATCTGTATAACCATAGTATAAATCTCTCATTTTTGGGATGAATAGAGATTAAACAAAAAATATACTTTCTCCTTCTTTCCCTCCTTCCCTCAAAAGTAAAGAGACACCAACTCATTGCCTTTGTTCTTTATGATGAAACTTGAGTTTTTGATGATAAATTTTGGGGTAAAAAATTTGAAAATCACTGGAGCAGACCCTTATGTGATAGCTACTATTTGAGACTGAGTCAGGTTGTTGGTAAGCAATGTGAAAGTAAATAAAATTTGTATTTCCCATACCTAGAGTAATCAAATATTTAACAAAAGTTGGCTGTGTTGTTACATTCAAATAACAGTCTTTATTATTTCTTTTGAAGTTTTGGCATATTTATTTTTTCCTTAAATAGGCCTCATAATGGAAAATGGGACTTGCATCTCCTTGGAAAATTGCCCATGTAATTTTCATGGACTAGCTTATGCAGTTGGTTCAAAAATTGAACAAGAATGTACTGAATGGTAGGTGATCAACATGCATTGTTATTTCTGGGTACCTGGATAGTTGAAAATTTTACCATGACATATGTCTAAAAGAATAAATTTATTATTAATTTTCTTCCAGAAATTCCATGACACTCTGCATTTTAAAGTTTGTATATAGGTACCTGGATCGGTGAGGGGAGTGCCATTTATATTTTCTTTTATGACATAATTCTTCTTACTTCCATAAAATATGAACCATGGTAACGAGTCATGTCCTTTCTTATTGATCCTAGTCACTAATTTGTCCATATTTTTTACTGCTAAAACTTGGTAGTGCTCCTGAAATTCTCAACTGAGGACTTTAAAATATGACACTCCATATTGTCAACATTGGCCACGATTAGTGATATTTAGAATCTTTTAATAAATCAGCTAAAACTATTAGAAGAAACATGATATTCCCCCAGGACAGTACCAAAAAGAAACAGAAGTCTACTCTAAATATATCAGATTCTTTTCCCTTTGGTGACGATGTATGTAAATGGAATGCAAACGGTAACCATTTAGAATGCCTGCTTTCCAGATATACTTCTTTCCTCCAAAACTCATATCCTGCTGATGGTAGACCGTAGAATTGATCGTACATAAATGAACATCCTTTCATTAATTTTTGATGATTCTCAAAAATCAAGTTTTAAAATATGAAGTAGATAATTTAGTAATCTTATGTATATTTCTCTAATGATTTGGGTAAAAACTTTTGTGTGTGACTTTAAGTTTAATCAATGAAAAAAGGACATAAAATAGAAGTTCTTTGCTTGCTTACTATTTTTGTTCCTGAATATTTTGTGCTACTTTTGTGTCACCTTTAGTGATTTTTTTTTTAAAGATTTATTTATTTATTTATACAAGCATTGGGTACAGTCAGAAGCGGGGGAGGGTGAGAGAATTCACCAGAGCCAGAGCGGGGAGCAGAGCAGGCAGAAGGACCGAAGTACACTGCTGAGGGGAGCAGCAGGTGGCAGGAGAGGTCTGCGTGCCATGTGGGACCCTCCTCCGGTGGCCGGGGAGCAGCGGGAATTGAACCGATGCTGCAGAGGCTGCGGGCAGCTTCGCAACCCAGCGCTCAACCGCTGCGCCACCTGGGAGGCCCACCTTTAGTGATTTTTAAGTATAACATGTAATTAATAATTTAGGTGCTGGCCAGCCAAAATTATCATTTAATCAAAATTTTGAAGAGGATTTTCAAGTCATATTATTCTGTACCTATGAATATGATGTATTTTGATGCAAGCATTAATAATTTCTCTATACCGGTAGATTAATATTTTTATAATTTCATTTAGTGTGTGTGTTGGCGGTGCTTGGAACTGCACTGAGCATGACTGTCCAGGTAATATTCTGAAATGTTTTTAAAGAAATATTTCAATTTTCTTTGAATTAGAGAGGAAAATAGCACTAATTTTCATGAACACATCTATTCTAAGAAGTATAATAACCTATAGATCCTGATATTGAGAGCATAATGGAAATTAATGGGTAAATGATGTTCAGAAAACAAATGATTACTTTGAGCAGGCAACTTTGGTTAAAAAATTAAATAGTATAAATATTACAAAACATAAAAATACGTGTAAGAGCTATCATTTAATAAATTTTACATTAAATTGAAAAATATGATTTAGTAAGTTTGTCAAACCAATACATTTTAAAAACTTATGCTGTTCTTTTCAAAGCATGATAATTTACCCTTTGATGATTTACCCTACTTTTAAGAATCGACATAATTTCCCTCTTGTCAGTCTCTCTTTCTTCTTTTATTGGTAGTTCAATGCTCTGTTGTGGGTGATTCTCATTTTACAACTTTTGATGGTCGACATTATTCTTTCATTGGAATGTGCCAGTACATCCTTGTGAAGGGAACTGGAAAAGATAAATTCACAATTACTTTACAGAAAGCTCCCTGTGAGCAGGTAAGATCAACATTTCAAAATGACCAGAGGAATATTCACTTTTTTTTAAAAAAAAACATTAATTGATATTTTGATTTTTATGCAGAACCTTGGCTTGGTCTGCCTTCAGTCTATAACTCTAATTCTGGAAGATGATTTTAACAAACAAGTGACCCTTAACAGGGGAGGAGAGATCCTCACCAGCCCTAACCAGGGCTTCGATCTGAATGGTAAGAAGCAATGTCTATGGTGTACTTTCCTTACATTAAGTCAAGAACAACAAAACAACCTAATGGAGTGCTCTCCTATTGGCTGACTTATCTAACATATTTTAGGATTTTTAAATTTTTTTCTTCTTTTTCCAATTATGTTTATTGAAGTCAGGTCGGTTTACCTCATTGTGTCTGATTTTGGGATTATACATTTAAACCTCTACAAATGTAGGTTTTCATACCCTGGCCATCACTAGTGCCTCAGTAATCTTCCTCATGTTCTGTTGGGCTCTCTCCCTCCTCTTCTCCTACCCTGCCACCTTCCCCTTTTGGTTGCCTCAGTTTTGCAGTGATATAAAAATCTAACATTTTTTTGAATGCATATGTATTGCCAGTTCCTCAGAAAAGTGTAGTGGAGACCACATTTATGGGACCTAGTGTTTACCTTAAGTAGCCCAGAATTCGGAAGGGAGAGATATAAGCTAACAGCCACTTACAATGAAAATATGATAAACTTAAAGATAGCACAAGGGATTTGGGATCTAAATGAGTGCAGCTTACTCAGCCCTGGGGAGACATGTGCAGATATAGGCAGGAACATTTTCTGAAGGAAGCAATGTTTCATTAAGTATTTAAAACTGAGGAAGTGCCAGATGAAGCAGATGGGGAAAGTGCCCCATGCAAAGCTAAGAGGTATAGAACAATGCAGTATGTCTAACATTGCTACAACATCAAAGGGTAAATAGAAAATGTCCAGAGATGAGAACAGGGAAGTAAATGGGGTGAGATTGGGGAAGGTCTCTTATAAATAGGGCATCACACATTGTGGTTTTCCTGGCCCTGTTCATGCCTGTGTTCCAGAACAGTTATTAATAAAGCACTTCCACTCTCAGAAGAGTTTTGATCTGTATTACAAATTACATGGTCATGCTACTCGGTGTCATACTAAGGAAACTGAACTTGACATGAAGTTAAATATAGATTTATGATTATTTGACCATTTTTGTACAAAAAAAGACAATCTCATGGTTAAACCAAATAAAAATGAGTTTTAATGAGAAGGTTGCTATAGTCTCTCTCTCTTTTTTGGTAGACTACTGTGACAATGGTGTGGAATTGGTTTTGAGAGATGTTAGACAAGCAATGTGAAAGGCAGTCAGTATGTTATTAAAATAATGTATGCAAGGAACGAGAAAGAATTGATCGAAGGCAATGACAGTAGCGATGGAAAGAAGATGACATATTGAAAAATTATTTTGGAAAAAAAGTGGCCTGCACTTGGCAATGGATTGGATTGGTATGGATTGGGGAAGGGCTATGAGGGGGATGAATTGATCAAAGTTGATTCCTGGACTGCTGGATTTGATGACCAAACTGATGACAGAAATTGAGAGAGGAATTCAGGAGCAATGAAGAGTTATTCATTTGGTGGCAAAAATGATTCGTTTTTGTGTTCAGTTTTGGAAACAGATTATAGTCTTTAAGTGTTATTTTTTGCTAACAATTTCAAGGAAATGGGGGATTTTTGAGGAAAATCAACTTCTACACTGAATCATAACCAATTTTGGAGAAAATTTACACAGATACACACATGTTAAGAAAAAGAGATCAGATTTCAAATGTCATGGGATATAACACAGCTGTTAAAAAGATGAAATATTGACTTTTGGAACAAAATGGAAGGACCTCGAGGTGATTATATTAAGTGAAATAATCTGAAAGTGAAAAATAGTTATTGGATGGTTTCACTCATCTGTAGAATATAAATAACCAAAAAATATATAAACAGGCAAAATATAGCAGGGATAAATCTTGGATTTAAATCTTAGATTTAGGGCCTCCCCGGTGGCGCAGCGGTTGAGCGCTCGGTTGCGAAGCTGCCCGCGGCCTCTGCGGCGCCGGTTCGATCCCCGGCTGCTCCCCGGCCACCAGAGGAGGGTCCCTCATGGCGCGCAGACCTCTCCTGCCGCCCACTGCTCCCCTCAGCAGTGTACTTCGGTCCTTCTGCCTGCTCTGCTCCCCACTCTGGCTCTGGTGAATTCTCTCACCCTCCCGCGCTTCTGACTGTACCCAGTGCATGTATAAACAAAACAAACAAACAAATAAATAAATAAAAACATGCCTCTAAAAAAAAAAATAAAAAATAAATCTTAGATTTAGTGAAATAATTTAATGGTTACCAGAGGGAACAGGTGGGAGGGAGATGCGGAAGGGAGGGGAAGGCAGATGGGGTATTGGCATGAGAGTTTGGCAGAGTGTGAGGAATATGCGCAGGTATGAAGGAATAAAAATGTAATGCCCAAAATTAAAAAAAAAAAAAAAGCCCAGCCTGCCTGAAAACAAACAAACAAAACAGATTTCAAATACTTTAGAATTGCCTCTTGCCGGCCTTGTCAGGAGATGCTTACCAACTGAAATTGCATATTGACCTGACAGTGTGTTAAACATATTTAGTAAAGATCCAGAAAGGAGGGACAGAAGGGAAATGGGAGAAACGAAAACAGACAAAAAGGTGGCAAAAATCAGCCCTCGAACACAGGGGCAGAATCTGAGCTTACTTTCCCATGTCCTGTTTTTCAGAAGAGTTTGCATGTCGTTTTAGCGTTCCACAGCCCTGCCTATGAATCTCAAAGCTGACTGGTGTATTTCTCTTCTTGCAGGACTTGTTAAAATCCAAACTCTGTCATCCTTATTTATTCTTCTAAAAACCACATTTGGCTTAAAGATTCTGTTTGCTATAGATGGGGAAAGAATTTATATTCAGCTCACTAGTGCATGGAAAAGAAGAACATTAGGTCTCTGTGGCACTTTTAATGGGAACATAAGAGATGATTTTCTGTAAGTATGATTTCTGTATAGCTAACATGATTTAATGACCAACAATTTAGAGAATATAAATTCTTTCACTAAAAATGTTTACTTTAGTAATAGCACAGTCATCACTGTTCCAAGAGCTTTACATGGATCAGCATATTTAAATCTTGTAGCAATCCCCTGTTTAGTATCTCTTTTTATAGGTAAAGAAACTAACTGAGGCCTCAAAGTAGCAATAAATGGATTTATAGCCACTTATTTCACATGCATTGTAGTTGGGCTTTTAATTTAGGCATTGTGACTCACAGCCTGTGGGTTCACTGCTACCCATTAATCTCTGCTGTGCACCAATCAAGCTTAACAGTATTTTATTTTTGAAAACTCACTGCCCATAGAAAAATCTTAATTTTTTTGTGTTAATGATAGTAAATAAATTACTTTAAGAATAGCGATAGCATTTGATATTAATAATTCCTATAAAGCAACATCCTGGCATCTAAGTTAATTGGATTTTGTGATAGTTGGTATTTTGTTAAAGAAAAGCAATACAGACATTTGTACCCCTTGTACTGGCAAAGCACTTTTGCCTGCAAGTGCAAAGACAGTGTATAATTTAGTGTAAATGCTTTGAGCACTTGTTATTACGCTAAGTGCTGTGGGGCAATTTAAGCAGAATGATTTGGTTCCAGTCCTCAAGGAGCTTGTATTACAGATGGGGAAGGAATAACAACCTTTAAGAAACAATTAGTTCAAGGCAAGGCAGTGACCAACACAATACATAAAATATTGAGGTAATTTCAAATTAGGTGTTGAGCTATGTGATAATGGCCAGGACAGATTGTGCTGTGGAACCAGGGAAACTTTCTTGGAGAAGTCATTCTCCAAAATTTTTTTTAACATTTCTGCTCATTCTCCTCTTCCTGCTTGGAAATCTTCCCTGTGCTGATTTTTCTTATGAGCTCCTACTTACTGTTCAAACCAACTCAAACATTATTTGCTTCAAAAAATGAGTTCATGTCACACCGAATAAAGTTAATTCTAACTTTGTGCTGCTTATGAAAATCCATTGTTTTTCTCTCTGGCTTCCACTTAAAACTTCAAGGACTTTAGCATCAGGCTCATGTTTTCTATCCTTGCATTCTTAGGAACAAGCAAGGAACATTATATGCAATAGCAGTCATATTGAATAAGATGGAGTTTCTCTAGCTTGTGTCCTGTGAGATTCAATATTTTTACATTATTTTTTCCTTTTACTTCATTTATCTGTGGGTCAGAATATCAGCATCTTTATCACATTTGTGAAACAGAAACTATATTAAGGGGGTTGGCTAAGATGTTCAGAAGAGCCGTTAAGCCTTCTTTCTTTCCTTGTTTTTCACAATAGGTTAGCAGTCAATGTTTAACAGATGGCAGATCTGTCTGTCTCTTTCTAAGGCACCAGTCTCCTCCATGTATAAACACTCAGGCGTGATAACAGTGTAAGATAATATTTCAGAGTCAGAGATAACTTTCTAAACACTGTTTAGCTTTCCAGCATAAGCAATTAAAATTCTTTATTTCACAAAGGTTAATGTGACTCTCAAACACTGGAGTAGAAATTATTAATTACTTGAAATTTTATTTTTTATGCCTTGTTGTAGTAAATTTACTCTGGCAAACAGGAAGGTTACTTTATAAAATGAAAGGCTATAATTAACCGGGTCCACATTTTAGCGCTTATTTTTTTCTATGTATTTATTAAGTGAACTAAATGAAGTAAGTGCCACCCTCTGAGTCAGTTCCTTTTGGGAACTGATTACACCCATCACCTTGACCTATTTTCTTGTCTTTTGGAAGGGTAAAGAGGGAAAGAAAGGAAGAATGAGAACAGCTAATGCAAATTGTGCAATTCCTTTGAGCCTCAGTGTTCTCATTTGAACACAGTGAGATTTTAGATTCGGTGTTTGTAATGATTTTTTTTATTATGGAGAAATAAAAATGGAAAGATAGGGGAAAGATGGGCACAAATGATGACCATTGTGGAAAGGCTTGTGCTGCCTTCCTCCTTTCTCAATCATTGTGGTGAGAAACTCCATAGTGGATTGTGACTGAGATAACTTAATCCAAGGTAATTAAGTTATTAGGATGGTATAGAGAGCTGAGATAAGGCCCAGTCAACTACTTGGCCATGTTGTGGTAATTAACATAGTTCATGCTTCTGTTAGCTGTTCACTTAGTTGAAAACTTCTTTTAAAAATTAGTTATTTAAAAAAAATTATTTACTTTCTTACATCTTTGTTAAAATTTGGAGAGTATTTGATTCCTCCCTTAAGGTGTAGCCCCTGTAGGAGACCAGGCCCAACCTGACTTTTGAACTAGTTTTGACAGTGTTTGACACAGTCAACTATAGGGATTGCCAAAATATTGATTGATGAATTAAAAATCTTGATGGCTACTGGAGGTGGCATTGAATTTTGATTCTTAGATGTTGTTGTGGTATGCAAGCCTGAGTTTGGAAGGGTAGATGTCTCGGAATTTGATTTGCTGAGGAAACTGAAGAAGTGCACAATCTCAGATGAAGGGTATCTTTCATAACATTTTCCCTCAATTTTCATTTTGTTTGCTTGCTCAACTTCACAATTGAACCTCAGTATTTTAGACCTCATCCTATAAACAGAAATATTGAACCAGAAATTATAGATTAATCTTTGGGACTTTTGGAGCTGTGAAAGCGACATGCACCTACCTCTTTCGATGTCCCCAAAACCATATACACATTTATGTTTTGGTTGCTTGAGAGATGTTTGGTTAAATCTGTGCACACTGGGTTTGAATCTAGTTTCTAACACTTATCAATCCCGTGAACTTTAACATTTCTCTGAGATATGGCTTTCTTTCTCTATAAAATAGGAACAATGATGTTTTCTTCCCAAACTGAGATGATTGCTAAATAAAACCGTGTATGTACATCATATATCACAATTTTAGTTTTAATAGCAGGAAGCTAATACCATGCTTATTAAAAAAACTAGTAGACTATATTTTAAGCTCAGATTTCTTAGAAAATTAAAGCAAACGTATTCTCTTTTTTTTTTCAATATTCAAAAAGTATGAACAAATACAATGAATGGGAGAGACTAAGATGAATTTTACATATGCTTTTCAGTTCTCCAACTAGTTTTTTTTTGCCTTCTAGTTCTCCATCAGGCATGATAGAAGGTACCCCACAACTTCATGCAAATGCATGGAGAGTTTCTTCCACTTGTTTTGCGCCTGTTCATGTTCCTATGGTGGATCCCTGTAACATAAATCAGCAAAACAGTAAGTCTTCCTTTTTGCATAAACTGAAGGAAACATTCTATATTATGCAATTTTATATAGTAATTATTTATCATGTTACCATAAATTTGCAAAAATAGTGATTTTAAATTCTGATTCTCTTCATTATGAAGAAAACTTATGTCATTCTTTTTTGCATTTTTATTTAAATTATGCCTTTGCATGTGCCTCTTTATGTAACCTAGGTTTTCAAAAAACAATCCAGAAGATGGCTATTTTATTTACTACTGTGCTTTTTTGTGTAGAAGAACTAGGGTGTAGGCCAGAGGTGCAGGGTGACAGAACTCACCAGAGTCATAGTGGGGATTAGAGCAGGCAGATGTACTGAAATACACTTGCTGAGGGGAGCAGTGGGCAAGACAGGAGAGGTCTGCTGTGCCATATGTGGATTAGGTCCCTGGTGGGGGATTGAGCTCAGGCAGCAGCGTGATAGCACTGAGACTTAACCCCGAGGCTACCAGGAAGGACGGTGTTATACATTATTAATACTAGTGGGACATCCATGAGAAGCATGGATGTACAATTTCTGGATATTGTAGTTTTGTTTTTTTTTTAAAGATTTATTTATTTATGCATAGAAGAACTGGAGTACAGGCCAGAGATGCAGTGGGTGAGAGGATTCACCAGAGACAGAGTGGGGAACAGAACAGGCAGACTGACTGAAATGCACTGCTGAGGGGAGCAGCAAGCGAGTCAGGAGAGGTCTGCCTTGCCATGTGGGCAGCTCCCTGGCCGAACCAGGGGTCGAACTCATGCTGCAGAGGCTGCAGATTGCTTCATAGTGTGGTGCTTAACCCCTTGTGCCACCAGGAAGGCCTCTGTAGTTGTTGTTTTAGAGGATTCTGTTGATTTTCATATTTGGTCTTTATTATTACGGTTTCAGTATATAAGAATACAATCATTTTTTAGTACTTTTTGTTTAAGCCAGCTTCTAAATTTAAAGAGATTATTTCTAAGAAAGTTGTTAAGAAGATTGCTAACCTTTTTTGATCATTTTTCCTATCTATAATAAAAAGACTAGAATAGTCTTTTTGTTTCTATGACTCATTACTTTTATCTTTTAAAAAATATTTTTATTGAGGTAACATACCCACCTCCAAAGGACCAATAATCTTCCACCAGAGTCCTCAGATTCTCCCCTCTCCCCTCCCTTTGCTCCCACCCCTCAACCCCCCTTTTTGGTTTTGACAGTCAGATGTTAAAGGTTCATTTTTGCTGCTTGTTTTGCTTTGTTTTATGCATGAGTGGAATCATCCAGTATTTATCTTTATTCTGACTTGTTTTGTTTAGCCCATCCTCTCCTTTTCCATCCATGTCATTGCAAATAGCAAAATCTCATTTTTTTTTATAACTGACTAATATTCCACTGTGTATATATGCCATATCCATCTTTCTTAATTACTCATCTGTCATTGGGTGAATTGTGTCCAAGTTGGACTATGGTTGTTTCCATAATTTGGCTATTGTAAGTAGTGTTGTAATGAACATAGCAATATATGTATATATGTATGTATATATACATATTGCTTATATATGTATATATACACATATGTGTATATATATATACACATACAAGCAATATAGATATATAGATAGAGAGATAGATAGCTAGATATCACTTTGAACTAGTGCTTTTGTGTTCTTCTGATAGATACCTAGGACTGGAATTGCTGAATCACATCATAGGTCTATTTTTAATATTTTGAGAGATCTCCATACTGGTTTTCATGTGAACTGGACCAGTCTATATTCTCACAAACAGTGGATGAGGGATCCTTATTCTCCCTCATCAATACTTGCTCTTTCTTGACTTTATGATTGATTATTCTCAAGGGTGTGAAGTGATACCTCATTGTGGTTTTGATTTGTATTTGCCTGAAGATAAGTGATGATGAGCATTTTTTCATATACCTTCTGGCCATTTGTATATCTTCTTTAGAGAAGGGTCTTTTTTCGTATTCAATTATTTTTTTCTTTTTGATTGGGTTATTTGTTTTCTTTTTGTTAATGTGTGTGAGTTCCTGTCCATCTTGGATAGTAGTCCCTTGCCAGATGTATGGTATACAAATATTTTCTCTTATTTGATAGGATATCTTTTTGTTTTAATGATTTTTCTCTTTGCTGTGTAGAGGCTTTTTGGTTTGGTGTGGTCTTATTTCTTTATTTTTGCTTTTGCTTTCTTGCCTGTGGAGTTAAACTCCTAAAGACATCTCTGAAGCCAATTTCATGGAGTTTTTTGCCTATGTTTTCTTCTATGTGTTTTCTTGTTTCAAAATTATATCCATGTCTTTTATCCATTTTGAGCTGAGTTTTGTGTATGGTGTGAAGTTTTGTCTAGGTTCATTCTTTTGCATATGGCTGTCTACTTTTCCTAACACTACTTGTTAAAGAGACTTTCCTTTCTCCATTGTATAGTTTTGGTTCATTTGTCAGGGATTAGCTATCCATGTAAGTGTGGGTTTATTTCTAGGCTCTCAATTCCATTCTATTGTTCTGTTTATCTATTTATATTCCAATATCATATTGTTTTTGATTATAATAGCTTTGTAGCAAAGTCTGATATATGATGCTGTCATGTAATTTTTCCTTTTTGTCAAGACTAATTTGGCTATTTGGGAGCTTTTATGGTTCCGTACAAATTTCAAAAATGTTTGCTCTATTTCTTTGAAAAATGCCATTGAAACTTTAATAGGGACTGCATTGAATCTGTATTTGCTTGAGGGAAGATGACTAGATAAACAATGTTAAGTCTTATAATTCATGAGCAGGAAATATCTTTGGTTGATCTTCCATTGTTTTGGTTTCTTTTATTATGACAATCTTGAACTCTCTATGTGATAGGAAGACAAAGTCTCCTATGTCTTTGTAATTATATTCTGGAGAGTCTTTTTCTCTTCATGATGTCATATTCTCTTGAGATCTTAAGATGCTGTGTGCTATATATTTTTCTGCCTATTTTACTGCTTTTCTAAAAAAGTATGTGTAGCTATAACTTAGAGAGTTGAATTACTTCTAATTTTCACCAGGTAGTACCATGGTTTTATTTGATTTCATTTCTTTCATCTTTTGCTGGCTTCTATAGGAACTAAAACCTGTTTTGGCAGTTTCTCAGTCATAGGGTAGGGAAGGACCTAGAGGAATCCATCTACTGATGTGAATGTACAGGGGCAAAGGAGGTGGGACTGTTGGGGAAGAGTCTGGCACATGTTTCTGACATGCTGAAATCCCTCTTCTGTGGTGTTTCAGTCCAGAGAGTCTTCAGTGGGAGGGGGAGGGAATGCAGCCTAGTACACTCTTCCATCCTTTCACATTGGGCGCATCTTGCCCTGTGGGGAGCATGCCAGTTTCTGTGGGTGTCATTCTCCTCAATCAGTGATGTGACCCTCCATACCTTTTAGTTCTCCTCAACTCTATGACCTTGACAGAGTGGCAGCCCTAGTAGTCTATGACTCTTGCCCCAGACTGAACCCTCCAGGTACTTCTTTCCACCCACCTCTTATTCAGTGAAAGATGACTCATTCCTGCGTCTCTTTTGGTGCAGTCTATATTGGTCTTTGATGTTCAAGAGGTGTTCCAGTTTCAATCCCAAGTCGTCGTTTAGTTTCCCACTGGTAACTGCTAGATTATCCTCTCTGGAGCAAAACAAGGAATTTCTTCTGAGGGCTTCTTTTTTTTTTTTTTTTAACAGTAACATCTTTTTTTTTTTTTAAAAGATTTATTTATTTATTTATTTATACAAGCATTGGGTACAGTCAGAAGCATGGGAGAGTGAGAGAATTCACCAGAGCGGGGAGCAGAGCAGGCAGAAGGACCGAAGTACACTGCTGAGGGGAGCAGCGGGAGGCAGGAGAGGTCTGCGTGCCATGTGGGACCCTCCTCAGGTGGCCGGGGAGCAGCCGGGGATTGAACTGGCACTGCAGAAGCTGCTGGCAGCTTCGCAACCCAGTGCTCAACCGCTGTTCCACCGGGGAGGCCCTTCTGAGGTCTTCTTATTTGATCACTTTTGATTCAATGATTTTAATCTCACCTCCATTTAACACTTGCCCCCATTCTGTCCTTAAATTTTCACTAATAATTCTTTTATTTCAATAAAGCTTGCTCAGTTTGCTTCTAATTTTCTCAATTCTTTCATTGATGTTTCAGAAATTTTTAATATTTTTAATAACATGTAAAAGTTTGAGTAGAGTCTAACTGATAAATTCCATTTCCTGCTATCTCCTCTACAATTACTTCCTCTTTTATGTGATGTATATCTATATATTATTCCCCCCACAACAGGACATTTATTTGGAATATTATTCCTCTTTATTTTTGCCATGGAATTTTTATTTGCCACAAAATTAAATTTTTTTAAATGTGTAAATTTAGAAGATTCCCCAAAGTAAAGGAAATAACTCAGTTAATAACTGAGTCAATAACTCAGTTATGGAATCTGAATATTTTATTTTTACAAGGATATATTTGAGTCACCCTTTTACTTAATGTCAGTAAGAATATTTTTTTGGTCTATAAATCTTTAGGGCACACAATGAAGCCTCCATTGGTGTATTGCTTTGCCTTGGAGCTCTTGAGGATTAGGAGTATGCAAGCTAACAGTATGATGTTATGGTCTAAATCATTTGTTTTCATATATGTGTGCATTACAAGGCAAAAAATAGTACTCAGACAGTTACTTCATGTTTCTTTACCAATAAAAATATATTTAAAATACTCAACAAAATAATTTCAGTATAAGTCTTAGTGGTGAAAAAAATTCTGTTCTCCAGTAGTTCATCTGGTTTCTTTTTTTTTTTAAAAGATTTATTTATTTATGTGTGCGTGCATACAAGAACTGGGGTACAGGCCAGGGGTGTGGGAGGTGAGAGGATTCACCAGAGACAGAGTGGGGAACAGAACAGGCAGATTGACTGAAATACACTGCTGAGGGGAGCAGCAGGCAAGTCAGGAGATGTCTGCTGCGCTATGTGGGTAGCTCCCTGGCCAGGGATTGAACTCATGCTGCAGAGGATGAGGATAGCTTCATAGGTTGCGTCTTGACCCCTTATGCCACCAGGGAGACCCAGTTCATCTTGTTTCTAAAAGACAATGACAACTCAAAGATTGTTTCATTTTTGTCTGTGAGAAAATCACTGCAAACTCGATTTGCTCTATGAAGGAATCACAGGCCTAGCCTTTTTCAGAAAGGTGCAATCTTGATTACTCTCATAAAGGATTTTATCTGATTAGTCATTCCAAGAAAAAAGTTAATGGATTTCAAGAACACAGACCTCCAAAAATGGTTTGATAGTAGTATCTCATGGCCTCTAGCATATGCTGAATATTTGGGAGGCTTATCTACTGATATCCACAAGCTATATTCATTGTTCATTTATTCATGCATTCATGTATTTACTCACCAAATATTAATGAGGTACTAATATCTGTCAAGCATTGTGCTCTGTGTATTGTGCCTTGTGCAGACTTTATATTCAGTGACTATGTGGCATCTGCCTTATTATCATTCACCTCAGAGACTCTATTAAAACGAGGTGATTCCAGATGAGTTGAATAATTGTGTATCCCTAGGAGTTGTCATAACATCCATAATCTGGCACCACTTTCATTATGTGTGGCTATCATAGATAAGCCTCCTAATACTCATTACTCAATGCCCAGTACTCTAGAATTCCTAGACGATCCTCAGGCAATGGGGGTGATGGAAGCCACTGCTTACATCAATGCTGCTGTTACTCATGTCATTCAGCTATAACACAATACTTTTTTTTTTTTTTAGCTAAAAGTCTATTGAATGCAGAATAGTTGTTGTTGCTGGTATTACCAAAAACAAGCCAAACCAGAAAAATCTGGTAAAATATTCACCATTGAAAATAAATTGAAAATATTGACCATCTTTTTTGAAAATAATATAAAATACAGTATATATCTAAGAAAGGTGATGATTGGAAATTTCTGCAACATGATCCTTGGGAGTGAGATCTGCACTAGTAGATGATGTGCTAATGGGTTTGTTGTCTCTCAGTTGGGTATGCAGCACACTGTGATGTCATCCACCAAGAACTCTTTGCTCCTTGCCACTTCTATGTTAGCCCTGGACTGTATTACCAGCTGTGTCGCCATGATGCCTGCAAGTGTGGCAGTGCCTGCCTGTGCAATGCTCTTGCCCACTACGCCTACCTTTGTGGCCGGCGTGGGGTCCCCATTGATTTTAGAGCCCAGATTTCATTCTGTGGTGAGTATGATGTCCTAGTCACAGATAAAAGCAATCAGATGACACTTAGGTTATTTTTACACTTGTAATTACTGCTTTTACTTTTTTAATGAAAGGTCCATATTGCTTCAGTTATCTGAAGTATTATTCTGAAATGAAAACATAAGAAATGAAATACTTCATTTTTTGAAGTGGGAATGTCTGATAAGCCATTAAGTGACTCTTTTTGTTATAAGCAAAGTTACATTATAACTATATATTTGAAATGTGCAACAGAAATAATTTGAAAAAATTCTTGTAGAAATGTTTTATCTAAATATTGGAAAGTATGAACAGCATTTTGTGATATAGTAATGTAATTGATTTGTTGTTAAATAGGTGAGTTAAGTAACAGACAATTATTATCTGAAGTTCTCCGGCTCTAATCTTCCTGGTTATGGTATTTGTTGTTCTCAATCATCATCCTAATGCATGATATAATTTTTTTTCATGAACTAACCATTATGGGGGATTCCTCCCCTCTACTGTCAGAATCTTTTGTGAACTGAATTTTGGGTTCATCACCCTTATTTTCTGTCCCCAATTTCACTTCAGGGATATTATGTGTCAGTTTTGCTGTTAATTTCTCAGTATGGGTTTTCTAAGACAAAAATAATACAAATCCAAACCTATACAATCTGTAAATCTGGGATTTTGATTTTCCAGATGATATTTTTTTCTCATCACAGAGCCCTAAAATTACAATAGTTTCCTGGCATCTTTCTGTACTATGAGCGGATTTTTTTCTAGTCCTAGAGTTGGCAAACTATACCCTTGGTGTTTCTAAGTTTTTGCAAAGAAAGTTTATTGTCCATTTGTTTACATGTCTTCTGTGGCTGCTTTTGAGCCACAATGGCAAAGTTTGTGGTACATGTGACAGGTTAGATGGTCTGCAAAGGTGAAACTATTTACCATTTGATCCTTTACAGGAAAAGTTTGCTGACCCCTGTTTCAATCTATCTTTGCAACTGAGGATGGGGCTTTTTTTTTTAAGATTTATTTATTTATTTATGCATACAAGAACTGGGGTACAGGCCAGAGGTGTGGGAGGTGAGAGGATTCACCAAAGACAGAGTGGGGAACAGAACAAGCTGTCTGACTGAGGTACACTGCTGAGAGGAGCAGCAGGCAAGTCAGGAGAGGTCTGCTGCACCATGTGGGTTGCTCCCTGGCTGGCCGGGGATTGAACTCATGCTGCAGAGGCTTTGGATAGTTTCATAGGTTGTGTCTTAACCCCTGGCGCCACCAGGGAGGCCCAGATGGGGATTTTTTGAGGGTCTAAGTTCAAGGACTCCAAATTCCTTGCCTTGTAAAGGATCAACTTTCATTTTTCATTCCCAGATGAGTTAAATGTAAGGTCTAAGATTCATCCTTCCTTTACTCAAAGTTCTGGATGTCATTTCTCTCTACTTCTGGCACCTGGGATGATACCATCCTCCACTGTTTTTGTTTTTGACTTTTTTTTTCCTCTTAAGGCCAATTATACATTAAACATAATTTCAATTATGTTTTATTCAGCATCATATAAGTGTTTAAGTAAGTGTGTTTTTAGATTATTTCAGTTAGCCTCCTATAAGCAGTTCTCTTTAGACTTTAGTCTAAAGAGAGATTGGTAAGCTTTGAAAAAAGTATAAATGTGGTTAGGAAGGTTAAAAACTAAGAGCTATGGGTAAGGATCATTAAAGTCAAGTTTTATCTTATCTGTAGAAGACTGATCATTTATTTAGGTTTAAATAATGCCACAATGAAAATCGTGACTGTATAGTAGTAAATAGATTTAAAACTGGGGACAGGAAGTTTATCTAGAGATAGAAAACAGCTATGTCTTAAATACTTAATAAGTCATGCCTAGGCTACTAAGGAATGTTATGGAATGGCACATTTAAAATATTACAAGGGATAATTTTATATTCCTGTATACTTCTACTGTGGCAAGCAGTTGCCCAATTTCTAAATTTATTTGAGGAATAAGATTCTGTGATCTCCTAGATTTGTTGATGTAAGATAGCTTCCTTTTCCTCTTAATTCATGTCTATCATAGATCTGTCACATAGCATAAAATGCTTCTGCGCCCCATGGAAAGCTCATGGAATGCTCAACAAATGTTCCTCTGCCCCTAGGGGTGGTGTGCCAGAAGGGCATGCTGTACCACCACTGCTCCTCGTTTTGCCTTCACTCCTGCACATCTCTCTCTTCTGCGGAGCAGTGTGATGACGACTGTGCTGAAGGCTGCAACTGTCCTGAAGGCAAATACTTTGAAGACACACTTAACTTCTGTGTGCCCATGTAAGTCACAGAAATGGATTCACAGCAGCCAGTTTTTATCTTTTTTTTTAAGATTTATTTTTATTTATTTATTTATGCACATAAGAACTGGGGTGTAGGCCAGAGGTGCAGAGAATGAGAGGATTCACCAGAGTCTTTATGGGGAGCAGAACAGGTGGATGTACTGAGGGGAGCAGCTGGAGAGACAGGAGAGGTCTGCTGCACCATGTGGGTAGCTCCTGACTGGGGATCAAACTCATGCCACAGTGGCTGCAGATAGCTTGATAGTGCTGAGACTTTAACCCCTGCACCACTAGTGAGGTCCCAGTTTTTATCTTTTTTCTTTTATAAGTTAAATGGACTTTTATGCTTCTCTCTCTTTCTTATTGACTGAGCATATTTTACTAGAAAAATAATTTATAAATTTTATCAACATGTGAACAGTCACTTTTGCCGTGAAACAAGTGTATGTGTGTATAAAATTCTGCTTGTGAACTCATGTTTTTTTAATATTTCTTAATGTTTTTACCTGTGTATTTTAAATCCTTGTACATGGTCACAAATACCTACCAAAAAAGCTAAGAAATCTGATGTTTAATCCTGAAGTTTATTCCTACTTGTTTGGAACCATATCAAAATTAATAACAAGGCTTGTTTCACTTCATGTGGAAAATTTTAATAGCAGGATTGTAATGCCTGTTGGCATGCAGAAATTTCTCTAATCTCACATGTGATAAAGATTTGGACTTATATAAGGGCTAAATGTATATCAGTTATATTTTTCTGAATTACATTCCGTTACTTTTGGGGGAACCAAAAAAAACACATTCTTTATTGCGTCAAAACAATATAGATTTTGTATTTTAAAAAACAAAATATGAAGCTACACAAGACTTCACATTTAAATGGTTTCTGACATTTGTAAAACAGAACTCATGCAGTCTCACAGAATGATGTAAACTTTAGAGTGTGCTGTAAACTTACCAATACAGAATATAAGGTCAGCTTGAATTTTAGTGTTTAAATGTATATCCTACTTTATTAATTGAACCATTTTTTTTCTTTGTAGATTTCACTGCCGGTGTCATTATAGGGGCAGTGTTTATCAACCTGGAGAACTCATCCCAACACCCTCAGGCTTATGGTAGATTTCAGTGATGGTGATTGTACTTGACAAATAACCTTCTTTAATATAATATCAAACCGATACCATAAATGAAAATGTGACTTATGTGATTAAATAATACATGCATATGTATATTACATTTCCACATGGGTGCCTAACTCTTGTGTTCATAACTATGGGAAAGAGTTACAAATTGAAATATGCAGTGAATTGGAAGTTCTTTAATCAGTTTGGTTCTCAGAAGTTAAGGGTGAGATTGGTGTTCAAATGCTGTAAGATACTGAATAGTTTTAGTTTGTGGTCCATTGACTGGCTCAAATCCAGCAAATACAAAATGGATTTAACCACATCACACACTGGAGTCAATATGTACTGCTCCCTAGCCACATCAATCTGAGATAACACTTATTTATAGCATAACACTCAGGTTGAAACCTGTCTGTTAAAAATGCAGACAAGTCCATGCAACATTCCACTTTGATCTGTAGCCAACTTCTAACTCTCTCCTGTAGTTGCAGCATAAGTGCTGATAGATAATAATAGACAGTAGAGAATAGTAACAATCATGATAATAACAATAATGATATATCTAACCATTACTGTGCACTTTATGCAGTTCTGGCACCATTCTAAGTGTTTTATATCTAGTATTAAAAAACCTACTCATCACTGAAACCCTAAAAGATAGATACTATTGCTATATTCCTGGTCTTTCAGGTGCAGAAAATAAGACACAGGCAGTTAAGCAAAATGGTCAAAAAGCTGGGATAGAACTCCAAGGAATCTACTTCAGTGTTTGCTTTACTGCCTACCTGTCTCTGCAGCTTATTGTATATTCACAGTAGAGTATTGTTTATGCTCAGTTTACATTTGGTGTTATCTCAATTTCCCCTCCACCCACCAATCAAAATACAAAGGCAACCAGTCTTTCTCTAGTAGGTTGTTTCTAGTCACAATTACTCAAGCCAGGAATCTGGGAATCATTTCTGACTCCTTCTTCCTGCTTGACACCCTTACCCAGTAACCCTCAATGGGTTTTATGCTCTACGTACAGTTGAAATTCTGCTGTGACTACCTTAGCGATGTTTCTCATCATCTTTCCTAGGACTTTTCTACCTGTTCTTTTTTTTTTTTTCTCTAGTCTTACTTACCCTTTCCATTTTATGAAGGCGATCTAGCCTTCGTGAATTTAACATTTTGAATTTATTTATGTAAGCTTGACAAAAACAAAGGAACATTAACTCCTTAATGAGAAAAATAATCTAATCAATACAGCAATCTCATGGACCTTCTCAAAAAGCCTATTTCCCTGAATGAGAATGAGTGGAAGGAGCTGAATCTGGGACCTGTGATTTGTCACAGTCCCCCCACCCCACACACACCTCCTGCCATTCACAGTGCGAGTGAATCTCACCTCTAGGTGTCACCTAGTGTTAGAGATGTTGTGTAAGAACTGATTTCATGTGATGTGACCCTTATATTTTAGTCAACTTCTTCATCTGGGCTCACATGTAGAGCACATGATTTGGTACAAAGCTGGAGGAAAAATGGTTTGTGTTGTATTATTGAGGACAGCTATATTGTTTCTCTCATTTTCTTAAGTGATTCAAGATGAAATAAAAAAAAATGAGATGACAGTGGTTTATATCATTGTATTTTGGAAATATAGGCACCCCCCCTCTTTTCCAGGTGCTCTTACTATAGTGCATCTGTTACAGAGCAACCCCTATATAAAACGGGTTGCCTGACTGTGGCCCTCACCCATGCGCTTAAAGGGGAATTTTTAATGCTAAACTGCAGACACACACAAAAGGTTGCTAAAACGTTAATTTACAAGGGAAGGGGAAGTGGGGAAATGAATAACTCAGGGAAGGGGAAGTGGGGAAATGAATAACTCAGGGACAAAAAAAGGGAGATAAGTTCGTAAATGCGTCCTACCCACTCCACTGATCTGGAATTCCAATGAGTCGCCCGAGCTGGTGAAAAACCAAGCACACCGTGTGGCCAAGAGAAGAAACCCCCGGCCACATGGCCAGTTAAATACTCAAAAGAGAACATAGTTGCTTAACTCCGCCCTCAGGTACTTGCAACCTTCCCTCTGGTGATCATGGGATTTGTAGTTCCCAGTGTCTTGATGGAGTGGGAGTGGACTCCACAAAGCCTGTATGAAGTTTGCTCAGGACATCCTTTCCTCCTAACACACCCACCACTAAAACCCCCATAGCCCACCAGCATAGCCTATTGTGTTCCCTGCTCACTCTGTTCTTGCTTCGTCCCCTGCCCTCAGTTCTGGATACCTCGGTTCTATAGTCATCTTTCAAGGGTTAGTTTTTAAGTTTGGCTTTATCTGACCCTCTGTCTGGTTTCTCCATATTTCACATCTAAGTGGCACCATCCAGTATTTATTTTGCTTAATCACTCACTGCCTTTTTTTGGCTTTTGTCTTGTGCCCTACATTACAAATCCAGTCTATTTTAAACATTGCTGCCAAAGTGATTTTTCTAGAATGCAAACCAACCATAATACTTCTCTCTTTAAGGTGTTCAGTGGTGCTCCTCAGACACAAAGTCTTAGCATTTTAACAGGAGTTAGTCTATGCCTCTCTTTGCCATCCTCATCTCCTGTCACTTCTTGCATTGCATGTCTCTATTGTGTTCCTTCCTACTTTTTTTAATCCATTTCATAACCTCCATATCATAACCATTCATTCAAAACTGTTCGCGCTTTACCTTTCTTGACTGCCCTAGTGTCAATTGCCAATAGATTTTAAAACATTTTTTCTCTGTTTTAGTCCTGTATTTAAAAAATATTTTTTTGTGTTGGTACATCACGCTGCATAAATGATGTATTTTTATGCCATCCTTACCTACTAGAATATAAGTACTTGGGAAAGACTGAGAAGTTTGGTCTTTATATCACTCATGCCTCTTATTGGAGCCCCACACATTTTGCTAAAAATGTGTTGAACTGAATTGTGCCAGTAATCAATAAATTCTTGCAAATTAGATTGTTTTTGAAATATAAAACAACCTCCCTGACGTTTGGATTCATCAATTAACTGTTTCCTTCTAGCCAGTGCACAAATGGAACTGTGACATGTGATGAATTAGCAACGCCCTCTACTGGTAAGAGACAGATAGTTGTTTTCCTAAAGGAGAATCTGCTGCTAGCACTGCCCCTACTCTTCTGGCAAAAGCCTTTAATCCACACAATCCTCCTTGAGGTGTGCATGAATATAGAGAGTGTTTCTTAACACAGCGCTCCTGTACTTACTGAGTGTTTTCACATTGGGAATTATAATGTCCTCTAGTCTGGGGTGAATACATAAAGCAGAGCTGACTAAGTCAGGGTTGTGCCTACCCCAGGAGCTCCCCAGGTGCCAAGGGCTTTGGGGATATATATCCAAGTACCTGTTGTAACCTATGCAACACAGTTACTTATGCAACAGCAGTTGGGATACTCTACTCTGAACTCTCACTTCCCAGATTTTAATATGCGTACAACCCCTTGGGGATGTTGTTGAAATGTTGATCTGATTTGATAGGTCAGGGGTGGCGCCTGAGAGTCTACATTTCTGCCAAGGCCACTGCTTCCTGAGATACATAAGGCTGTAGACCTAGCAGCCATCATTTAAAAAAGGCATGTAAAATCACATCTACTGTCACCTATTTTTAGAATATCATTTTATTTTGCATATCATTCCTGAAGATATAGGGGGATCCTATGTGTTATTTATTTCACCATACAAAACATCTCAAATTTTCTGTCATTATTGAAAATTCCTAGGCAAATAATAACACAGTTTTCATTAATTTTAATGGACAGGATAAATATAGGCTCGTAAAACTAATTGTGAGCTATTGCTTTTGTATTTGCATGGTCATGTATATTTTATTAAAATTTAGCTAAATGTGCTCTGGATCTACTGTTAAGAGAATTTAGGCTCTCTAGGACTTCCTTATAGGGTATGATCATGGCTTATGCAATATTCAGTAGTTAATGGCCATCCTGCCTTTCCCCCCTTTGCTTCATGGTAGTTCAGAGTTGTAGAAGGGAAAATCCAAGCAGCCAGACTTCTCAGTGAAAAATCTGCAAGAACTGATCCCTTTCACTCCAAATAAGGGAACTGATTTAATCCCTGTGAGCCTAAAACATTTATGGGAATATGTAGCCCTTACTTTGTCTATAATTATGTCCACTTTTGCTCTTCTACATTACAGTGAGGTCTCATAACATTAAAGACTCAAGATCTAAAAATATCATGTGTTCATTGTAAATTTGATAAAAAGTTTATATTGTATTTTCAGTTCTCAAAACTTGATAATATTTTTATGGATTCGTCAAAATGCCCTGTTTCTTGATCTCAAAGAATCATATACTAGTTGGTGAGTTATTGCCTCAGGGAAAAGTAACTAACATTTTCAAATTCAACATAGGTTTTAAATTGAATCTGTCTCGGGAACGTTTGTGAGTCCATCAATTAAAGATCACAGAATAAAATAAACTCATGCAAAACAAAACAAAAATCATGGTAACTGGTAAAATGTTGAATGGTGACTTGTGTTTTGATGACAAATGCATGTAGATATTATTTATCTATAGAGGGGAGACAAAGTTAAGGATAATTTATCCCTGTCTTGCCCCCTGTAGTTCATACCTGTCCTGAGGGAAAACAGTATTTCGACTGCAGATTTCCTGACCCTGAATTACCAGCTGGGGGTATAAATTGTGAGACAACATGTGCAAACTTGGCCATGAACTTCACTTGTGCCCCATCCTCACCCTGTATCAGTGGCTGTGTTTGTGCTCCAGGGTAAGTCTCTTTTCCTTGATAATACTATTCAATTTTGATGGAAAACACATAGCTCTGAAAAACTTTATTTAAAAAACAGCTAAAGTTATCGTTTTGATTGGTGGTTAACTTTGAGTTGATAATTAGAAGACAATTTTAGTTATTGTGCTTTGCTCATGAACATATTGCAAATGTTATAAGAGATATTACATCTTACATATCTCATAACGTGATTACCTTATGTAACATATGTGTGGCTTATTAACTTAATAAAATGAATTAAGGAAGTTCTTCATTTCACTTGGACTTGGCATTTACCTACTGATTCAACCACAATGTTAGGAAAGTGATAATAATATGCCACTTTTCACTCAAAACACTTCAAGTGCATATCATTTGTATATTATGCTGTGCTGTTGCTATTGATGTATAATACTGATGCCATTGTTCTATGTAATGGTTGCTACAGAAAACAGTGTGTTGAGTCTATTAGAGCACTGGATAACAGGGGAATTATGGGTTAGACACAGAGTTCAAATACCAGTTCTGCTGATGTTAGCACAGTGATTTTTTCTGCAGGGTTCTTTTACACCTCTATGAGGCATTTTGAGTTGTTGTTGTTGTTGTTGGTGTGTGTGTGTGTGTGTGTACTCAATAAATATGAGTGACTATTTTATGACAGCATAATCTACTTGTAAATTTTCTATAGTAGAAAGAATGCCTAACATATGTGAAAGGTATATATGGAATCCAGTGTTGTTAGTTCCTTGCAGGCACACATATAATCAGGTCTCACTGGCTCTCTTTTTTCTGGTAATGAATAGATGTAGTGCACAGAGGAAGAGCCACCTAAGGCAAATAGGTCACCTATTCTTCCTTGGTGAACATATTCACACAAAGAGATTCCTGGGCTCAGGACACATAAACTATGAGCAAAGAAGAGAGAAGTTCTGTGGGCTGTTTCCCAGGAGAGTTGCATTTTTCTGAATGGCCCCCACTTGGAATAGGTGGAAGAGCCAAGTGACTTGGAACTGAACATTTTCTTTAGAAAGCTAAGACATAGGAGCTGGAGAGAACAAGTGCCTATGCATGGGAAAATAAAGGCAGGTGGAAATCAGACCACAGAGCTGATGAGTCAGGAAGACATTTTAGTAAAAAGGATGAAGGGAATAAAGCTTTTCTTACAGTAAAATCATGGGAGCCTACAACATTGCTTATTTGATTTGATTTGATTACCATTCTTAAGGATTCATGGCTGATTAGATGAAGCCACATCCTAATTTTATTTTATCTGCTTGTGGCTGATGCTATTATTTAAAAAAAATTCTGTTTACTGTCACCTTTGACTTATAGTTTGACAATGATTTATTTATTTGCTAGACAAATCTCATTACAAAAACTTAAAGAAATTTTCTCCCACCTTCTCTTACTGTATTAAATAAGTATAGCTGGAATTGACTGAGAGGCCTCTCACTGATTTGGAAATAATTCTGTTATACAGAAATTTTATAATTATAAAAGTATTATAAACTACAAAATTGTTCATAAATTATAAAATATCATACAATTGTTTGTGGTAATGTCGTTAAGATTCAATGCAACCTTGGTGCACTTATTTTAGGACAATAAGCCAAATATCTTTTGTTTTCATTGGACTTCTAATAGTGCCAGCAATTCACTGAGCATCAGGGGCTGCTGTTCTTAGTTTAGAAATCACTGTGTTTTAAACAAATGAAGAGTCATTTAGAAATGGATTCAAATTCTGGCTCTCCTTCATATTGGCTGAAGTACTTTGGGGCAAGTTACATAACAACTTGGACCCTCACTCATCAAGTCTTTTTCCAAAATAGCTCACTTTGCCTGGAAATTATGGCTTTTATCTCCCTTTTTTTGGTACTGATAGCAGAAAGTTAAAGCATTGCATCAATCAGCTGCAAATGTCAATACTTGACTTGACATTTATTTACTACTGTGATATGCAAGGTGTTGTGGTAAAAAGGGAAAGACTGGATTCCACCTTGCCATCGACTAGGTGGAGCATGGCTATGGGAACTGTAATTCATTATAGATGGTTTTGAATATGACAAGATCACTGATTTTTTTTTAAACTGACATTATTAGTTTACATTAAAGTATTTACTGTTTCATTTGGAAGACTGGCAGAGCATAAAGGAAAGTGTTATGTTCCTGAAAGCTGTCCGTGTATCTGGAAAGATTGGGAGTATCTCTCAGGAGAAGTGATTGCTACGCCGTGTTATACCTGGTAATGAGATCCATTTATTTCACAAAGGTTTTCCTAACCAATTGTATCAGTTTTGATCATTCTCTGTTTACCTAATGTGACTGACTTCAGCAAAAAACAAATCAAGCCTAAATAAATAAGACTCTGTTTAGGTTTTTTGGGTTGGTGGAGAGCTATAGTTTATAGGGGTATATAGTTCCATTATATTTATGCCTCCTTGTTCAGACCAGAAGAAAATTACCATGTACAGCAATTTGAAAATTAAATTGGAAAAAGTATCTCAAGTTTATAAGTGACAAATGTTCCAAATAAAAGGTCATATTTCATGGAAGACTTTCTGCTTGGAAATAAACCAAAAGAATACCATAAAATAAAATTGAATATAATTTCCTAAAAATGTAGAAGATTCTAAATCCATGAACACTGTCATGTCTAATATATTTTAACAGACTCAAACACAGGGCAAAGCATTGTGGTCTTTTGGTTACCAGCATGACTACGTTCATTTTTTCACACCATCATCTGTCTTCAGTGTGAGTCAGGTACAATTTCTAGGCTTTGTTGTGGTATCTGATAACTTATTTAGGGAAAGAGGTAGATGTATGCTAAATTTTTCAATGCAATAAATGTTATAAGATCGAATTGCTAATATTTATAAGGGCCGTTATTAGCTCAGCGAATGCTCTTGAATTCAAACCTCCCAAAGTTTCTGCAGCTTGCAAAAACACTAATTGGAGCCAAATTACTTAACCAGGTAACTGGTTTTATTTTCTAATAGTGTTTGTCGACGAGGAATGTTCAATTGCACGTATTATCCATGCCCGGCAGTGTGCACGATATATGGAGACCGGCACTACCATTCTTTTGATGGATTGGAATATGACTATATCAGTGACTGCCAGGTATTTTTGATAAAGGTATGTCATAGATACTCACTTTTCAAGTATACTTTTTCCTGGTATATCAAACTCATATGTCATTAACAGAATCTCTAAAAGTTATAGCATTTCTAAACTAATTTCTTTGACTCATTCTTAAATTTGGTTATTTATGAGTGATAGATTAATTCTTAAACTTTCTGTGCTTTATTTCCTTATTTGTGAAGTAAAGGTGGCAACTGTTTCCTATGTTTTTTCTTAGGATTAAATGAGATAGGTACTTGTAAAGCTCTTAAGAAACTCTGCTCAAAAAAGTCAACCATGTTAATTTTTATTGATTTAGTTTGGTGAATACAAATACAAGACATTAAATCATGTAGGAAATCCCAGCATGTTTGAAAATCTACTTCACTGGGAAGATAAGAATTGTGGAGTTTATCAAATTACTTTTTAAATGTCCTTTCAGGAAATTAGTGCTTAATTAACTGTCTACCAATAGCAATGTTAGTTAATTCTTAAATATTGTATTTTTTGTTGGAAATTTAGGCAAGATACTTTTAATGTTTTAACCATAGCTTCATCTACATTATTAATCTTAGATGTTCATGTTTAGTATTTATTTTGTTTTGGAGTAGTTTGCATACTTTGATAATAGACCCAATGATTTTTAACAGTTTAGTAACGCAATGACACATGTTTTCCAATTAATTAACTTTTTAGTTAATTAATTTTTAGTTAATTAAATAATTAAGTCCATACTTAGTCCTCTATACTAGGAGATGTTAAGGGTACAGTCATTAAGATATTAGCTTTACCTGCAATTATTTCACATTTGGAGGAATCATTAATAAATAATTTGAAGCTATAAGACTGAGCTCAATGGAAGATTGCTTTTTTGTTGTTGAACTACCCCTGATCTTGACTAGAAACAGTAAACAGGAAAAGTAGAGGCACTGGTACTGAGCATTTCACCCTATTATAACTGACTTCTTTATCAATATATTTTCAAGTAGATTTCCTTCCCAGCAATGGTTTCTGAACACTTCACCCCTTCTCACTGATGTTCTGGTTATGTACTTGCTAATTCAGTAAATAAACAATAGGGAGTGATCTGGTAATTTGGGTGTAAAACCCTGAGAGAAATAAAATTACAGAGGAAATCCTTGAACAAACCAGTACTGATACAATCTTGTTAAATACTGAAGAGTTGATAACTGAAGAAAGGTTTGCCTCTCGGCATCAGGAGTTCCATGAAAACTCTCATGTCATTTACACCATTAGAACATGATGTTCACTCTGACTTTTTTGTGTTTCTCTCTTTTCTGTATCTTTTCTGTATCTTTGCTTTAACTCAATCATTTTTCGTTCCTCATCTTCCTATCTTATGCTTGTTTTCATCAATTCAGTTCCCATTCTACCTTCTATCCTCTCTGTCTATTCATCCTCAGATCTTCAAAACATTTTTTTTAACCACTGTTTTCTGATTCAAGTATGAGAGATACCTAGTTGGCTAAAGATGCCTTTTGACATGGTAGCACTAAAGTCCCTTCTCCCATCAAGGAACGTACTGGATCCATTAGCTGTGGGACTTAAAACATGGCTGCTTGGAGCTATAGTAAGAGCAGGGACTTTGAGGGAATTATTTGAGCCAGGGCTATGACACATGCTTAGATTGATGTGTCAAATAAAAAATATATTACCTTGAGAGATGATTACACTTTGTGTTTGGAATCACTTGGGGGTAATATTCTCTACCAATTCTTTTCAGTATTTGGGAATAAAGGGGGGCTGAGGAATCCAGTGGCATATTGATGGTGACCTTTTCCCTTTAGCTTTGTAATCATGACTAACTGTGTTGCTTAGCAACTCTGACATTGTCTCCAAGCCTAATATTAAGTTAAAATACACTAGAAATGAAAGGAATAGAAATGCGGTTCTTAGAAATTGATATTGTTTCAAGTTACTGTCAGCACATGGTATTACAAAGCAGACCATACAATATAGAGTATTTCTTGGCATTTTTGATTTAATATAAAGAATAAAATTGATGTAGTACTTTAATTAATGGTGGTAGAAATGCATGGCAAAATAGAAAGCACTTCAGTCAACTTCAGTCAAGATTCTTTAATCTAAATAACTCTTTCCAAGAGGAAGAACAAAATGAAACCTTGAATTATACATTTTCTTCTTCGTTGAAAATTGTTCATGAGGCAGAAGAGGGTGGCATTTTTTTTTTGAGCAGTACAACGCCATAATCGTCTTAATGACCCTTATTATTTTCCTTTTCAAAATTTAAGCAATGCTTTGCAAAAAGGATTAAGAAGCAAAAGCTCTCAGTTCCTATGCAGAAAGGAAAAAATGGATCACAAGTCGGACACATTAATTACTCTGTCAACACCATTCACTGCAAACCTATTCTCCAGGCACTATACCACAGTAATTACTAATAAGACAGGAAGAGTTTGGCCAAACCAAGAGATATATTGAGCTGGCATTTTTATTGCTGATGGTGTGAAAAACGAAGTATGTAGAATTTATGTTAAGACTGATGTGATTGCCAAACATGGAAAGACTCTTCTCATTATTAAAATAAAGACTGAGCCATAGGTCTAAAAGTAAAAAAGATTCAGGAAATATGTGTGGGCAGAGGAATGTGACTGTCCTAATAAAACTTACTACCTTTTTCAAGTTCCTGGAAGGACTCTCAAAGCAGTGGTTTAATATTAGAAGAGATAAGGACCACTACAAAAATCTGACATAACCATGCACTTTCTTCCTAGAAAAATGCAGATCCTCATAAACAAAATTTTACGATGAATTTCAGGCACTGTAGAACTACAGAAGCCCCACCAAAAAATTAGAAACTCTGGTGCTAGAGGGTGTTTTCTTAGTGGATGGAGTAGGGAAAAGATTAAAGGGAAATAAGGGTGAAATGATAGGTGAAGAGCTTAGATGTAGAGTTTCTGGGGTGAAATAATAGTCTCTGAAACTAAGGATTACCTATAACCTGAAATTGACTCTCCTTCTGAACCACTGTTATGCTCTTCCTTAATTTTCTACAAGTGCCATGAAATGAAGTAGGGATTTGAAACCTGTCTCATAACTAATGATGGTGAATAATCAATTAGTGTCTCTTAACTTCTGTTTCCTGATCAGAAAATGGACATAATATTAAATTCAAAAATTGCCATAAGAATGAAATGTAATAAAATATATAAAGTTCAAAAGAAGACATCAAATGATATGCAATTTTTAGTTTACTAATATGTACCAAAGTTTTGTATTTATTTCAACTTTACTGAAGGCAATTATTTAGCCAGAACACTCTTTAAGATAATACAAAATACTGTCTAAAATGAAAATATTTCTTTAAAAATTTCTCTAAGTGACATGTCTTGTTGGATATTCATTGAAAAGGATTGATTAATTCAAACTATAGTAATAAAATGGAAAAAAATTTTATTAGAACAAAATTTTAATGCAAGATATTAAACACAAAATATTTTAACACAAGGAATTAAAGATTGAGCTACCTTGATATATTTGTATAAAATTCTTCACATTATTATATCCAAGTAATTTTTATTTTAGAGGTAAGTTTTATTTTGATTTCATCCCAATCCATCTGAAGCTTGATCTTAATATTTGGTAATAAAAAATAACTATAAATCGCATAGTGTACATTTGTATTAATAAAATATTTTTGACATTCCAGAGTGCAGATGATTCAGATATATCTGTTATTGCCCAGAATAAGAAGTGCTTCGACAATGATATTGTTTGTTCTAAAAGTGTTTTGATTTCAGTTGGGGACACTGAAATTTACCTGAATGATGCTCCTTACAAACAGGTTAGCAAATTATTTCTTTTAGGATCATTTTTACTTGTCCTGAGGATACCAAAAATGAAATGGAAACAATTTGGGATACTTTTCTCCATGAGTGGTTAGAACATCTAGGCTATTTTTTTTTTCTTTGTCATATTATATGGCATTAGTAAATCATACTTGACTTGTCTCTATTATTTATACTCCATTTTCCCATTTTCCAATTATGTCCTCTTTCATCATTCCTCTTCTTACCATTCTAACCTGATCCACCACACCTATTACTTAGATTACTTCAACAGCCTCCAAACTAGATCTACTTCCAGCCAGAGTTTTTCTCTGCTAATTCATCTTGCTACATTGCAACCAGGGTGGTTTTTTCTAAAATTGGAATCTAAGTTACTGTCACTCTGGTGCTTCAAAACCTTCAAATGACTTATTATTGCTCTTATAAGGCATCATTAATATGACCCTTTTCCACCTGTCCTGTTTCATTTCTCATCATTTTCTGTGACAAGTCCATGTCCCAGATTTTGGAAATTTTGTTAGTTTTTCCAAACTAATGCTATATGCTCTTTCTCTCACTTCTAGCCCTTTATTTAATGTCATTGCTCCTACTTAGATCTATCTTTCCATTTACCTTATTCTAATGTGGTAGGTGTCATCTTATCTCCTTTAGGGAGTCTTCCTTGTGTTCTCCAGCACCCTGTTAGGACATGGTAAAGTTGATGAAATGGATTCCACTGCAGTGAAGTTACTGAGTGTTGCTTCTTTCCTCCATTGGTTCTGTGAACATTAGAACCACCGTCTCTCTTGTTTATTCTTGTAGTCTTGTTTATTCTTGTATTCTTGGAGCCTATTCAATTTGAAAGAATTTCAAAGAATTTCATTCATAATACCTATGGGGTGTCAAAGTCTATGCTAATTATTGGACCTACAGTGAAAAAACCCTTTTGCTGCCTTTAAAGAGGTAATACTTGAATCAGAGATGCATTCAAGTAAATAAGGTAGCACAGTGTGATGTGCTCCCTGTAGGGAGAAGATCTAAATTAACTTGGACATTTAGAGTAGTTGTATTGTCAGACAATACAGACAATAAGAGCATAGACTTTGGAGTGAGTGCTTACTTAGAGCCTCTTTTCTATCACCTAATAGCTGTGTTCTTCTGGGTCAAGTTCTGAAACTCCAATCTGCAGCTTTCCCATCATAATTTGGGGTGGTTATAGACTATTTCTTAAGTTCATGTGAGAAATATATGAAATAAATGGATTTCAAGAAATGGTTCCACTCCTCTTCTTTACCCTTCTTATTTTCATGACCCAGAAGACATGCTCTGGATGAAATGATTTTACTCGAGTCTTGAAAGATAAGTAGATATTAGCTAGGTTGGAGGGAGGGAAGAGAGAGAGAGAGAGAATGAGAATGACAATGCAGAGCAGAGTTGAAAGATAAGATGATGTGTTTGGAAAACTGCAAGTGATTTATCTAGGTTGAAGTGGAGGGAGGGTGTTGTATCTACATTGATTTCAGTTCAGGGGCCACTGGAGCAAAGGTAGTACACTAGACATTGGTTCCTGGCCATGTAGATTTTTTTTTAAAGGATTTATTTATGGATACAGAGGTACAGGGATAAAATGATTCGCCAGAGGGAGTGGAGAGCAGAATAGGCTGATCTACTGAAATACACTGCTGAGGGGAGCAGCATGCGAAGCAAGAGATGTCTGCTGAACCATGTGGGTTGCTCTCTGGCCAGCTGGGGAACGAACTTGTGCTGCAGTGGCTGGTGATTATCTTGATAGCACTGTCTTTAACCCTTGTACCACTAGGGAGGCCACCATGTAAAATCTTTAATGACATAGTTAACTAAGTATTTTTGTAGTTGAGAAATGATATGATCTGACATATGGTATTTTTTTTTTTAATAATAAATTTTATTTTTATATTCCCCATACAATTGCAGCCCCCCCATTCTGACCCCAATCCCTCCCCTCCCGCCTCCACCCCCCAAAAAGTGTCTCTGGTTCATAGTTTTTTGTTGATTTTGATTTTCACTTTCTTATAGTTATTCATTTTCCTGGTCCCTTATTTAAGTTTTCTAGATTCCTGCTATGAGTGAGACCATCCGGTATTTTTCTTTTTCTTTTTGGCTTATTTCGCTGAGCATGATCCCTTCCAGCGCCATCCATGTTGCTGCAAATTGCATGTGTTTATCTTTTTTGAATGACATATGGTATTTGAATAGTCACCTCCCTTTGAGATTTTAGAACAGTGTTACTCAAAGTTTGGTCTGCAGAACTTCTGTGTTTAAATCATTTAATATATTTATGATAAAAGTTGGTTTCTGAGCCCCACATCAGTAATTAGAATGGTTGGTTGAGAATGAAAATCAGTATTTTAAATAGTACCCCAAATTCTTCTACACACTAACGTCTGAGAACCAGTATCCTAGAGCATAGCTCATATCCCAGTCAGAAGCATTGATCCAACCAGGGAACAACCAAGCTTGGTACAAAACAGAGTTTCTTCAATCATGTTGATATCTTGAAATAACTACTGCAGTTGGCTATTGCTGTCAGCTGGATTTTCATTTATAGTGAAGGTTCCCTCTAAGAACAAAGATATTTAAAAAAAAAGTGAAGAGAAAATAGTAAATGCCTTATAAAGACAACTTGACACATTTTTGAAGTGGTAATTACAGCTCTATAACTTTCAACTTCTAATTTTCACCTGTATGCAGGTGCTGATGAATCTCCTTCATATAGGTTGTGAAGTATGAAGTAAGATGGAAAAAAGTCATAAAAATAGTTTGACCCTAACAATTTCCCTGCTAATATTTCTTCTCAAACTTCAAAAGCAAAAAATAAGTACCATTTGTTTTATGGCAGATGGATTGCTTATTCAGGGGTAGGAAAAAAACCCTGTTAATTTTTCAATAAATGCACAATTCTAATTTTGTCAAAGTATGTGATATGAAAATGTTATGAAGATATCTGCTTTTTTATTCATTGAAGAGTTAAGTGTTTTCATTTTCTGCATATATTTCATCTTTCTAACATCTCTAGATACTGCTTAAAAGTGCTATAATTCTCATCTGAAGTGAAGGTCTCTATTTGGGGTAATTCATATTACTTCACTCTTCCAACAGACAGCATCCTTACTTCCTAATCTAAAATGAAAAGAGTACAGCATCTCCTTTTGACCAGAGGATTGTTCTGGTAGTAATCTGCTCTGCTTAACAAAAAGTACATAGAAAAGATGTACTTTTCCTTCAGGATAGCCAATGCAAAACCAACATAAAGGTAGTCTAATTATCATCTGCCTTATCCAAAAATCCATTTTGTGTTCTAATGGTATGTCAATCAATCAGAGGGAACGGTGATAGGAAGAGACATGAAACAGTATTTCATAGATTGAAAGGCCATGTATATTCCACACACCTGCTTTAATTGTTGCTGATCAGCCTGGAAGAAGAGGCCTGAGGACAGGCCAGAGCAGGAAGGTGTTAAAAATATGAGCACTCCTTGATCTCAAAGCTAAGGATACCACCATAAACTTGACAAAATGTATCTTTCAAGGAACAAACATTCCACCTGGGGGAAGAAAGATAATAAAGCCAAAGACAAATCAGATAATAGAAAGGTACTGAAAGTAATAAAAAGTAGGTTTTATGGCAAAGTATGCTTTGGGAACAGGGAAGACTACATATTTTATGGAGCACAGTGAAAAATGAAAATGTGGGATGCCCTATTCCAAACACAAAAAATGTTTTGCACCTTCTTTTGACCTATTATGCTTTTTTCTTTATTGCTTAATGTCTTTATTGTTTAATGTGATGTCAGGTATATTGTCACTTCAAGCTGAAGCTACTCTATATTTTCTTGATGGGTTTCATTTCTGATTCCTTCCTGTTATCTTTTCTAATATGAAAAGTTGGTCTGTCACATCATATTCAAAAGCCTTAATGGAATATGTTTTGCAGATGGAATAACAATTCTTGACTATGTGGGTAACTTGATTGCAAAGGGTCTCACATTATATGCTTTCCTTTCTAGTTGCCTTCCTTAGGTCTGAACAAATCTTAAACCTTCCATCCTTGTGCCTCTCTTCAAGGAATTCATTTTATTTGGAATGATTTTGTTTCTTTCTCATGTCTGGTCCTCTCTATCTTTCTAGATAGAGGGACTTTTGCCTCTCCCTCTCCCTCTCACACCCCTCCTCTTCCCTACCTTTCTCTCCTCTCACTTTCCACACATACACACACAAATACACGAACACACATACATGCATGGACACATTGTGTTTTTGTTTTTCAACTATACATGCAAAGTCCTACACTTAAAACTAATCTATTAATCATGGATACAGAATTTGCTAAATCAGCAAGCATGTCCCCTTACTGCACTCTATGTCTTTGCCCTTTTTAATGCACTTTTCCATAACTAAAATATCTTTTTCACATTACTCATGTGTCCATGTTGAACCTATCTAGCAGTTTGTATCTGCTTACCATTCTATGTATTTCCTATTTTATGTGTTTGTTTTAGATACTTATTGGTGGCTATTAATGTTTCCATATTCATTAGAGATCATGAAATTAATTATATTCTTTTGTTATATTATTGAAGAAACGATCGGGTTTTTTTCTGGAAAATAAACCTACATACCAGCTTTGGAAGGCAGGGTACTACATAGTAATATACTTTCCAGAGAAAGATATCACTATTCTTTGGGATAAAAAGACAACCATTCACATCAAAGCTGGACCACGGTGGAAGGTAGGTCAATTCAAATGAGATGCAAAAAATAAAATTACACCCACCTTTCAGTATTTCCCAAGGTCTTTGGAAAGATGATGTGTCTTCTGAGAGCAGGGTTGCTCTGGTAAGTAATAATCTTGACACTTTTATTTTTAGGGTTATTTTATTTTTGCTGGTGATATGGGCAATGAACTTCACCATTCCAATCTTCAGTATGTGGAAATTTAGTTTGCTTAATTTCAGTTCTTAAAGAGGATTTGTGGAAGATCGTTCTGTCCTACACTCTTAATACACTGCCTTTCATAATGGTGAAGTTTTTCATATTATTTGAGAATGCAATCAGTATTGCTGATGTGAGTAATCTGCAGGTCAGTTATGGTAACCATTTAGCAACCTGTAATAACCTTTATGAAAATTAGGTAAAATGTTTATGGTAACGTGATGGGTGATTATTACATTAATTTTTTTCTTTAAAAGTTATGATTTGAATGGTTTGACACTTCAAAATATGACCTAGAGAGAAGGAAATTATTTTTATTGTTTCAATATTTATAGTGTTATAAAAACTTCAAGTATAGATAGATGAAATTAAGGTCATGGTAAAACAGCTTTGAGAATTTAAAAAATGTTACTATAATTGAATAGATACAAAATCCCATCCTCTTGAAACATCTTAAATGTTTTTGTAGAAATTATTGAAGTGTCTGTTTTCAACCTTTAAAAAAATATGTCCTTAGATATTGAAGTGAACATAGAATATTTCATGATAGTTTTTTTTTTTTTTTTACTTTAGAACAAACTATCAGGATTATGTGGAAACTTTGACAAATGTACTTCAAATGATATGACTACATCTAATAACTTAGAAGTGAGAAATGCCCAGGTATTTGGAGATAGCTGGGCATTAGGACAGGTAAGTTTCTATATGTAAATAAAGAAATAAAAAAGAAGCAACAGAGTCCAAAATGCTGAATATTTGGGAGGTGAACCTATGGGCATTTGAGTAGCCACTCCGCAGATGACTTCTGACAAAAATGAAAGAGGCTAATTTGTTTATGTAGTTTTCCAGTCATGTAAATGCTGGATTAAAGGCAATTTAAAAATTATTTACTTCTGGGGCCTCCCTGGTGGTGCAGGGGGTTGAGCACAGCCCTGTGAGGCTGTCCACAGCTTTTGCGGGGTGAGTTCGATCCCTGGCTGGCTGGGGAGCAAGCCAAATGAGCAGCAGACCTCGCCTGTCTTACTTGCTGCTCCCCTCAGCAGTGTATTTTGGTATATCTGCCTGTTCTGCTCCCCGCTCTGTCTCTGGTGAATCCTGTCACCACCACCTCAACTATGGCCTGTACCCCACTTCTTAAAAAATAAAAATTATTGACTTCTGCTCTCTACTGCCATGATTTTGATAGTGTGTTTATTAGTTGCTTTCAAAAATGATACATGCTATTACCACTGAGTTTCTGAGGATGGTGCCCTAGGTAAAAACTTTCTGAAAGAATAAGGTGATACTTGATGCAAATGGATGGAGTCGGGTTGGATTGCTCTGGTTCCAGCTTCAGAAATCAACTCTAAAAACAATTATAAACCAGAGACATACTGCAGGGGAGGAGGAGGGAGATGAATCAGAGGGAGGGAGGAAGGAGCACAGGGGACTGAGGTGATGGTGCACGGGTGAAGGGAATTCTATGGGGACTACACCTGGGGTGGGGGAGCAAGCATTGTTTAAAAAATGAACAATGATGCCAAAAATATATAAATAAAATATTAAAAAATAAAAGAGGGGAAAATAAAATCTTGTTTTTTTTTTCAATTTTTTGTTAACAGTGTGAAACCCCAACTGAATCATTTAAACCCTGTGAGGCACACCAAAACAAATTTCCTTATGCCAAGAAAGAATGCTCCATTTTGTACAGTGATGTTTTTGCTCCTTGTCGTAATGTGGTAACTGAATACTTTATTAAACTTTGTAATTTAAACATGTTCTGGTGTATCTATAATATTGACATGAACAGAGCAAATAAGTTACCCATCAATTGGCTTTTTAGGTCTGCTATGCAGCCATTGTCAAGATAAATTTGGTAGTTTGTTTTTCTGTAGAAATGATGCAATTAGTTGGTTTACTTTTACTCTCACTCCATTTTTTAACAGTGTGTATTTGTAAATGATAATTTAAATTATTTGTTCTAGTTCATGAAACATTTTTACATAAATCATCAAAGCCATAATGCTATTTTTTATCCAGGGGACATTACCAAGTGGGCATTTTTCTCCTGAACCCAGATTACAATTTAAAAGTAGCAACAGTGCCATTTAAAATGGATTTAGAAGTATACTCCAAGGTAGAATGTCATTTATTTAGAAATTTAACCTTTTAAATTAACTTTTTTCAACATAATAATTTTAGCTCCAAATAAGTTTTAAAATAGTATATGCTATTCATAAAAACCCAAAGGACAATTAGAAGTAGAATACTCTTAATGTCATGTGAATATGCCAAAAATGAAACTAATGATCTACTATAAAGTATTAATCTGTTATATAATGAAGATGTTGACATAATATTTATTTGTTAATACTGTTTTGCTGGGCTTTTAAAATCTTACATTTACCTAATAAATTTTTTCTCCTTTGGGTGACATAGAGAGGTTTGAAGTATACTCTGTAGGTGGCAGTGTTAAGCTGCTAATATCAAAATTTGAAATTTTAGCAGTTTTCTTTAAAAGGTAGAATTCTAATCAATGGTAATTAGTACTTATTGGAAATAATTTATTTTTCACTTCATTTGCAGATTGATGTTACTTCTTTTGCCAAAAATTGTCATGAAGACACGTGCAACTGTAATCTTGGTGGGGACTGTGAATGTTTGTGCACCAGTGTGGCAGCCTACGCATACAAGTGTTGTCAGGAAGGGGTGTCAGTTCACTGGAGATCATCCAGTATTTGTTGTGAGTGCTGACTCAGAGCATCATCATTAGGTGGAGACCTTATGAGGAGAGCCATATTGTTTTATCTTTGAATTAATACCATATGAGTCATGGAAATAGAATTTAAATTCTAAATTTCAGATGATAAATTTATTATTAGACAGTGCAGATAACTTGTGATGTAGCAAAAGCATTTGTCAAAAGAAAAATTTGAGATAATTTTGTGTTTTTTGTTTGACTGTTCTTACGGTGACATTTGCACTATAAAAATTTTATATACCTTTCTGAGAGAAATTGCTTATTACTCCCACCCTCTTAGAACAGTAAAGTTCCACTGCTTTGATTATAAGATACATATTTGTGAAAAATTATTTTGAATTTGCTTTCAGATTTGACTCTATACTTTTCATTTGATTGTGTAGATAGAAGTCATCTGAAGAACAGCTTATGATTTTAACACTTTCAGTTGACATTTCTGAATTATCAGATATATCTTATGAAATTTAATTACAATGTATCATTCTTAAAGAATTTTCTTTCTTTTTGCAGGGAAGCTTTTAAATAATGATGTTATTTAAGAATAAGTTCTTTCATTTCATTTCTCATAAACATATGGCCAAAATCATACATATTCAGATAATTTTTCATATTCTTATATAATTTAATGTTTCTTTTTTTTCTTTTAGCACTTGATTGTGAATATTTAAATGAAGGTATGTGACATTTAAATAAAGACTATATCTATAGTATTCTACTAGATGTATTTTCAGATTAAAAGTTTTTGAACAATTTATACAGGGAATTAAATCTGAATAGTTTATATTTTGGTACACAGCTCAATGGAAGTCTTTAAAAATTAATCTAAATTTCTTAGTATTTGCATTAAAATTTATTCCCTGGAAAATAAAATATTAAGTTCTCAATATTTAGGAGACCCTCAATAAAGTTTTTGAATGACATGAAAGAATGAGTGGGTGAATTTAGCTAAATTTTTTAGGTAAAAAGAATGAAAGACATATACCAAATGCATACATTTTATCTTTATGTATAGATATTTATAATATCCTTAAGAAATGCCAGAAGGTAGCAGAAGTAGAGCATGGTTTGTCAAACCTATTTAGTGAGGAAAGCACAGCTCCTTAAACTTAATTCACACAAGTACAATTAAACAAGAGGTGTTCATTTTGTCAGTGACTAGACGCTCTGGATCTATGATAAATTTTAGAAAAGTCATCATTATAAAGACTCCAACCCAAGGTACTTTAGGTGTTTTATTGAGCCAGGCAGAAATCTGTTAGCTATTATTGTCCAAAGAAAGCTAGACAATTTTAGGGAAAAAAAAAATCTAGCATTACAAAAACCTCTGGGTTAGTTAAAGAAATCTAAACCAAAAATATTTCCTTCTTTGGAATTTTAAGTGCACATGCATGTGTGCGTGTGCACACATACACAACACACACACACACACTCCACATCAACATTTTGGATTCCATGCTTAAAATGAGACTTATTGCCTACTATTACTATCAGTAATAATAACACTAGCTTTATTGTGTCAACTCCTTTACTTTCACCATATAATTTAAGCTCCAAAATATGCCTGCAAGACAGGTAATATTACCACTTTACAGAGGAAGAAATTGAGGCAGAGAGGGGTTAAATAACTTGGCCAAAGCCACTTAGCCAAACTGTGGTAAACTGGGATTTGTAAACAATTTGACTTCAGAACCAGCAAGCTTGACCTCCATGCTACTGTCCCTAGAGTATGGCCCTCACTTCCTACTTTAGGAATGACCACCTCATGGTCATTATCATATACTCTATGTGATGCACACATGACATAAATTTGAGAAAATACTCTTAATAACGTCCTTATTAAAAAATTTCTGCTTTAAACAGTTCTGCAGTGAAAGTCTCCATCTGTTCTCTACTCCCTGGCATTCCTTTTGCAGGCCTTTGGACCCAGAAGCAAAATTTTCAGTGAACACTGAGTTTTTATCTTGGTACTTGGTACTTTACTTTCTTTCAACAAGCCTCCTGCACTCACAGTGATGGTCCTTTACTTCTGATGTGTTACAGGATTACTTAATCAGTTTCATTGGTAATATAGCACTGAAAATATTTAGAGAATGAATAGGGGCATTTAGCCTTCATAAGATGCCAACAGACACAGTGGTATGATGGGGACTCTTTCCTATGATCAAAGTGATCAGGAAAAGCACAAATCTGCCAAGTAAGAATTTATAAAAATAATGTGAAGATTGATGTTTAGAGGAAAATAGAGAATGTAGAGATTGTTGATAGTAGTAATAAAAAAATCATTTGAAATCACTAGTCTTGTTTTGTTTCATCCCAAATAATTTCATAGATATTGTAAACTTGCCTAGTTTTTTTGGACATTCATAACTGACATATTACTCTAGATGCTGCACTATTAAGATATTTAAGCTATTTAAAGCTAATCCAGAAGTAAATAATTATGACTATGCAAGGAGAAAATAGGAAAATTTAGAGGTTACAGGTGTGATTATTTCAGTAATTCTTAATAAAAAACTGTAATATCTCAATATTTATTTTTATGGGATTTGCTAAAAATATAAAGATTTTATTACTGGTGAAGGTAAACCTGAACTTTAATATCCTACAAGAAACTGTGTAAATTTTAAGTTCAGAATGATTTTTATTAGATAGGATATGTGTAATACTATTTAAATAACCACTAGATCATTCCTGTTAGTAGATAGTAAAATTATATTTCTCCCTGAAGAAAATTAATAATAAAGTCAATGATTTTTGTCTCCCAATTGCTGATGAAAATGATTCAGATACAAGATATCAATTAACTGGGAATCAATTCAGAGGCCTTCAATTTTTATGCAAATGGGTTTCTCAGATGACAATGGTTTCTCCAGGTTGTTGTAAATAGGGACTTATGCAGTAGGGGAGAGATTGTATTTAGTTGTCTATTTTTTTCTGCTATTGTTATGTTGAATGCCTATGAGGGTGTTCAAGAGCTCTCAAATTTTAGCTTCACATGTCTTCTTCATTTGAATTGTATTTCATTATAATTTAAATATTTTCCACTTAACAGTAATTTATTTATCTATTTATATGAATTAGCATATTATAAATTGAAGTATATTTGTAACTTGCAAGTTTATGTTGCTTTTGTCTTTCCTAGAAAATGAGCCAGTAGGTGGTGGAGAGGAAGGGTATAATTTTCTTTGGTTGTTGACTTGTACTCATAGAAAAACATGTAGTATGTATGGTATACGTTGTAACAGCAGTGGGGAGTCCATTGCTTTCAGGCTCACAAGAGAAATCATTATATACCAAATCATTATATTATTTTGAAATAAAGTTCAGTTATTTTATTTGCTAAGAGATGTTTAAATGCTCAATAATTTTTCGAGTTTTTTTTTGTTTTGTTTTGTGTGTTTTCCATTGAAATGACAGTTTGAAATACAAACTTTCTAACAAACTTATAATTCTCTCATTTGGATTTATCTAGGGCTTGGAGAAGGACCATATATGCTGGCAAGTTATGGACAGAGTGGCCTCATTCTAGGGGCCAACATGACCAGTAGAAGTATTTTCTCTTTGCCAAGAAGTAGTAGTCATGGAAACTTATTTTTTAATTTTATGATCACTCCAGGTCTCTTTAAAGAGAAGGAATCATGTGAGTATGAGCAGAATTGAAAATGAGAATTCTTTTACATTTACACTTTTTTTACTCACATAGTGAATATTAATTGTGGATCTAATACATTTGTGGCATTTTCCTATGTACTGTAAAGAATACAAATACAATAGGGCACTGAGACTTGAATCAGCTATCTCTTTGGTTGACATTTTTTAATCAGTTGGTATATATGTTATAATTACAATTATTTTATTGAGTTTTTATATTAAATAAAGCACATTTATGTTTTTGTAGTATTAATTATAGAACTTAATTCAAAAATTTTGAAAAATAGTTTACAGATAACTAACATTTGAGAAATTCTAACACCAGGTTGAAATAAAAGTAAAACTTGTAATTTAGCATCAAAGAAGCTAAGTATTCAAGAGTCTAAATCAGAATCTAGGCAGATACATACAGTGTGTTAAACCTGCTGATCTTGTCTTTCCTAGTCTCTGGGTCCACATTTGCTGGTTTGCACCTGCAGATCTATACTAGTCTTACCTACTTGGCACCTGGTGCTTAGTGGCTCCTTCTGATCTGGTGAAGCTCATGCTAATTGTTACTATACTAACCCTACACACACATGGTGTGTCCTATAAGGTTAGGAAATATTTATGAATGAATGAATCTGCCTTAACTTTCACTTATTCTAAGAAATCTCTTGATTCTCCAATAAGAATAAGTTCCTTCTTTCTTGTAAAAACTTATTTGACTCATTGTAGTCTATGAAAACTATAGTCTGAAGTTCTAATTTATATGTTTATATATAATATATATACATATATATTATATGTATTCTCACACACTCATATATATGCATATATATATTCCTCATATAAAGATTTCTTTTATTTGTTGCATCTCTCAGTGCTTGGCAGAGCAACTCGCAGGTTTTAGGACACAATAAATGCCTTTGGAATTACATATTGGATTTGAGAGAGTTTTTCATCTTATGGTTTATAATAATTGATATTTTTAATAGAAAATTCCTAATGGAATTTGAATTAGGAAATTAAGACCTAAGGAAACTAAACCAAATAATGGGTTTTACAAATAAAAGATAAACTTTTAAAGCAATAAAAGAAAGGTACTTTTCAATTGCTTTGTATTTATTCGCTAGCCATTTCATCTTCTTTTGGGAAATGGATAATAATGTTAAGAATCTTTTTTTAACGAGGTAAAATCACTTGCAATATTTGCTGATTAAGAATCTTTTGATATTGAAAAGGAGTGACATGCCTAAATTGATCTGTTTCTCTATGCTCTTATATTTTCTAGCACCCTATTTAGTCATTTGTAGATTTTGTCCTTTTGAAAATGTTAGTTTAAAGACAAATATGTGTCCAATTAATCATTGAGTTCTTTGTATGAAATTGTACATTCTGGGTGCTGAAGATGCTATTTCTTTTTTTCCCCTTAAGACGTGATAAATTAGTTAGAAAATAGAACTCATCAAAGATTGATTTTGGGGGAACTGTCACTGTTATTCATTGCTTTAAAATGCTGCTTTTTTTCAGCAACCTTATAATTCATTTCTGAAATCTTTGAGATTGGCATTATTTATGTATGGTAATTGTGCAGTTCTATTTTTGCCAACCTTCTAAATACATTTTATAATGCCAGTGTTGGTGATCTGCCTTCTTCAGAGAGCCCAAGGAGTTGTTAAACACACTGCTCTGTTTTACAGCAATGGCACTTGTTTCCCTGGAATCTGCTGAAAGGCCAAACTACTTTCTCTATGTCCATGATGATGACACTTTTAGTTTGGAACTATGGGAGGCAAATTCAGCCTTTCAACGGAGAGCCACATTTTTTCACCACCAGGGCCTCTGGATTCCTGGTTACAGTGCTTTCGAATTATATGGCAAGAAAGGCTTTTTTATCATATTCACAGATTTTAGTGTCAAAGCATCAAAGTATGATGATTCGGAAGAATTTAAACATTCAAGTAGCTTCAGCATAGAAGGTATGTTCCCTGAGATCTTATAAAAAGAGAGTAATTAGATAATTTACATAATGGTAGAATATTTGTTTGGTTTTAATTTTTAAATTTTTGTGTGTGTGCGTAAATATATAGTTATATGACCTTGAGTAAATTTCTTAAACTATCCGATACTTCATTCATCTGTAAATGGGAGAATTAATGATATCTACTTTATAGGGTTATTGTATTATATAAGTTAATATGGAAAAAATTGCTTAGCACAACCTTAAATTTTTATTATTGCCCCAATTATTTCTTTCTCTGACATCTGAACTTTGGAAATAGAGCTCACCATGTCTCATTATTGTCTAATGTTTATCTACTTTTTCTTTCCTAGAAAGGCAACTTCTGAATAACATGATTCTTAATGATAAAGACATGTTTATCTCTGTCCTTTGAATAGTAGGGTGTCTGGTTCCACTAACCTCTGGAAGATTTTCTTTGTTCCGTAGAAGTCTAATCACTCTAGAGAGCCTTACAGTTCTATGGCTTTTGGATTTTCTCAGTTACAGAGAGGAATCCTCTCTGCCTCATCCAATATTTATTTATTTATTTATTTATTTATTTATTTATTTATTAAGATATATTTATTTATACAAACACTGGGTATAGTCAGAAGCATGGGAGGGTGAGAGAATCCACCAGAGCCAGAGCGGGGAGCAGAATAGGCAGACTGACCAAGCACACTGCTGAGGGGAGCAGTGGGAGCAGCAGGAGAGGTCTGCGCTCAATGTGGGAGCCTTGCTGGCAGCCAGGGATTGAACCGGTGCTGCAGAGGTTGCAGGCAGCTTTGCAGCCCAGTGCTCAACCACTGCTGAGCTACTGGGGAGGCCCTCATCCAATATTTAAAAGCTATATTTTATTTTCAAAACAAAGAACTTGATATCTCTTTAGGCTTCCCAAACACATTGTTTTCTTCTAACCAACCCTTCTAAATCGGTTAAAGAGAGCTGATCATTGCCTTTTTGTTTTGGATAAATTTCTGTAAATCTTGAGAGTTTTTGGGTTTTAGAAAGTTCTAGTTAAGCTTTAAATTTTTACCTATTGAATAAGGCTCTTGTACTCATTAGAAAAAAAAATCACTGACATGCCCATATTACAATTAGATGTCATATTTTCTCTTGAATTTACTTTTTTTTTTTCCTAAAGAATTATTTTACACAAGAACTGGGGTACAGGCCAGATGCGCGGGAGGGTGAGAGGATTCACCAGAGTCAGAGTGGGGAGCAGAACAGGCAGACTGATGAAATACACTGCTGAGGGGAGCAGCGGGCAAGACAGGAGAGGTCTGCTCACCATGTGGGACCCTCGCCGGCCAGTTGGGATCGAACCGGTGCTGCAGAGGCTGCAGACGGCTTCACAGCGCTGCGCTCAATCGCCTGCGCCGCCAGGGGAGGCCCTCTTGAATTTACTTAAAAGTTGAACTTCACAAAGCTTCTATTGCCCCTCCAATTTAGAAATCTGCCACATTAAAAGCTGACCCAGCAGCCCGTTCTGTGCATTGGACAGTTGCAGTCAATGGCATCACCAAAATGTCCAAAACTGATCTTTGTGGGCTTTCTAAATCTGAGAAATGCGAGTTTTCTATTCTAGTCTGGGAATGCATCCTCTGTCAGTAAACATGACCTCAGGCATCTACTCTAATCTCAGGTGCACAGATGACTACTTAAAAAGTCTTACTTTTCTTCTCACACCGTGGAATGGAATTCTGAATATAGAATTCAAGAAACAGAACTTTTTCTCTCCCTTACAGAGTTCTGTTCTTAAGAGATAGTCTGGACTACCTCAGAAGAATTGGTTTATGATATGGGTAGGGGAAAGTATTAGCAGAATTTGCAGAAGAAAAATATTCAATCAGGAAGGTAACGATAAGCATATGCTGTTAGAATCCATTCGTTTATTTTTTGTCATCAAACAATTGCCATGTACAAGGCAATTGCTAAATTCTGCAGAAAAAAAAAAGGATAGCATGTTCTCCCTAGGTTGATGTCAAGAAACATGTTTCTGGTCGTGTCATTTCCCATCTGTTCGAACTTGTTTACTCACTTCTCTGAGCCTCCATTTCTTTATTTTTAAAATGAAAATAACACCTAATCAGCAGTTGTAAGGCTGAAAGAATAATGAACAAAAAAATCACTTGCAAAAAGTGAAATTCCAAGCAAGAGTTTGATATTATTATGATATATAAATCAATGAGATCTCACTAATAAAAATAGGAAAATGATTGTGAACTTGCCTTGGTTTTCTCTAACTACTTGCTTTTTTAAATCTTTGGAAGCCAGACTAATTTACATATTGAACCTGAGAATGAACTGCTTTGATTACCCAGCAATTACAATGCCTTCCCCCACCAGTCCTATCTTTTCCACAGCATTACAGTCAAAGAGTGTTCAAATCCCAAAAGGGTATTTATCATAAATCATTTTTCAAGCTGTATGTTAAAAATATACACAATCTAAATTTTGTTTTCTCCAGAAATTCAGGCAGCAGTGCCATACAGGAGGATGTGTGAATGGAGATATGAACCTTGTGCCACTCCCTGCTTCAAAACCTGTAGTGACCCTGAAGCACTAGCATGTAAATTTCTTCCCCCGTAAGTCATGTTTAACCCTTAAATGAGCAAATTCCAGTATTTGCAAATTCTGCTCTAAGTGAATATTTTAGATTAAAAACACTCTCAAGAATATTTTGTATGTGCTATTTACTCATTTATGAATCTGTTTCATGTATTCAAGCAGTTGTTATTTTTTTATTTTATTTCATATATTTTTTACATCATTTTTCATTTTTGCACAATGTATGCATTTTCATCTTGGTTATAGTCCCTATACAATTCCCACCCTCCTTGTTTTGATCCTAGTGTCTTCTCCCCCTACTCCCTGTTGTGTGTCTCTGGTTTACAGCTGCTTGTTGATTTTGACTTTTACTTTATTATAATTAGTCTTTTTCTTGGTCCATTATTTAGGTTTTCTAGATTCCTGCTATGAGTGAGACCATGCGATATTTTTCTTTATCTTTCTGGCTTATTTCGCTGAGCATGATCCCTTCCAGCTCCATCCATGTTGCTGAAAATTGCATGAGTTTATCTTTTTTGAGAGCTGAGTAATATTCCATTGTGTATATGTACCACATCTTATTGATCCAGTCATCTATTTTTGGGCATTTGCGTTGTTTCCATAGCTTACCTATTGTAAATAGAGCTCAAGCAGCTCTTATCAAGGGTCTGCTATGTGCCAGGAATCCCTCCAGCTTCTAGAGATATAGTACTAAACAAAATACAAAGTATTTGCCCTTGTGAAGATTATATTTTGTTGGATTGGGGTAGAAAATAAATAAAAATGTAAATATAAATACAGTATATTGTGAAATGTGTTATGGAAAAAATGAAGAAAGGTAAGGAAGTTATAGGTGAATAGTATTTCATTTTATATGTGTATTTCTTCTCTATCCAATCATCTATCCATCTTAGTATATCCTAAACATAATTGTATGTTTTGGGTATTCTGTGTTCAGGATATTTAATCACCATATATCCTTTTATTATCTATTAGCTTGTGACTTTGTAAAATGAGGTATGGTGAGTGGTAGCAAATGAAAATTATGAGGTGCTTCACAAGGAGAATAGAATTTTAGGAAAAATATAACCTAGTCACATAAATTAAATGCAGTATAATTTTTATACTTTAAATATAAACATATTTTTAACTTTGATTTTCTTTTCATGTAAAGGGTTGAAGGATGCTTGCCTTATTGTCCTAAAAATATGATCCTTGATGAGGTCACCCTCAAATGTGTTTATCCAGGAGACTGTAAGTGTGCATCTTATTTAATTTACTCTGAAAAGTGAAACATTTATTTTTTTTTTCTAGGTTAGCAAATGGTTGCAAACAAGTTTTAGATAAACAATAAGATTTTTTTATTTCTAAAATTTTATTCTTAATTTTTAAATGAATTTTTAAAAAATAATGAATTTTCTTACTTCTGTTTTTTTTTTTTTTTAAGATTATTTAAGTATACAAGACCTGGGGAACAGTCCAGAGGTTTGAGGGGTGAGAGGATTCACCAAAGACAGAGTGGGGAGCAGAACAGGCAGACTGACTGAAATACACTGCTGAGGGGAGCAGTGGGCGAGACAGGCGAGGTCTGCTGCACCATGTGGGTAGCTCCCTGGATGGCCAGGGATGGAGCTCCTGCTGTAGAGACTGTGGATTGCTTCATAGTGCTGTGCTTAACCCCTTGTGCCACCAGAGAGGCCCCAAATCTTTTATTTTTCTGACAGTGTAGGATTTCTCCCTTCAAGTCACCATACCTCTCCCACCACCAAAGCACCCATAATCTTCCACCATAGTCCATTGTGCTCTCCTTCTCCCCATTTTTACCCCTCCCTCCACTCTCCTCCTTTTTTCTCCCTCCCCTCCTGGATCTCTCAAATCTATGGTAGATGATAAGTTTTCATTGGATTTGTCTTCAATATCCCTTCATAAGTTTTTTGTTCCGAATTACTTTCTAAACCACATGTATCTTCCCTCTAAATTACTCCTGCGTTCTCTCTCCCCATCGTCTTTGAAGCTGAAGATCCCCAGAGGAACTATGTGGGTCTCCCTTTACACAAAACAGATTAAAGTAGAGCATCTTTGTTTCTTTTTAGGCATACCTCTGATTCCCACAGAACCAGCATTAATCCCACCAGGTAAGACATCTCTACTCATGTTCATTTAGATACTAAAATTAGCATATGTAATTTAAGTCTTGGTGCTCTTAAAACAACTACTACTCCAAAGATTAGAACTCCCAGTAAGCACTATTGTTTCATTAAGTAGCTGTTCACTGGCTCAGCATGCCACTTTTATGTGGCTTCTGCGTTTAGTGTACTTCTGTGTTTCTTTAGTGTAATGAATGAGGACTTCACACTTTTGCTAGAGTTTAGATTTTACTAAATCTTGCTTGAGCTTTCACAGTGATAGGTTGAGTCTAAGGAGATGTTAATGCAAATGAAGTTTTCCTTTAGGAGCTTCCGTTCCCATTCCTATTTGCTGTTCCAACCATGGGAGGACTATACCCTTCTCTCTTACTGTGAAACTTGCCTTAGACAGAACACTCTTCTCCCTTTTCCCCCTCCCCTCCTGGATCTCTCAAATCTATGGTAGATGATAAGTTTTCATTGGATTTGTCTTCAATATCCTTTCATTAGTTTTTTGTTCCAAATTACTTTCTAAACCACATGTATCTTCCCTCTACATTATTCCTGCATTCTCTCTCCCCATTTTCTTTGAAGCCGAAGTTCCCGATATGAACTATGTGGGTCTCCCTTTACACAAAACAGATTAAAGGAGTATCTTTGTTTCTTTGTAGGCATACCTCTGATTCCCACAGAACCAGCGTTAATCCCACCAGGTAAGCCATCTCTACTCATGTTCATGTTAGATACTAGAATTAGCATATATAATTTAAGCCTTGGTGCTCTTAAAACAACTACTACTCCAAAGATTAGAACTCCCAGTAAGCACTATTGTTTCATTAAGTAGCTATTCACTGGCTCAGCATGCCACACTTTCATGTGGCTTCTGCATTTAGTGTACTTCTGAGTTTCTTTAGTGTAATGAATGAGGACTTACTCCACACTTTTGCCTAGAGTTTAGTTTTACTAAATCTTGCTTGAGCTTTCACAGTGATAGGTTGAGTCTAAGGAGATGTTAATGCAAATGAAGTCTTCCTTTAGGAGCTTCTGTTCTCATTCCTATTTGCTGTTCCAACCACAGGAGGACTACACCCTTCTCTCTCACTGTGAAACCTGCCTTAGAAGGAACACACTCTCCCTTTTCCTCCTCCACTCCTGGACCTCTCAAATCTATGGCAGATGATAAGTTTTCATCGATTTTTCTTCAATATCCCTTCATTAGTCTTTTGTTCTGAATTACTTTCTAAACCACATGTATCTTCCCCCTACGTTACTCTTAAGTTCTCGCTCCCCATTTTCTTTGAAGCCAAAGATACTGATATGAACTATGTGGGTCTCCCCTTTACACAAAACAGATTAAAGAAGAGCATCTTTGTTTCTTTGTAGGCATAACTCTGATTCCCACTGAACCAGCGTTAATACCACCAGGTAAGCCATCTCTACTCATGTTCATGTTAGATACTAGAATTAGCATATGTAATTTAAGTCTTGGTGCTCTTAAAACAACCACTATTCCAAAGATTAGAACTCCCAATAAGCATTTTTGTTTCATTAAGTAGCTGTTCACTGGCTCAGCATTCCACACTTTCATGTGGCTTCTGCATTTAGTGTACTTCTGAGTTTCTTTAGTGTAATGAATGAGGACTTACTCCACACTTTTGCTAGAGTTTAGGTTTTACTAAATCTTGCTTGAGCTTTCACAGTGATAGGTTGAGTCTAAGGAGATGTTAATGCAAATGAAGTCTTCCTTTAGGAGCTTCTGTTCTCATTCCTATTTGCTGTTCTAACCACAGGAGGGACACACCCTTCTCTCTCACTGTGAAACCTGCCTTAGAAGGAACACACTCTCCCTTTTCCTCCTCCATTCCTGGAACTCTCAAATCTATGGCAGATGATAAGTTTTCATTGGATTTTTCTTCACTATCCCTTCATTAGTTTTTTGTTCCGAATTACTTTCTAAACCACATGTATCTTCCTTCTACATTACTCTTAAGTTCTTGCTCCCCATTTTCTTTGAAGCTGAAGTTCCCGATATGAACTATGTGGTCTCCCTTTACACAAAACAGATTAAAGAAGAGCATCTTTGTTTCTTTTTAGGCATACCTCTGATTCCCACAGAACCAGCATTAATCCCACCAAGTAAGCCACCTCTACTCATCTTTATGTTAGATACTAAAATTAGCATATGTAATTTAAGCCTTGGTGCTCTTAAAACAACTACTATTCCAAAGATTAGAACTCCCAGTAAGCACTATTGTTTCATTAAGTAGCTGTTCACTGGCTCAGCATGCCACACTTTCATGTGGCTTCTGCATTTAGTGTACTTCTGCATTTCTTTAGTGTAATGAGGACTTACTCCACACTTTTGCTAGAGTTTAGGTTTTACTGAATCTTCCTTGAGCTTTCACAGTGATAGGTTGAGTCTAAGGAGATGTTAATGCAAATGAAGTCTTCCTTTAGGAGCTTCCGTTCCCATTCCTATTTGATGTTCCAACCACGGGAGGACTACACCCTTCTCTCTCACTGTGAAACCTGCCTTAGACAGAATAACTTAGTAAATCCACGCAGTGAGCCTTGACAAATTTAATGTACTACTCCTGGGACTATAATTTATAAAAGTTTAGATATATAACCACTTACTTTATAGTATATAGATAGTGAGCATTCAAGTGAGTGTCAGCTCAGACAGGCACTGTCTTGGAAGTGAGGGGAAAAGGGTGATGTAATGACCAAGTCATCACCCTACCCTAAAACAGCTAATGGCTCATACGTTACTGTGATCTTGCAATAAGGGTGAGTATAAACAGTAAGCAGGCAGGAGGAGTTTTGTACTTATTCTGGCAGTTTATCTCAGAAGGGTAGTAGAAGGTAGGACTTGGATAGGCTAGAAGGAGGAAATGTGTTCTAACTAGAAGGGGAAGCAAGGGCAAAGGCCTGGACCAAAGCGAAACATGTTACACGGAGACTTCAAGGAGCTCAGTCTGTCTTATGTGTGTAACATGAGAGGAACTACACCAAGAGATAGGATGGGAGAGGTCACCAGGTGCCGTATCATAAAGGGTCATGGAAAAAACCTGGACTTTTCCTTGAAGGCAATAGTGAATCATGAAAGGGTTTTAGTAGAGCTATGACATCTTCAAAATAATAGCCTCACTACAACTATCGCTATTACCACCATTCTTGTAAGTTACCATTTATTATGTACTTACTGTGTGCAAAGTATTGGACTAAGTCATGTGTACACATTTAATCCTCAAAAACACTCTCTGAGAGAGGTCTTGTTATTTACTCTGGTAAAGATGAAGAATTTTTCTAATGCCGTGAATTTTAGGCATCAGTGAATTTATGTAGTTTAAAAAAAATCTTGGGAGGACTTAGAGCCACTTTCTCTATATCATTTAATCTATGGAATCAATAGTCTGTGAATGATATTGCACATCCTAACATCCAGGATTTAGTTTGTTGTTTCTTCTACATTGAAATCTCTCTGCTTTGAATTCTTTAATATCCTCCAAACCAATATTTACTATGTATTTCCAACATCTAAAACTATTTAAAGCCACCACAACCAATATATGGGCAAATAGATTATACTCCATAACCTTCATGCATAAGAAAACTACCCTGATACCCTAAATAAACCTTACTACTTGTATGAATCAGCCTTACTATGTATATTAAAATGCGTATCATTTGTAACTCCTGAACTACCCTTTGTGACACCATCAATATTTTTTCCTATAGGAGAATAATTATGTTGGGACTAAAAGACAGTGAAAATGTGTGTAGTATGGTAATGAAAAGCCAGGACTCAGAATCAGAATTACTGAATTTGAATTCTGCCTCTGATACTTATGCTTCCTTCTCTTCACCTTAGTTTCTGTGTTTGTAAAATGGCAATAGTATTATTTACTTCAGAGAGCTATTGTGGGGAGTCACTGAAATAATCTCTATAAAAAAATTTAGAACTTATTTTCCCTGCACATATGAATTCCATATGTGATAGATACTATCCCACTAATGGAGAGGATGTCTTTATTTTTAGCAGGTCCAGAGGTGGTTACACCATCAGTCATCACTGTGTTTGACACGCTAACTCCAACAACAGGTTTGGAATGTGAGGTATGACTGGGAATCTACTCCAATTAGTTGTTATAGCCTTATAATAGCTGTTCAGGTCTCTGTATCACTATATATTATAAAACTTATTTTGCTATATTCTATAGTTTATTTTTGCTAAAAGATGATAAAAATATGCTTAACAGTTGTATTTTCTTAACTGATTCAGGCATTTTTTTTTTGAGATAATGACTATAATTGTATTTGAAAATTATAAAGTTCTGTTTAAATGCAAGGGGAATCAGGTTTACCATATTGAGTTACAATCTAATTAGGAAAGAAGAAAGCAATTTAATGGATGAATAACAAAGAATGCAGAGAATTAGGTGGATGCTGGAGGACCCCACTTCTTTCCTTCATATTATTTAGACTCTGGTCACACTAAGAAAAACAAGTAAAATTTAATGAGGTGTTAAGTTTGATTTTTCAATACAGAATTATCTAGTGTAGGATTCTCTGTAAGGTGAGCATTCAAAATTATTTACCAAGCAACTACTATATGCCAGGCTATGAGCTAGATATAAAATTAATTTTTAATGATTCTACATCGGTTCTGTCAAATTGATCTCACATGAATTTATAATGAATTATTTGGATGGTATTAAGTTCTATTTTTTAAATGATATTAACAGAAGTATAACATATGCTAGCTATAAACAGAAAATAAAAGGTTGATTGCACTTAGAAGTCAGCTTGTAAACTCGATCTAGACAATTAAAGACTAAATTTAAGTAAGACTTAAATTTGCTTAGAAGTTTGAGCATATGTGGGCAGCTCTGCTATCAAACCATTGTTAAGGGCAAAGCTTAAATGAAGTCCATATTGAATATACTAGAGAAGCTACAGCAACAAAAAGTTGTAGTGAAAGTTTAATTATCTTTAAAAGCATTCATATTTGAGAAATGTGCCATAGGCAATGTGATTGGTAAATTAAAAAAAATTGAAAACTAGTGAAAAATGGGAAAAACTCACTAATTTTATTTTTTATTAACAGCCTCAACAGTTTGATCCTGTTTATAATTGTAGTCAATACATATGCCTTAATATGGAATGGACGTTATACAACTGGTCTCTTCACTGCCCAATGGAATTGGAAATGCCTGACTGTGGTTTTCGTGGAAGACCTGTTCAAGTGAACAGTGATGTCTGCTGCCCTGAATGGGAATGTCCTTGTAAGTTTGTATTTCTTAGTGACACTCCATTTTTATTCAAGGAAAAGTATGGTTTTTTTTTTAAACTACCATCTCATCAAATTAAAGTTATTGTTGAATTTTTTCCCCTTGATTTATGATTTCTGTGTATATGTAACTTTTAGAGTTGCTTCTTGTCAAACTTTATAAGAATAATCTAAAAGTTTTTTTAAAAAGAGCATTTTTCTCCACACCCTCACCAACATTTATTGTTTCTGTGTTTTGTTTTATTTTTGTGTGGGCTATTCTCATGGATATGAGGTGTATCTCAGTGTGTTTTTGACCCATGTTACTTGGTGAAGGTGGTGAGGTGACCCCATGCCTTTGAATCACATACAGTGTTGTAAACCACTGTTATCTCAATTAAAGAAAATAATCTGAGTTTTGAGTTTTGAAAAAGTAGTTATCACTACAAATACAAATAATTCACTAATAGACTACGTCCACCCTCCACCATTTATTTTAGGTCGGTGTTCCATGTTGTCAGAGCTGAGCATTATTACATTTGATGGCAACAATGCAGCATTATACAGTATGGCTTCTTATATTTTAGTAAGAATTCCTGGGGAAGTTATAGTGGCTCATATTGAAAGATGTTCCATGAATCAGGTAGGTTATATTCCATTCTTTTGCTATTTCTTCATTTATCTACAGTTCAGTTTTTTGCAATATTAGCTATTCTCGAAATAAGAAACTTTTTAAGAACAAACTGAGATTAATCTTTTGGCACTTAAGCCAAAATTTTTTCATGTGAACCTATTTAGAGGCATGTCATATTAATTCAAATACTATTTTAAAAAGTAAAGTGATACTTTTCTTTTAAAGGTTTTTTTTTATTGATACTTTTTTTTTCCAGAATGGAAACTCATTTAAAAAGCTAGTAAGTATTTGCAATACATTTAATAAATTCCTTCTGATTATTTTTAAAATTATGTTTAACTCCATAAAATTTTTACTTTTAAATCAAGGCTTCCTCTGGAAGAATCTCTGGACTTTGTTTTAAGAAGTTAAATTTGACAACACCTATAAATAAAATAATTGTCAACCGTTTAGCAAGAAAGGTAAGAATACAGTTTAAAAATATTCTTATATTAGATGAAAGTAAGAAATTATACAAATGCAATTATTTCCAAAAAGTGGTTAAACATATCAGTGAAGTTTTTTGTTATGGTGTCTAGTAATTCTTTTCAGAAGTAGTCTAAAAATATGTTTTAGAATAAAAATATGTTTTGGGCCTACCTGGTGGTGCAAGGGGTTAAGCACCACACTATGAAGCAGTCCCTGGCCCATGCAGTATGAGTTCGATCCCCAGCCGACTAGCGAGCAACCACATGGTGGAGCAGACCTCTCCTGTCTCACCCGTTGCTCCCCTCCGCAGTGTGTTTCAGCCAGTCTGCCTGTTCTGTTCCCCACTCTGTCTCTGGTGAATCCTGTCACCCCCTCATCTTTGGCCTGTACCCCAGCTCTTGTATGGATAAATAAACAAATCTAAAAAATAAATAAATAAAAATATGTTTCTTATATTTCTCCTTCCACAATGATATTTTCAATATCTCTTGCAAACATTTCTCCCCTTTTGAAATTAACTTTAATGACCATATTAAATAAATGACCATATTAAATACATCATATTAAATATATTAAATATAAATAGCCTTCCTGGATAGTATGAGTTGCCAAATTTCATAGTGTCAGGGTTAACATTGTTTCGGATTAGACTAAATGTAAATAATGAGATAAAGAGGGAACACAAATAGTGTTGATAGTAGCATAGATAGTAAATATCAGAATGCAAATATCAGAATGAAGACTGATGAGAGAGGAACCAAGAAAGGAGTGATACCTAGAATTAGAAAACAAAATGAAGGAATATTTAAGTTTACTGAAAACACCGAAAAGGAGCAATGTATTATTAAAAAGTTGGAAAGACCATTTTAATGGCCATTTTAAAGGTCTTTTAATAAGAAAATCCATTAGCCCAAGAAATATATATTTACTAGCTAGAAATGAGCTACATAAGCTTGATGTTTCAATGAGATCTAAATGGTTCTCTGAAAAATAAAAGAAAATAATGTGTAAAAATTTTTCTCTAAATGACTGACATGTCCTTTTGGAAGAAATTGCATTAACATTGAAAAATGGATTCTAGATTGGAAGCAATATTAAAAAAGATCCTTAAATATAGTTAGGTATTAGAAAATTTAATTTTAAGTGAAAGTTAAAAATTATTAGTAAGATGAATGAGGGACTTTTTTTGGATGATAGCATTTGTGTAGACCTTTGATTTTAATGAAGTTTAATATTGCTGTGAAGCAATTGGAAGACTGATTTAAACGCAAACCTGGTCAGTGCTATCACTGTGAGCATTTGGGCAAAAGGTTTATTTTCAGTCTCAAATTTAACTCAGACCTTGTCATATATTCCTAATTAGTTCCAAACTAATTATTTGAAATATATTTAGTGAGGGTTTAATGATAAAATGACACAGATTCTGATCTCAAGTAATGTGTAGTTGTCTGGGAAGTATGTATATGTAATTATCTGCTGTCTAGAAAGCATGAAGATGTCCAGTGATAGTTATGACCAACCTATCATGGAAACAGAGAAAAGTCACTTAATGCAATTACAGAAGAGTTAAATAGATATTTTTGGATGAAGTGACAGTGAAGATAAATCTTTATCAGCTTGTATGTTAGAGTATAAGAAAGATGAAAAGATGAGAAATCGATAGGCATAACTTCTACAAATTTACTGCTGGTTGCAGCTGATAATTCCATGTCATTTCCATTATTTACAACACTGTTATAATATAATCCTTGGACTGCCTACATTTGTATTACCAAGAGTAAAATACTGATAATACAGAGTCTGGAATCCCATGCAAACCTAGGAAGTAGGATATCTGGGAATCTTTTTACCAAGTTTGACACATCGTTGATATGACCATTATATTTAAACACTGATTTATACAGTGTTTAAAGTCCCAGGTTAAAGAAAACATTCTGAAAATAACTTTACTATCTTAAATTTATATTAGAAGGTACCGGTGTGATCAGCAAATATTGAGGGAAACAGACAGAAAACTATACATAATTGAAGAAAGTTAAGTTTTGAAGAAAGTAAAAGGCAGTGAAGTTAGAACAAATAGAATGTGACAAGACGCAGCAATGGACTAGTAAAGAGCTTAGAAATTATGAAAAGTAGTGGCAGTGTACATAAATTAAAAAAAATTAAAAAGTTTGTATTAAATCAGAAGAAATGGAATGATTTGAATTCTTCAAATTTTAAAGAGCATATATTTAAATATAAATATTTTTCTAACATAGGTAAATGCATTATGTTCTTTTAGGTAGAAGTGGATTCTATCATTGTACCTTTACCCTTCTCAAATCAAGACCTGGCCATAGAGGATTCTGGTATGATGTATGTGATTACCACCCCGGCTGGACTAATCATAAAGTGGGCTCATCTTACAGGAATCATAGACATTCATTTCGGCTTTCGATTTAACTTGTCATCTTACACAGAAGGACTTTGTGGTGAGCACTTCTCTCCAATATTTTTCGCTTCTTCTTTTCTTTTTTCCCTATTCACCTTACAGTTTTGGCTCCTGTTTACCCCCACTTTAGATTTGAGATGTGATGTAAATTTTCAGTTACCTATCTGAATGTTTAAGGAAGCAATGACTTTCAGTAAATGGACTAAGAAGCCTGAAATAACAGCTCACTTTGAGTGTTTTGTGGAAATATAGGCATGCCACTATTTCTATAATCCTGTGTTATGTTCCTGCTAACTCATCTTTATTAAGCATTAATGAAGTGTCAGACATTAGTCAGTATACTGTAACTCCTTTAATTCTAACAATGCAGGCCTCCCCTGGTGCTGCAGCGGTTAAATGCTGGGCTGCAAAGCTGCCCGCAGCCTCTGCCAGCGCTGGTTCAATCCCCTGCCACGGGCGAGGGTCCCACATGGTGTGCAGACCTCTCCTGCCGCCCGCTGCTCCCCTCAGCAGTGTATTTCGTCAGTCTGCCTGTTCTGTTCCCCACTCTGGCTCTGGTGAATTCTCTCACCCTCCCGCCCTTCTGACTGTACCTAGTGCTTGCATGAAAAAAAAAAAATTCTAACAATAGTCCTAATAAGTAGATACTAGTGTTAATGTTTAAATGACAAAAAAGAGTTATAAGAAGATTAAAGGGGTAACTAACTTTGTTTTTAAAAATTTTTTGAAGTTTATATTGGGGAAAACCCCAGTCATCTTAAAAGTTTATACAGGGGACACAATGTTCTGAATATGTGTCCCAGTTTTATTATAAAGCATAATGCCTACATGTGCCTTTACATGTAGTTAAGTCACAGTATGTGGTCCAGCTACGTAAAGAATTATTACAAGAAGCAAAGTGTTTGTAACTATGTGTGGTGATGGATGATAACTAGACTTATCATGGTGATCATTTCACAGTATATCCTAAAATGGAATCTTTTTGTATACCTGAAACTAAAGTCATATGTGATTTAAAAGAAAGAGTTGTAAGCCAAATGAAACAAATCAGAAATATTTCCATGGTATAAAAAATAAAAAGAATAATACTGGCTGTTGTCTTCTGGAAAGCTGAACTTGAGTTGTTCCCTTTACAGTTCTGTACTTGTAAGTGAACATTAGTTGCCTCATCTTTAAAATGGGAATAGTAATATATACTTTCAAGATTGTTACTAGGATTGAATGTGAAAATTAATGTAAAATATTTAACACATCTGCTTACTACAAGCAGTTAATAAATGTTTACTTAGTAAAACGTATAGCTGCTTTAACCTCACTAATATTGAATAAAAGTTCATGGATCACCTTCTGAATGTCTAACTCTGCTTGGTGTTGACAATTCAAAATGAATAGACTTAAGTTCCTGTCCTCACAAATTACATGAAATACCATATTTCTTTACAAAAACCTACAGCATTTAGTGGAAAGTTTGGCTAAAAATGGTCTGCTTATTTTGAACATTGGACCTCCCTGGTGGCGCAAGGGCTTGAGACACAGCCTATGAAGCTTTCCGCAGCCACTAAGGTGCAAGTTCAACCCCTGGCCGGGAGCTGCCCACATGGTGCAGCAAACCTCTTTTGGCTCGCCCACTGCTCCCCTCAGCAGTGTACTTCAGTAGATCTGCCTGTTCTGTTCCCCACTTTATCTCTGGTGAATCCTCTCACCCCCCACACCTCTGGCCTGTGCCCCAGTTCTTGATGCATAGATAAATAAATCTTTAAAAAAAATCATCTACATATTTAGAACATGATAAATGTAACCCAATCTCCTGTGCTGACTAAACATAATCATTGTGGAAATAGTTACACACAGTATTGATCATGTAGCATTTGAGAACATATAATATTGAGAACGTGCAGTATTGACTATACATAGTAACTCAATAGTTCTTATTGAGTAATAATTCATAGGATTTCAGAACACATATTTCCTCCTTTGACTTATCACTCTGTGTGCTGTGATTTCATTTTGATATTCAATTTTTTGTTCTTTTCTCTTTTAGTGTCAGTTTTTACTTTATGGAGACAGACACTCTGCTAATTAGATTCTTAACTATAGATTTGTAGTCACTGTAGAGAAGGGACTAGGATCACTTTTCTGCTCCCCAGTGGTCACCCCTTAAATTTCACACTTTCACAGTGGAGGAACAATGGTTTGTAAAGGGGAATCTGAGTGCTGTGAGGACTACTAGACTGGGTGTTAGATGAAAAGCAGTGAGCAAAAAGGTGGCCCAGGGCCTCCCTGCTGAAGCAAGGGGTTAAGTCTTAGCACTATGAAGCTGTCTGCAGCATGAGTTTGATCTCTGGCCTGGGAGCTAACCCACATGGCACAGCAGACCTCTCCTGTCTCGCCACTGCCCCCTTCAGCAGTGTATTTCAATGGATCCTCTCCTGTTCTGCTCCCCACTCTGTCTCTGGTGAATCCTCTCACCTCTGGCACTTCTGGCTTATACCCCAGTTCTTCTACATAAAAATAAATAAAATCTTATATAAATAAAATAATGTGGCCCAATGTGAGCACACACATTGGAACGGGTGGTCAACATTATACCCTGTTCTACACAGCACTCTGAGGTCTGCAGATGAGGTGGTGCCTGAAGTTGTAATGAAAATATAATTTTACTAGCAATTACCTTTCTCCAGAAGTGTTTAGACTTAAACAGTAGCTGCTGTACATTATGATTCACTTAAGCTTTGTTTTTTGCCTCTCACTCAGTCCCCTGTGTATTTATAATGATAAGGCGACTATGGCAGCAGCAACCTTTATTGATTTTAATGAATCTGCTTGAGGATTAAGATTTGATATGTGATAAAAAGATTAATTCACACATTTTACATCCAGGAGCCTTAGGAATTAAGAAAAATTATGTCTTAAAGGAGGGTGGGATTCGGGTAAGGTACAGTGAGATTTTTAGGTCCATTTCTCTGTACTACCATTGATTCTGTAGTCCACTGGGTGAAAAGTAGACTCCATTTTCAGTTGGGCCATTCTGAAAGGAAGCTAAAGACTATAATAGGTCAAACATCAGAGTCATCATTTGGCCATATCCCAAAGAAAGGAGATGGTCTAAGACCTCAAATTCCCAGCTGAAGTCCTGCAGTTAGCAACAGTTATCTTAATGTTGGATAAATTCAAGTATCTAGATGATTCCACAGCTTACTGATATATGCCTGGGTTACTTGTAACAGTTATTAATGCAAGGGTATAAGTTTATGCCAATCAGGACTCTCTCTGAGAGTAGTGTCATCAGGTGATAGGGCAGGATAGTTTCTGAAAGGAAAAAAAAAATAATGTTTTCAGGTAGATTTTCCAGGGAATGAATACAGAGAAAGACAAATGTCTACATTCCTTGACAATCTTAAGAACTAGTTCTTAAAAAATCACTTTCCTCTTTCTTCATCTTTTGTGGTCTCTTCACATCTTGACTTCTAAGATCGTGGTTTCTTTCTTGCCTGGGTAAGACAGATTTATACTATTTCATCAAATAACCAAGCATATAATTTAAAAAAATCTGTCAATGTTTAAGGCAATTGATACAAATATGAATAATTCAGTAAATTATTCATCCATTTAAAATCAGTTATTAAGGTGACTTATTTCTATTGCCTACAGATGGTTTAAGTGAAATTATTTTCCTTTTCAATGTCACATATTTTTCTAGGAATTTGTAATGAAGACCCAGATGATGACCTCAGAATGCAGAATGGCACAATTATTACATATTTGGAAGACATAGCATTATTTATTGAAAGCTGGGAAATTGAGAAATCATTTGAAGTAACAACGAGAAGACCTGTCAGAAATTGCACAGAGCATGACTGCACTCCCTGCACTGAGTTATTAAATAGAAGAGTTTTCATTCCATGCCATGATAAAGTAAGTTGAAAGTAACCATAAATAATAAATGTCACGTTAGACATGTGGAGAGCAAAAGCCAATAAATTTCTGTTCTTGCTGTGATGCTTTTCTAGGGAGAATAGTTTATTCCCAAACCTTCTGTGAGCATGTTTTAGAAGTCAGAATCATTTACTGTTTATAGACTTACAGAGACAGGAACGATAATTATCTTTTCTCCCCTATGTTGTTTTCAGAACTGTATCTATAGCGTTCATGAAAAATGAGATTCCCTCCTATGAATAAATACCTGTAGGAGAAAGAGATCAGTGTAGATTGATAACACAGTATTGAAACAAAGACAGTGAGAATTTTATCCACCCCTATGACCCTGGCCTCTTCGGTGTACATTTGTAACAGAACCAGTAACATATTCAAATTAATCATTATTTATTAGCCTCTAATGTTCAGACTTTAAGTGACTAGTAGAGATTGTAAATAATATGTATCATTGTAAAAAGATCCATTGTTAGAGACATAGACAAATATGGCATTTCTTGAATCATTTAATGAAAAGCTACGCACATCTAGGGGCACTGAGTTAAAGTTCCTGGGATAGAAAGATGCATAAAACTTTCTTCTTGACCTCAAGGTGTCTAGTGGAGAAGACTTCCCAGGGTTTTAGGTATTTGCATTATTATGGAAGGATGCATTTGCCAAGAGAGAAGAGTGAGAAAAGGAGACCGAGGCAGAGACAACAATACATACAAGAGTAAATTCATTGTAAAAGGCTGTGGTTAGCAAAACATCGAAATAGTTTAGTGCAAGAAAGATGGAAAGGTGGGCCTCCCCGCTGGCACAATGGGTTGAGCGCAGTGCTGTGAAGCTGTCCGCAGCCTCTGCAGCCTGGGTTCGATTCCCGGCCTGCCAGGGAGATGCCCACATGACGCAGCAGACCTTTCCTATCTTGCCCGCTGCTCCCCTCAGCAGTGTATTTCAGTCCTTCTGCCTGTTCTGCTCCCCAGAGAGTGAATCCTCTCGCCCTCTCATGCCTCTGGCCTGTACCCCAGCTCTTGTATAAAAATAAATATTTTTTTTTTTAAAGAAAGATGGAAGGGAAGAGTCTGAGAAGGAATGTGAGGGAATTGTAAAGCAGGAAGCACCTTCTGCTCTAGATACCCTAGTTCTCAGCTTCTGAGTCCCCTGAGGGAAAAGCAAAGGGTATAGAGTTACGGGATAAAAATGACCTCTCTTTCTGTAGCTTCAGTTTTATTGAAACTATGGATAAAAATCAGTTTTAAATGTTCACATTTTAAAATGCACGTGCACAAAAAAAAAGAAAAAATAACTTTCAAACTTATTTTAGTGTCATTTTATTCTTTTTATAGTGTAATGATTTTTGAAAAGTGCAGCCTTTACTGGGAACTTGGAAAGTTGATTAAATCAGGGAACTTTCAGCTTAAGTATTCAAGGCATCGCAAGGTAACACAGGATCTCCAGTGTCTGTGGTGGGCTCAGTCCTTCCCTAGGATCTTCCCACTGATTTTGTTGTGAAGGAAAGGAATGCTTATAATATGCTTTCCCATTTCTAATCTCCATCCTCTCTGCCAATCTTTACTTAGCAGTTTGATGGTCTTTTAAAAAATGGGAACAGTATATATCATTTCTCTGCTTAAAATCTTTCAGTGTCTTTCACTTACATTTAAAGTACAACCCAAGCTTCTCATCTGAGCTTACACAGTCCTCTGCTTACTTGTCCAGTTTCCTCTTTTACTACTTCTGTTAATTTGCTAAGTTCCAGATAGTTGTCTCCTTACAACCTGAATATGAAAATGAGTTAGAAGCAAAACAAATGACCAAATGAAACAAATGCAGACTATAAGAACGAAATAGTAGTTTACTAAGGGGAAGGATGAGTAAGAGAGGTAAAAAGGATCAATTATGTAGTGAAAGATGGAGACTGAAATTTTGGTTTTGAACATAGTGTAACATGTATAGCTATTGATTACAAGGTTGTACACCTGAAGCCTATGGTGTAAACAAAAGTCACTTCCAATAAAAATTTAAAAAGAAAATCTGAGGTGGAAGGGTAGCTATAATGAATGTTAACTTTTGCTACCTTTGAATCTCCAAATTTTAATTTAATTTAGGAGCTTCAAAGAAATAAGACTACATAACTGATCCCAAAGGAAATTGTATCTTTAGGTTTCACCACAGGACTTTTGTGAAAAAATGTGGATCAATTATACCTATTTCTGGAACTATGAGTGTGATGCTCTTTCTGCATACGTGGCTCTGTGCAGCAAGTTTGACATCTGTATTCAGTGGAGAACCCCTGATTACTGCTGTAAGTTGTGCACTTCAAATATTTCCTAATAACCAAATGGCAATCTTCTTCTGCATTCATTTATTCCTTTTCCTTTCATTTTTCATCAGAAATTAATTTGGTCAGAATAAAATGCTTGTAAATGTAACCTTGTAGAGGTCAGCTCTCCTGCTCAGGGTACCTTCTGTTTCCAACCTGCTCTAAAATTAAAGAAGATCCCAATAATGGTAATTATTATGTAATAATTGGGGCTTATTAGTCCACAAAAATAATTGTTTGCAAAGTAGATAGAAACTTTAGAGGGATCACAGAGGATCAAAGGGGGATGTTAAATCTTTTTTTTCCATTATTAATTTATTTTTTTATTTATATCTTTTACATCATTATGTATTCCCTGTAAAATTCCCACCACCAATTCACCCGTGAAACATCACCATAGTCCCTAGACTCTTCTCTCCCTATTTTATCCCTTTTCCTCCACTTCCTTTGCAGAATGTCTCTGATTTATGGTTGCCTGCTAGTTTTTATTATTATTATTATTATTATTATTATTATTGTCATTACTTTTTTTCCTGATCCCTTATTTGCTTCCCTTATATTCCTCCTATAAGTGAAACCATCGATATTTTTCTTTTTCCTTCTGGCTTATTTCATTGAGAATGATCCCTTCTAGCTCTATCCATGTTTCTGTGAATGGCATGATTTTATCTTTTTTGATTGCTGAGTAGTATTCCATCATGTATAGATACACCACATCTTTTTGACCCAGTCATCTATTTTTGGGCATTTGGATTGTAAGTTATAGCACATTTTGTCAGTTCCTATTCATCCTGCCTCTTTTCCCCCAGCTTGTCCTAAATCATTTGCGATAGGGAGAGATTGGAGATTTTTCTACCTGCTGTTCCTTTTTCCCTAACACCATATCCATTTTCCTAGAAACCAGTCTTTATGACTTTCTTTGATTAACCTCTAAGATCAATATTTCCCCCAATACATTCTTGTTTCCCTTCTCTTTTGTATGTGTTCTTTGTCCATTTTTGTCTATTGTGCTCATGCTTTGTCAACTTTCTTCAAGCAAACTTGATTACCTTTCACCAATCGTGGGCACATTTTGCAGACTATATTGTCAATTTAACTTAAGAGAGAGTTATTAAATAATAAAGATTTTCAAAATGAATGCTACTACCAAATAAAAGCTTTAATTTTCCCCAGGAAAAAAAAATTGCTTCAAGAAGAATGGTATATTGCAAACACCAGTTCCATAACTATGCTTAGAAAGAAAGCAATTACAGATGTAACTCCTGGTGTACCTATGTCCTATCCCTTTGCTCTCTGCTTCTCCCAGCAGTAATCACTATTCAAGAATAGGGTTCCTTGATTAATAGGGAATGTATGATATCTCCAATTTTATGAGACATGATTATATTATTCTTCACTGAGACTTTACATTATACCTCGACCGATTATATGTTTTTTTTTTTTAAACAGGATGACTTTTTCAGATAACTGAAAACCAATAAGAATTTTCTAAATATTTGAAACTCCTCAGCAATGGTAGTTTCTTTTGGCAGTGAAGGTTGGTGCCAAAGCATGCAGCCTTGTTCTTCTTTATGACTTGGTTGAGTTACATACTTCAAGCATTTAATCTTGCTTATTTTGAATAGCCTGTTGAATCTTCTCTCATTGCACAGAACAGTGAATTTTGAATAGTTGACACTATACTTATGCCAACCAGATTACGACTGCTTGTTGTTCATATCTTAATAGAAATCAGATGATGTTTTCCTACCATAATGTAATATAATACTAGCTGAAAGGCGCTCAAGAATATCCACTGATTATTTTGTTTCTGATTTATGGTCATATTAGTGAAAATTGAACTTTGAAAAGTTTGAAATGCATCAGATTTATTTTTAGAAAGAAATCTGACATTTTTTGCTTTTAGTGGAATTCAATAGCCAGGTAACTTCTGTCATGAACAATTTTTGCCCTCTATTCTTCATAGCTCTGAGTTGTCCAGAGGGAAAGGAATATCAGCCCTGTGTGAGATCTTGTGAAGCCAGAACATGCCTGAACAAGTGGTTCTATGGACATTCTCCATGTCTGAATTTAAGAGAAGACTGTGTGTGCAAAAATGGAACCATTCTTCACAGGCCAGATTCAATTCAATGCATTCCAGAGAAAGAATGTGGTAAGAAGCAAAGTATAAATTAACTTCAGGGAGCCAGGAAGTAAATACATACATGCATGCATGCATAATAAATAAATAAATAAAATATTTTTAGATCTGAGAAATATTAATCGAAGATTACCTATGTGTTGTAAAGGAAACAAGTTTGCTTGTTTGCAGGTTTTTAATTGGGGACTTGTGAGTTTGGTTTGCTACTTAGTAGGATAAAATAAGGAATGTTCATTGGGCATATGATGGTCACTACATTTGTATTTACTATTCCTTTAAAGACATACTAGAGGCCATATATATCATCAAGTAAAACTTTAATAATAAAACTAATAGTTTTTTATTATCACTAGTTTTTTTATTATCACTAAATAATAGTTTTTATTATCACTAAATAATATTTGGCTTGATTGCTTTTTCCATGTTTAAATTTTAAAGCAGAAGTGTTTTGAATTTTCATATGGCAAAAAGTTAATATAAATAGGGAATACCTGGTTTTCTCTTTTGTTTAGATTTTTTTCGTTTATTTGTTTATATATTTTTATATCATTGTTCATTGTTGTAGTGTTTGATTTCTCCTCTCAGGTGTTGTCCCCATAAATTACCACCACCAAGACACCCTTGAACCATCAACATAGACTCTTGTGCTCTTCTCTCCTGTTTTGATCCCTCTCACTCCCCTAATGAATGCCTCCAATTTATAGCTTGACTGTTAGTTTTGTCTTTTTTTTTTTTTAATTCTTCTGATCCTTTTTGTGGGGAATACCTTGTTTTCTAATACTGCTCATTTTTAATATTTAATATTTGAAACTGACTTAAGTTGACATTACTGTACTCATTCAAGCACAGGGGAAAGGAATAAAAATCATTAACAAATCATCTTACTTATAGATGAGTCCATACAGATTTCTATAATCAAAAAATATTTTTCATATTTATTTTTAATAAAATTTCATTGAAGAAAAATGTAGACCAGTAGCTGATAAATATAAAAAGGATTCTGAAAAAAGATCTGTAACAAGTTATGTTACTGGGCCAAGCCACAGTCTGAAATGGGAACATTGTAGCTTGCTTGTGTCAGTGCTCAGGTTTGGAGTGATGTAAAGTTGTCGATTTTTTTTTTTAAAGCATGCACTGATGGTGAAGACCAACCCCGCAGTGCTGGGGAGGTTTGGAATGGGGGCATTGACGAATGTGCTCTATACAAATGTTTGGAGAATGGAAGCATTATTCCTATAGAACCTGAATGTGATGACGAGCCTTCCCCTGTTTGTGAACGAGAAGCTGAAGTTGTCCTGGGCGTCGTCGATAAGTGGACCTGCTGTTCAAAGGAAATTTGTGGTATCTATGCAGACAGAAGCCCTGTAGTCAGTTAATGCCACAAAATATGTTATTTCTTGTGAAAAAGAAGGGTATGCATGATGTTTTGTATAAAAAATTAAGCTTGAAGTGACAATAGAAATACTGTCCTACATGCCACCCTTTCTCAAAGCCAGTTTTGTTATGGTTTTGTTAAATTTGCAAATAAACAGACAAAACTCTGTTAGCAACAAATATTATTCAGTAATAAGTGACAAGATGAAGGATCCAAGAATCTGACTTATGACAAGGGTGAAATACAATAATTAATAAATCTTAAGTTCCTAATTTTCACGTTTAACCAATTTTGTGAGTTGAGGAGTATTAATTATTGTACAAAAATATGCATAATGAGAGTTCTTTCCCTGCTTTGAGTTAGAAGCAAAAGATTTTAGTTATGTTCACTGATATTTTAATGCTTCTGTTTCTTTTTCTCCAGGATGTGACATGACCTTGTGTGAAACTACTGTTCCAACTTGTACAGATAGTCAAAAATTGATCATTGGCCACAGCCCTCTTTCTTGCTGTCCACAGTACCAGTGTGGTGAGTAAATAATTAGGAAAAATAAGAGTGCGATTCATTGTTCAGTGTGAATAGTAGACTAGATTCTCATTCTTTGTTTCCACAAGGAAATGATTTCTTATGCAGATTATATAATTGTCTTGCTAAAGCTAGTTTTTAAAATCTGCAATTTATAAATTTCTATATGTATATATGTGTATATGTGTGTACATATGCATGTGTACATACACAAAATTTATTTTTCTTTAATTTTATTGCTTTGTATTGAGGCAACATTACTTTATATTACTGTTCATAATTTAAGGGTATAGGCTCACCCCTCTGCCGGGTGTCCACCTGTTATTGTGCCCACCACCAAAGCACCCATAACCCTCCGTTATAGTCCACTGGAATCCTTACTTTACTTCCTACCCCCACTTTCCCCACACCTACCATCCTTTCTGGTAGCCTCAGTTCTGTAGTCATATTTCTAGCAATTGTTTTGGTTTAGTTTTTTTCTGTTGCTTTTTTATATATTCCACATATAAGTGAAATCATCAATATTTCCTTTTCTCCTTTCTGATTTGTTGCACTTGACATACTCCCCTCAAGTTTCTTCCAAGTTGTTGCAAATGGAAAGATTTCATCTTTTTTATAGTTGTGCATATATAGCATATCTTCATTTTAGGAAATAGCAACTATGTATGTAGATATACATATATGCATATATAATAGCTTTTTCCTAGATATTTTCCTTAGATATTTTCATTAAAGGTTAAAGTATTTAAAGTGAATTATCACTAAATTCAAAGAGAACTAAAGCACACTAATTTATTTATTTTACTATCTTACTTTATACAAATCATCAAATATCTTTGTGTTTCTGCAGAATGTGACCCACTCAGATGTCCCAGTATTTCAATACCAGAGTGCAAAGAAGACTATTTCATGCTTCAAGTTCAACAGGGAGAGCCTTGTTGTTTTTCTCCTCTTTGTGGTGAGTATAGTTTCTTGAAAGAAAAGGGAAGATGTAGGAAAGCTTTCATTTGATGTGAATTTCATAGGATTTTACATATATAAAGTTACCTGAAAAATTTGTTTAGTTCAGCTGTGACTTTCTGGGATTTTTTTCTGCTTTACCTTTAGTTTGTGAACCTTGCACTGAACCTATTCCACTCTGTAATGAAGGAGAATTTCTCACTGTGGATCTTAACACCACACACTTATGTTGTCCTCAGTATTATTGTGGTAAGTATTTTTTAAAACTATTTTAAAATATGTAGACATCTCCAATGTTTAAGGAACCCAGTCCCTTTTAGTTGTACTATTATATCAGAACTTAGTTGAATTCTAGCTTATAAAATATACATTACATATATAGAATATTATACTTCTAAGAACTCTTTTTGGATAATAACCTTACTGCCAAAAAATAAGGTCAGTTATAACTTTTTTCATCATCTTAGAATTTCTAGAAATCTTGGTGATTCCACACTACTTTCTTTTCTTTTTTTTTAAAGATTCATTTTATTGGGGGCCTCCCTGGTGGCGCAAGGGGTTAGGACACAACCTATGAATCTGTCCGCAGCCACTGCAGCATGAGTTCGATCCCCAGCCAGGGTGCAGCCCACATGGCGCAGCAGACCTCTCCTGACTCGCCTGCTGCTCCCTTCGGCAGTGTATTTCAGTCATTCCGTCTGTTCTGTTCCCCTCTCTGTCTCTGATGAATCCTCTTACCCCCCAACCCCCACACTTCTGGCCTGTGCTCCAGTTCTTGTATGCATGAATAAATAAATCTTTAAAAAATAAAAAAAATATTCATTTTATTATGCACACGATAACTGGGGTACAGGCCAGAGGTGTGAGTGTGTGGGGGGAGTGAGAGAATTCACCAGAGACAGAGTGGGGAACAGAACAGGCAGATTGACCAAAATATACTGCTGAGGGGGAGCAGCGGGTGAGACAGGAGAGGTCTGCTGCACCATCTGGGTAGCTCCCTGGCTGGGGATCGAACTCGTGCTTCAGTGGCTGTGGATAGCTTCATAGGTTGCATCTTAACCCCTTAAGCCACCAGGGAGGCCCAATTCCACACTATTATCATGCCTATTTTCTTCTTGCACCCCTGCCATTTCTCAAGCCTCCTCACCTGATGTGCTGTCCTCCTTCTACTCCTGCTGATATACCTGCTTACGTGTCATTCATTCCTTTCTCACCAACACCTGGCCAATGGGTGGCAGGAGAGTCAACACTGGGGAGATATGTGGCTGCTTATTACATCAGTAATGGTAATGAATTAAATGTAGGTGGTGAGAATTTATTTCATGAAGCTAATCTTTGCCCATGTAACTTTTCTATTTAGTTTGTGAGCCGAATCTTTGTCCTCAGCCATTACTCAGCTGTGCAGAAGATATGAATCTTTTGAAAGAAAATGTATCTGGTCAATGTTGTCCAACTTGGCGTTGTGGTAATTAATTTTCATATTTTGAAGTTTTATTGTGATATGTTAATGTGTTCTGATCAATATAAATGTGGTGCTTTTATCTTTTCAGAATGTAGCTGTGAGAACCTTGTTATGCCAACTTGTGAAGTGGTAAGACCACATTTTAATTGACTTGTCCTATTATTTAAAGCAGATTATCTTCCTTTATCTCTGTCATCATATGAATTTTTCTCAGAGTTAATGGAATTATCCCCATTAAATTGTACTGAGGTAGATTAAAATAATGTACTCTTTCATATTTAATTTGAGGTACGAAAGTACATGTTTTGTTATGAATGACTGATTCTACTAGTCTTGCATCTACTTAAGTTCACTTAAAATTAGGCCAAACATAAAAAAAATTATCTTAATATTGAAAGGAGGATCAAAACAAGGGTGGGAAGAGCACAAGGGACCATGGTGATAGTTCCCAGGTAAATGGGTGGAGGGAATTTTACGGCGACTGTAACCAAGATGAAAATGCATACATTGTACAAAAATGAAAAATGATGTAAAAAATATATAAAAAAATTAAAAATAAATAAAAAGGAGAAAATATTGAACGGAATCTTCAATGATTCTTCAAGGAAATGCATCTTTTGCAAAGAAAGGGTATAGATGTAACGATCTGCACCTTCTTAAAAGTTACCTATAAACTTGCTAATCTTGGAGAAATTCTAAAGATTTAATTTTTAGGAATAATTACAACGTTGCTGTCACATATTGAACCATTCGGTGTAATCCATAGTGCCTTATAAGTCTGTTTTCTTTAAATATTTACCTTCATAATAGAGCTATAAGGTTTGAGGAAAATATATTTCTGGCATTATTTATTAGGAAAGACTTTTTTTTCACAAAGAGACTTTATTTTTATTCTCTTTCTCAAACAATGTATATCCTTGAAAATCTGATTCAGACTCCCCAGGTCATAGCTATAGTGGGGAATAAATGAGGCATTTTTTAAAGTAATAGACCCCTATTAGGATGTCACTGCTTAGTAAACAAAGCAAGATGCAAAATTGTGTTTATATGAGATGAATAAGTTCTAGAGTTCTACTGTACAGTGTAGTGCCTATATTGTATATTGAAAAATTTTCTAAAGGTAGATCTTAGTTTGTGATCTTATCAAAATAATAATGGAAATAATAATAATAATAATAGTAATAGTAATAATAATGATGTGATGAAACTTTTGGCAGTATTGGATAGATCTGTGGCATAAGTAGTTTCATGGATGTATTCTTAGCTCCAAATCATCTAGTATGTACGAACTTTCGTATGCCAAAGTTGTGATTTGCGTAGATTATTTAATTACCTTTCATAAAAAGTCTTTACTGTTTCCGATGAGGCAAAGTTTAAACAATTCACTGACAGCTTTCTATCTGTTAACTCATTCTAGGTTCTTTACATAATTGATCCATTTGTTTCTCTCAGTAAACTTAGAGGTAGAAAGTATTACCACACCCATTTTACAGATGAGGAAAGTGAGGAGAAGCCTGGCTGAGTAACCTGTCCTAGACTATACAGCTAATAGGTAGCAGAGGTACATCAGAATGAAGGCAGTCTTATTCCTGAGTCTGTACCATTGGTCTCTATGCATATTTTTCGGCTCCTGCTTTACATACTGTAATAGCCTTGCAAATAGCAGACCTCTGAGCCACCTCTATGAAGAAGATAAGCAAAATTTCCACCAAGGGAAGTTTCCAGGATTTTCACGCATTCTCTTCCGTTGCACACTGGACACTCAGAATCAAACAACATAGCTTAAAGTAAGGACAGACCATAAAGATCATCTTATGACTTCAATCATTTACAACATAAAGTTTAGAGAGATTAAATGATCCTTGATCACATTGTTCATTGGCAGTTTTTCTCATGGGATAATCCATTAAATGATCACTGAATTAAGAAAAGGCTGTTCACTATCAAATATTTATTAAGCACCTGCTTTGTGTCTTGCTGTATAGTAGAGAACATAGTAGATCTTACATTATGTATTTTTATAATTGTCACAAAATAAACCCTATGATAAATCATATAATCATAATAATAATATCTTTCCAATAGGGAGAATTTACTGCAATAGACCATAACTTTCAGAGTGACTGTGGATGTGTAAAGTATCTCTGTGGTAACTATGATTTTTAACTCATAAGAGAAAATGAATAGTATAAATTTGTGTACTTACAGTTAATAAATTAAGCATGCTGTTTTCTTGTGATGTATGCATATTTTAAACCATTTGTCAATTTTTTAGCATAAAAACATTATTTTTGAGCTTCTTCTTTTGTAATGTCTCTAAATGTTCCAGAAATTTGATAACAGGACAGAAAAATGAATTTTTTTTAGAGATTTCACAGAACTTATAGTTGATGCTAAGGTTCTTTTTATTATATTATATTTAATTTTAAAGATTAGACAACAGAGGAAGGGGAGGGAGGTGTGTGAAAACAGGGGAGGGAATAGCACAGGGTATGGCATGATGGTTCACGTTGCTATGGCATTGGAAGAACTACGGGGACTACACCTGAGGGGAGAAATCCAGGATTGTACAAAAATGAACAGTGATGTTAGAAAATAAATAAATACATTTAATTAGAAAAAATAAAGAGTAGACATCTAAAAGTGAGGTTTTTTTCTCACTGCTTTATAATTACTGATGTTAACTTTGTAAAACTAACAGTGAGGTTTTTTTGAAATAACAAATCTTTATATTAAGTATTAGTTAATTGATAAAAAATAAAACTTTTGAGCAAGAAAAGTTGAAGGCTTTGTTTTTTTTTGAGACCAATCTTAATTCAGTGTTGGTGAGTCAGAGCTTCTGAGCTGAATTCTTCATCACTATCCTTTAAAAGATATAGTAGCACATTAAATCCATCATAAAACATGACATACATGACTATTAATTTATGACACAATAAAACTGAGAAGTTTCTCTCTAAATAACAAGTAAACGTCATGAACCGTTACACAATCCCATCATGAAGAGGCCTACTGCTACTGAATTGGGCTTTGCCTTTCTGCGTGCATATCCACTCCTAATATTTGTTTCCAGAAGGAACAGGAGTAGCTTGGCCAGCTTTGATCTAAAATTCTGTGGTCTGCTACAAAGTATAGCTTTTGGAGAAAGAGCAAACAGAAAACTACACTTGAGAGTACAGATAATATTTTTTATTTGTAAAAATATTTTTATTGTTTTTTTTTAATTAAGATAATGAATTATAACACTGTACATGATTTAGAGGTATAGGGCCACACCTCTTCAGATTTCTTAATGAATGTTAAGGAATAAATAAGCTACATTCATCATTAAGTAAATTCTTGAGTAATTATTAATGTATTATTAAGTAAACAATTTATAAAAGTGAATATCTTCATTGGTTTTGGTTCACTGATTCTTTTGTTGGTTTAGAAAATTTTTCATAGAGCAATGAAAACATGGGCTTAAATAAAAGTTTCATTGGTTAATAAAAAACTGAATAGTTTCTTTTCCTAGATAAGGACAATGTGTGTCTATTTCAAGAAACATCAGTACTGAATCCAGGTCAATCCATGATTAAATATTTGGAAGGAGACTATTGTCATTCAGTGGAGTGTCTGGAAGAAAAAAATAACTATACAGGCTTTCATGTGCTGAATTTTACAATGGTAAATTGCTCAAAGGAATGTGATATTGTAAGTATTCTTTATAAGTCATTCTGGAGAGAACTGATTAATCTTAAAATGATAACTATAGAATTTGAACTAGGGAATGCTCCATAAGTTAAACCTATACTCTTGAATAGTACTTAAATAATATATTCATGTGTAATGTATATATATATATGTGTGTGTGTGTGTGTGTGTGTGTATATATATATATATATATATATATAAATATAAAATGCACATCTTCATTTCCTTGTAAATGCCCTTGAGCGCCAAAAGTCTTATTATGTGTAGCTTGCTTGACCTGAGGTGGTTATATCTGCTTGATGAATCTTGACAGGTAGGTGTAAAGATTACTGTCTACTTCACTTCTACTGCAGTTACATAAAGTCAATTATTACTTGAAGTGCCTCAAATTTAGCAATGCTTACACGTGTTCTGAGAGAGCATATCGTTATGATAAGAAATACTTTTAGGGCTCATTCATTACAAATATTGATGCTATTGTGTGGCTAATTCAAGGTACTATTGTTATATGCAGCACCAGGTATATATGCCATCTCCAAGTGATTATAATTGCTGTGGTACCTGCAAAAATGTATCCTGCAAGTTTCAAATGGAAAATGGAACATCAGTTATACATGAGGTATAAATTGCTGTTTACCAAAATGTGTTCCTTGGAGAGTAGCTCTTTGTGCTATATTCTCAAGTCAAATACAAAACTCTATTGTATTTAGAGTTCTAAATACAATAAACACAGCTATATAAAGCACACATACACAAAACACAGTTGTAATTGTCACTGATAATTTCTGTCGTAAAAGAACATGTTTAACTCATTTCTCCAACTTGTATTATTATAGATCCTCAATTTTACCCCAGATATGAGGACTCGACCTTGAAAAATGCTCATTTCTAACAATTACACAGGAAAAATTATAATATATTTACTCATTTGAAATGAAATATTTTGATAGAAATCTGAAACCTAATATTGTTAGCACTTTATTATTTCAGATATTAAAGATTTCAATGTGTAGACAAAGCATTTAGAATATTTGACAATAAAAACAAGAGGATTCCAAGAGTCACAAATGCTATGCTATGTTCCCACCAAAAAGAATACATAGTTTCTCCGAATTCAATTATCTCTAAATAATTCTTTACAGGTTTGCAGACTAACCTACTCCTCCCCTAGAACTGAAGAATGGAATTTTGCAATTTTCGTGTAGTTGTTAGTTGTGTCATCAGGTGTTGGATAGTCACAGGTTCTCTTTGTGTTTTATGTCACCTGAAAGAACCTTTGACTTATCATTACTACCCTTAAGATTTTTTTGTCCATTAAATTTAATTATCTGGAGATCTTGTTTTTGGAGTACTTAATTACATGAGATTACTTGCATGTCCCAAGGAAAGCATATTTTTCCATTCCTGTGCTTTTGTTAAATAAGACAGCTAAACAATTATCTTTCTTGTATCATAATCTATTGTTTTACAATTTTGTGCAAAATAGTTTTGTTGATTTAAATAGTGTATTGCTGTATGTTTTATCCTAGCAGTATTTGTTTTATTTATTTATTTTTAAAGAGAGTCTTGCCCTCTTACATAATGAAGAGATACAGGTGTCAGAACAAAAGGACTGAGAGACTAGAAAACATGTAGTCATTTGGGGATTTGGGGTGAAAGGGCAGAATGAACTCTACAGATGTAAATAATCTAGAAACCATTACTGTCTTTAATTGGTATTCATTGTAATAAGCCTGAGGTTTAAAAAAATATCCGGTATGTTCAGAGTATTTTTAAAATATAGGTAATGCTGGGCCTTCCTTGTGGCGCAGGCAGTTGAGCGCAGTGCTGTGAAGCTGTCTACAGCCTCTGCAGTGAGGGCTTGATCCTGGCTGGCAGGGGAGATACCCATATGGCACAGCAGACCTACTGTCTCGCCCGCTGCTCCCCTCAGCAGTGTATTTCAGTCAGTCTGCCTGTTCTGTTTCCGCTCTGTGTCTGGTGAATGCACTCACCCTCCCGCACATCTGGCCTATACCCTGGTTCTTGTATGTATAAATGAATAAATCTTTAAAAAAAAAATAGGTAATGCAGATAGGTAAAAATATATCAAAATCATTAATTTGTTTTTTAAGAGTAAGCTTTAATTATCGAAAAATCTATTTTCTATTTTTGAATTCAACATTACAGTTTTTCTTGAATTTAAAGAATATCTCTTCTCTCAAACTTGAACTCATATATACTTTTCCAACTGAAGTTCGTGGAAGCTCTTGTTATTCATAGATTAACGTAGAACCTAGAGAAAAGGAACTTAATCAACATTCTTGTTCACAGGGAATCTTCAAGTCAGAGTTTGAATAACATTTAAAATGTGGATTAAAAAATAAAAATATACATCAACAATTACATCTCAGTAATTATGTCATAATTTATTTTCAACTGACTTTATTCTAAATAGGAATTCTGAAGTTAGGGATGAAACAAATAATTGTTATACTTAAAATTTTGTTAAAAGAATAGGAATAAGTTTTAAAATAGCCATAAGGTATACAAACTTAGAACCAAAAGTCAATAATCACTATCACTGAAAAGCTTAAAATATTGGGCTTCCCCTGGTGGCACAGGCCATTGAGCACTGTGCTGTGAAGCTGCCCGCAGCCTCTGTAGCGCCGGTTCGATCCCGGCCGGCCAACGAGGGTTCCACATGGTGTGGCAGACCTCTCCTGTCTCACCCGCTGCTCCCCTCAGCAGTGCATTTCGTCTTTCTGCCTGTTCTGTACCCCTCTCTGTCTCTGGTGAGTCCTCTCACCCTCCTGCGCATCTGGCCTGTACCCCGATTCTTGTATAAATAAATAAATACATCTTTAAAAAAAAAGACTTAAAATATTTTTGTTGATAAGGGAGTAGAAGGGAGTCTAAACAAAACTCAAGAAAGATGGCATATTAAGTAATTTGATTTGTTGTTTTATAATTAGTGAAGTAAACTGAGGGCAAGACCTTTGACACTGACCAAATTAGGTAATTAATTTTGTAGTAGCCACAGATACCCATTTGTTTTTTCCTTCTTTATTGCTTTATTTTTAAAATAAACTTTCAATTTTGAGGTAGTTTTGGATTCACATGTACTGTAAGACAGAAAACAGAATTTTCTGTGTACTTGTCATGCACTTTCTTCCATTAGTAACATCTTTTTTTAAAAAAAAATTTATTTTTTATTTAAATTTTATTTTTATATTCCCCATACAATTACAACCTCCTTATTTTGACCCCCATCCCTCCTTTCCCCGCCCCTCACCCCCCATAGAGTGTCTCTGGTTCATAGTTGTTTGTTGGTTTTGATATTTTCTTTCTTATAGTTATTCTTTTTCCTGGTCCCTTATTTAAGTTTTCTAGATTCCTGCTATGAGTGAGACCATCCGGTATTTTTCTTTTTCTTTCTGGCTTATTTCGCTGAGCATGATCCCTTCCAGCGCCATCCATGTTGCCGCAAATTGCATGTGTTTATCTTTTTTGAATGCTGAGTAATATTCCATGGTGTACATTAGTAACATCTTGTAAAACTATAGTAAAATATCAAACTAGGTTATTAGCAGACTCAATCAGCAATTGTATTCAGATTTCCTGAATTTATCTTATGTTCATTTAAAAAAAAATATTTATTTATTTACGCATACAGGAGCTGGGGTACAGACCAGAGATGCGCAGCAGGCAAGACAGGAGAGCTCTGCCTCACCATGTGGGTTTCTCCCTGGCCGTCTGGGGATGGAACTCAGACAATCCTCAGCTGCAGAGGCGGTGGATTGCTTCATAGTGTGGTGCTTAACCCCTGCGCCACCTTATGTTCATTTTTGAAGACGCAGCTAGTTATATGCAGTTTTATCAAGTTTAGAGTTAGGTATGGATGAAGCACTACCTTGTGCAGAATAGTCTCAATTCAGGCATCATTCTTATTGCCTTTTTTGAATTACATCTCCCAACCTTTATTCCAAGCCTCCTTATCACTGATCTATTGCTTTATTGTACATTTACATCTCAGTTCCAAACACACACACACACACTATATATATATATAAATCCATACACACATATACATATGTACATATATATGCATTTTAAATGAATATTAGATATATTTGGGGACATTTCCATATGAAAACTATGTCATAAAACATTTTCTGCATGTTGACTTTACTTTTAATTTGGCAGGAGAGGAAATTTTCTATTTAAGAAATACAATAGATATTAATATGCAAAACAATAACTTTCTCTTTTATTTTTAGGAGGGGAGTACTTGGCATTATAATTGCACCACATATGAATGTGTTAAGACTGATGAAGGAACAATTATTCTGAACTATAGTATGGTCTGTCCCCCTTTTAATGAGACTGAATGCAAAATGGTTTGTAATTTGTTATATTTATGAAAATTTTGTGTTAGGTGTAACTTAGAAAAATATGCATTAGTATGTTTTCTAAGATCATAAATACATACTTTGTGGCTTATTCATTTTGATGTATGTTTTATTTTCATGTATAAGTAAAAGTCCTGTTATATTTCTTCTGTTTTCCATTTTGAGTTATGTGAGGTATTCCAAAAAATTTTGACATAATAATAATTATGTTATCTCTGAAATTTTATGTGTAGATCAGATTATTGAAAAATCATTTGATCAGTTGATTTAGACTATTTTTCAATATGAATTTATAAACAAATCAGTTAAAGCTTGTCCAGCTTTCTTTCTTAAATAGGTTTATGATGTCATTTACCTGTTAACTCTTGCTGCCTAAGTCAAATTTTTCTTAGCATCTCCAATCACAAGCCACTGTAGAACTCAGCACTGGTTATACCATTGCTGACACTTTAATCTTACTGTCCCAATTCTTTATTCTGTCAGAGAAAATTTCATTGAAAGTATAGATTCTTGAAAATGAAAACAACAATTTTTGGAAAAGATCCTTTGAAGCTTTAAAAATAGAGAAACTGATAATGGAGAGTGAAGTTTGTTCTGTTTTATGATGCCATAATATTTGTAAGGGTAGAGAAATAACATAGTTTTATTTTTTCAAGTATACTCTTTTAGTGAGAATTAGCTAATAAGATATGATACATGTGAAAGTCATAAAATTTCTACTCTGGCAAAACAGACATCATCTTAGAGACTCATTCTTATGAGTAAATTATTCTTATATTTGAATTGCAGTTAGCAGTAACTATGTAACTACTATAATATTTAAAAAGGTAATCAATATAATTTTCTGAATTTAAGTTTTGGAGTCATCCTGAAGTGGAGAATTTTTAAATAATAAAATATTAAAGAAAAAGATAAATCATTTTAACATTCAGTTTATGTTCAAGAGTTTAGTCCCAGAGAAATTTAGATCATTTCTAGGAGTTGAAAAAATATAGTGACCTCTATTTAGAGTATCTATTAGTACTTTGCTTTGGTAAGAAATATTTTTGAGTAGTGAAAATGTGTTTGTTTAAATAAGTTGATTTTGTTTAAATAAGTTGATTATTTTAAATAAAATATCTGATCTTAATTTTAAAAACAAAGTTATTCTTATTAAAAGGGGTATATCCCATTTGTTTTTCTATAAAGGTTATGTGATATTTAATAAAAATATTGAAGAAACTTGTTTTCTATTTTTAGTTTAAGAGGAAATGAATGAACATTGTGAGTTTTGACTTTATTCCTTTTCTCCTCCTAGAATGAAGGGATTGTGAAGTTTTATAATGAAGGTTGTTGCAAGATCTGTGAGTGATGATATATTCCCATGGTGTATGCCTTACATATGTGTCTGTACAAATTTTCCCTTTGTTATAAGGATACTAGTTCTATTGAATTAGAGCTCTCTCTAATAATCTAATTTCACTTGATCACCTATAAAAATCCTGTCTCCAAATAACATCTCATTCTGAAGAATATATGACTATTAAGAAGGCACAATTCAACCCATAACATTTATATTCTTTTGTTGGGACTTTTGTGGCTAGTATAATACTACTTTTTTTTTTTTAATTACTAGGACTAGACACATAGTACTTAAAAGTTTACTGCTCATTAAACGCAAGCAATTTTTTATTCTCTCTGAATAAAATGTAAACTAATGTGTATTAAATAGTCATTGTATAAAGAACTCAAAGAATGACATTTTGACTCTAGAATATGAAGACATTTATAGTTTTGTGATGTCACTTCTTTCTTCTGCTTCTTCTGAGTTGAGACTTCATAGGTTTGAGACATAGGAATAGAATCCTGTTGAAGTGTTAAGACTGTGGATTCTATAATGTTAATTATTAGAGATGTGATTGCATTTATTTCACATGAGGGCAGACAGGAGAAGATTTGTGTAATCAATCATATTACTACTATTTGTTGCTTGCTACACATTGATTTTCTATTAAGCATATTGCAGACAGACAGGACCACAACAAATCTTCACAATAGTTAAGGCAGTAGGAGAGGTGGTAGGTGTGGTTTACCTTATAGATCAGGAATTGAAATTTCAGAAAAGTTGATTATACTTGTCAGTAATAGATTTAGGCCTCTTCAATGCCTGGCCTCAATATCTTTCAATCTGCCAGCATATATTTTATAGAAATACATCAAACTTAAAATTTTAGGTATAGGGCCTCCCTGGTGGCGCGGGCGGTTGAGCGCCGCACTGTGAAGATGTCTGCAGCCTCTACAGCGCAGATTCGATCCCTGGCCAGCCGACGAGAATCCCACATGGCGCAGCAGACCTCTCCTGTCTCGCCTGCTGCTCCCCTCAGCAGTGTATTTTGTTAGTCTGCCTGTTCTGTTCCCCACTCTGTCTCTGGTAAATCCTTTCACCCTCCTGCACCTCTGGCCTGTACCCCAGTTCTTGTATAAATAAATAAATAAATAAATAAATAAATAAATAAATAAATAAATAAATAAATAAAATTTAAGTAGAGTCATAGGTTTACTTGAATTAAACATTTTGACATGGGCTTTTTGAATAATTGATGAATTAATGCATTCTATATTTTATCAGGTAAACGAGAAGAAAGAATATGCCAGAAAGTGATCATTAAATCAATCATAAGGAAACAGGACTGTATAAGTCAAAGCTCTGTAAGTGGAAAAGCAACATTTGTTACATGAAGGACATGTGTCTCTCCAAAAGTTTGTGTCACATATACTAATAATTTTGTAAGCCAATAAAATGCTAATACATGATATTTAACTTTGAGATTATTCCTATTCTTATCTTAAAATATACTGTTTGTGAAGAAGTGTGAATTACTGTTAGCATACAAAATCAACAGTTCTGAATGATAATTGTGATCCACAGAGATTAAAATTAAATCTAAGTATATTTGACTACATATTGTCTTAACTGTGCAATTTTACTCAGCAAAAATGTTCTAGTTTTAACTTTGCCTCCTTTAATATAATTTGTTCTCTTCTTTAGTTGCTTGATTAAGGTGTAGCACAGGTTACTATGTTAATAGTTACTATGTTAATCACAATCACTAGATTGTGATTAACATGTTCCTTATCTGTGTAGTTATGTGCACACATTTTATACTTGGAGTTATATCAACATCAATGTAACTTTGCATGGAACATCACCTTGACTTTTGCAAATTTGCAACTTTATATTTTTTGCAGTTTTCTGACCTACAGAGGCTCTAGGGTTGAAATGATAAGGAAAAAGACTTTCATTTGACTTCTTAGTGGAATCAATCAATAGTCTTTTATATTTTTCAAGACATTCTTTTCTCACTGTCACTCCCTACAGATAAATATTGCATCCTGTGATGGAATATGCCCATCAGCCACCATTTATAATATCAATATTGAGAGCCATCTAAGATTCTGCAAATGTTGTCGTGAAAATGGAGTGCGAAACTTGACTGTGCCACTGTATTGCTCAGGAAATGGAACTGAAATCATGCACACCCTCCAGGAACCTATAGACTGCACATGCCAGTGGATTTAAGCTTCCAGATTTGAAAAACACAATGCAGCATCATAATGTCAAATGGATTGAAATTTTATCTCTACTATCTAGGCACTGTGCAAGTATATACCATTTAACAGTAGTATATTTTTCAGATGATTAGTTTATGGCAATTTGACACTTGGTATGAAATATATACAATGTCCATGGGAAAATAGATTTGTTGATCTACCCTATTTTAGAGAATCAAATTATTTTAAGTCATTTAGGTGTCTTTGATGTATAAAATTGCAACATACTGCAGACCTGGGATGGTCTTGTCAAATAGAAGTTTATTTTACTAAATTCTTTCCATTTAACTTGAGTTATTTTTTGATTTGCAAAATATATCTCTACTGTTGAGTCTGGTAAAATATCATCAGTTAAAACTGACATCTGTAGTCATAAAGAGTGGCATCCTTAGAGATATATCATAGAACTGTGGGAACTAAGATTATTTAAAGCCTGAATGGAAGTTAGGGATATTAGCTGCAAATTCCCCTCAGTTTGCAGATATATCATATAACCAGAGAAGCTGTTTGACTTGTACAAATTTATTTGATGTAACAATATAATGAATTCATGTAAACTGTTAAGTTCCAATGTGTATGTACTAGTTCTTTTATATGGTCTTTTCTTTTGAACAGTAAAGTATCTATCATAAAATATTTTATTCTTACAGAATTTCCTTGCATAGAATTGAGAATTTTAAATTTAATACCTTTTTAAATAAGATAAAATACCACACATGCTTATGCATATACAGGCATATAATAGTCATCACACTATTAATGAATGGGGAAATGTAGCATAGTTACTAAAAAGAGAGGGATATCTTGAGCTTTTATTTTTTTATGCAATTAAAACTATTATCAAATATATTGTTACTGTTTAACATTTAGCAACCTATTTACTATCTCAATGATGTTTGACTTTTGAGATGCATCTGCATACTATTGAAGTTGCATGCTATTTTGCTGTTCATGCTGCTGCTGCTGAAGAATGAAATAAAATTATTTGAATGTATTAATAATTAAGCTTGTAGTAGAATGCTTCACTTTTTAAATACAGTAGATTATTGATATTTGCAATAAATATATCTTGAGATATTTGAAAATTCCCAAATTCTTTTCCACTTCCATAATTGTCTAAATTTTCTCATCTCTAGGGAGAGGTGCCTTTCTTGGGATGATGTGGGGATCAAATAAAGTGGAACATCAACGAGAGAACAGTAAAGTGAAAGCAGATGCAGGGGCTGTGGACAAGGCTCAGATTTGAACTAGGTACTTTACTTTCAAGTACAGGTGTTTTCATTTCAAAATTATGTGTCCCAGAATGGGCAACTATAAGTTCCCCCACTATCCAAAAGTGGAATGTTTTCTGAGAACAACTCAAAAAATTTTTCCATATAAACTATGGTAATGACAGTCTCAGGTCTCAAATCTACATGTTGAATCATACCAAATAAAAATGTCATACTTTGGGCTAGTGGGGAAACCAGTATTAGGGTTACTTAAAAATGGATAAAGGAATGATATATACATTGAGCCTTCAAAGTCCCAATAACTACTATATATAAAAATTGATTTTATCCAGTTGTGCATAAAATGACTTTTTCATCTACATGTTGACATTTTGATTTTCTTTGATTCCTATTAACATATAGATTGAAACAAATATTTTTGGTTAAAATAACATTTTGCTTAAGTGAAAGTGTTATGTACTTCAAATAAGGCACATAATGTATATTGCCTTTATTTTCTTTATTTTCATGCTCTGTGAAAAATTTATTAAATATATTAAGTCAATTTTTTTGTGGAAAAATGGAAGCATTCCCCTAGAATTTTATAAACAGTCTCAAATACAGTAACTGTGTCTTGAGCACCTACTATGTGCCACGTGCTGTTCTGAGGTGTTCTGAGGGACAGGAACAGGCACTGAGCAGGTTTTCTATGATCCCATGCAGATGGGGTAAAGGAGGAGAGAGTCCTGGAGACCTCAGTGGGTTTTCAGGCTTTTATTGGGATTACCAGGTACACGGCAGGCAGGGGTGCTGGGGGGCCGGGAGGCTAGCAGGCCTCCCAGCCCCCAGCAAGTCTTCACTCTGGACTTTCCAGCCTTCTCTCACATTCTCTCTGCTCTTCTCATGGCTCTGCTACTATCTCAGCTTCTCTGCTCCTCTGCTTCTTTCTTGGCTTCTGCTGGCGTCCCCATGACGCTGCCCTTAAAAGCCCAGTCTTAGCCCAGGTGAATCCCATCTACCTATGCCCACACCCTACTCCAGGTGCCCGCCATCAGCCATGCATTCAGGACCGCAGGGTTCTGTCATCTATCCTAATGGCAGGAGGGCAGAAAAGCCTGATACTTTTTACCTTACCCTACATGAGGACATAGGCCAAAAATGCTAAACTCCTCACCCTCATTCACTCAACTTGGAGTTTAATGAGAAAATAAGAATTAGATAAATATATTCAAGAAAAAGTCCAGAAGAGAACCTAAAACTTTCGAGGGTATAGTATATGATAAAGGTGGCCTCCTTTTCTTACTGATATTTGTAGGGTAAGGAAAAAATGTCAGGCTTTTTTGCCCTCCCGCCATCAGGATAGATGATGGATCCTTGTGGTCCTGAATGCATGCCTGATGGCGGGCACCTGGAGTAGGGTGTGGGCAGAGGTAGATGGGATTCACCTGGGCTAAGACTGGGCTTTTAAGGGCAGCGTCATGGGGACGCCAGCAGAAGCCAAAGGAGAAGCCGAGAAAGAAGCTACAGAAGCCGAGAAGTGGAAAAACAGGAAAACAAAGAAGCAGAGAGAACACCAGAGAGCCCAGAAAGAGTAAAGAATTGCTGAGGGCTGGGAGGACTAGCAGCCTCCTGGCCCCCCCCAGTACCCCTGCCTGCCGTGTACCTGGTAAACCCCAATAAAAGCCTGCAAAAAGCCACTGAGGGCTCTGACTCCTTTACCCGGTCTGCTGGATATTAGAAAACCTGCCCTGTGTCCTTCCTGCCCCTACAACATTGTTTAGAATTCTGGAGAAAAAGAACTTCATGCCTCCCCCATGTGAGCCCTAGGGACTCTGGCTTCTCCCCAACTTCTGAACCTTGAAGAAGCACCGTGTCCCCAGATCTAACTTGATGAACTGGGCAACGCACCTTAGGAAAAAAAAAAAGGAATTAAGATCCTGTGCGTGAACTGGAGACTATTCATTCTCTGGGTGTATCCTTGGAACGTGAACTGTGGGCGGCTCTCTAACATTTTCACTTGTATTACTTTTGTTACACTGTTACCTGATTTCCCTTAAGTAAGTTCCTTGGGGCCTCCCCGGTGGCGCAGCGGTTGAGCGCTGGGTTGCGAAGCTGCCCGCGGCCTCTGTGGCGCCGGTTCGATCCCCGGCTGCTTCCTGACCACCGGAGGAGGGTCCCACATGGCGCGCAGACCTCTCCTGCTGCCCGCTGCTCCCCTCAGCAGTGTACTTCGGTCCTTCTGCCTGCTCTGCTCCCCGCTCTGGCTCTGGTGGATTCTCTCACCCTCCCGCGCTTCTGACTGTACCCAGTGCATGTATAAACAAAACAAACAAACAAATAAAATAAATAAATAAAGCATGCCTCTATTAAAAAAAAAAAAAAGTTTAAAAAAAAAAAAAAAAGTAAGTTCCTTGCAGTTTTTCCCACCTCAGTAAATGACTTGTCAACATTTAGAGAGAGAGAGAGAGAGAGAGAGAGAGTGTGTGTGTGTTGTATTGTGACATTTATACATATTTCCTGATAGGCTCAGAAATATACCTTGAAACTACAAAATGAAATCTGTTTTTAATCTTTTTTTTTTTATTAATAAATTTTATTTTCATATTCCCCAGGGGAGGGATTGGGGTCAGAATGGGGGGATTGTTTTTAATCTTATTAAGTCAGTAAAGTTTTTTGGCTACTTAGGATTTCATGTTGGGAAGGAGAATTAAAAACTCTCCTGCACTGTTTATAGGTGAAAAACAATATAAAATATCCACATAAATAATATCCATTGGCATTTTGTTTGTTTATTTTTGCCTTTTTGTCCCTGCTAATGAACATGTTTTTATTATTTTAAATCTTTAAGAATTTTTATACTCCCAGAAGTTTTTCTGCATTAAAATTTTGTGTGCTACACAGACCAATGGAATCGAATAGAAAAATGCAGAAATAAACCCACAGATTTATGGTCAACTAATCTTTGACAAAGGAGCAAAGAATATGCATTGGAGCAAAGAGAGTTTGTTCAATAAATGGTGCTGGGAAAACTGGGTCGCTACATGCAAAAGAATGAAGCTTGACCACTACCTCACACCATACACAAAAATCAACTCAAAATGGATTAAAGAACTAGACATAAGACTTGAAACCATAAAATACATAGAAGCAAATATAGGCGAAACACTACATGATATGCACATCAAAGACATTTTACAGACACATCACCCAAAGCAGTGATAGCGAAGGCAAAGATAAACAGCTGGGACTACATCAAAGAGCTTCTGCACAGCAAAAGAGACAATAACAAAAACAAAGAGAAACCCCACCAACTGGGAGAAAATTTTTGCACACAACACTAATGATAAAGGAGTGATCACAAAAATCTACAAAGAGCTGATGAGACTCAACAAAAACAAAGAAAATAATCTAGTCAAAAAATGGGCAGAGGAGCTAAAAAGAAACTTCTCTGAAGAGGAAATGCAAATGGCCAACAGGCATATGAAAAAATGTTCAACATCTCTTGAAATCAGGGAAATGCAAATCAAAACTACCATGAGATACCATCTTACACCAGTGAGAATGGCACATATTAAAAAAACTAGCAACAACAAATGTTGGCGAGGGTGTGGAGAAAAAGAAACTCCCCTGCACTGTTGGTGGGAGTGCAAACTGTTCCAACCACTGTGGAGAGCTGTGTGGAGATTTCTGGACCTACTAAAGATAGAGCTTCCATATGATCCAGCAACTCCACTCCCAGGTATTTACCCAAAGGACACAGAAACATCCATTCCAAAGAGCACCTGCACCCCTATGTTTATAGCAGCACTGTTTACAATAGCTAAGATTTGGAAACAACCCAAATGCCCAAAAATAGATGACTGGATCAAGAAGATGTGGTACTTATACACCATGGAATATTACTCAGAATTCAAAAAAGATAAACACATGCAATTTGCAGCAACATGGATGTCGCTGGAAGGGATCATGCTCAGCGAAATAAGCCAGAAAGAAAAAGAAAAATACCGGATGGTCTCACTCATAGTAGGAATCTAGAAAACTTAAATAAGGGACCAGGAAAAAGAATAACTATAAGAAAGTAAAAATCAAAATCAACAAACAACTATGAACCAGAGACCCTCTATGGGGAGTGGGGGGCGGGGAGGGGAGGGATTGGGGTCAAAATAAGGGGGTGGCAATTGTATGGGGAATATAAAAATAAAAAAAAATTATATAAAAAAATAAAATTTTGTGTGCTAAATAATATATCCTTAAGTGAATACCAACATTTTTTTAACTTATCTATTAAGGGGTATTTAATTTTTTTAAATTTTCCCTATTATAAATTTTTTTTTCCTATTATAAATCTTTACACATTTGTGGAGTTGAAGAAAGGAGTGTCATCTACATGCTGAAGTATTTCCACATTCCTTAATTTGTTTTCCACAACAGCTAAACCAACTTTCCTCCCATAAGATATATAAGTGTTTGTTTTATTTAACCTCTGCAGTCATCAACTTTTAAGTACAGGTGTTTTCATTTCAAAATCATGTGTCCCACAATGGGCAACTATAAGTTCCCCCACTACCCAAAAGTGGAATATTTCTGAGAACAATCAAAAAATTTTTCCATATAAACTATGGTAATGACAGTCTCAAGCATGCAGTGGAATGCAAGTTCATGTTGATAGAATAAGCAAAAAAAGTCAGTCATGTACTAGTATATATGCCTGAGTGAGCTGCGGAATTTCAATCTTTTTGCATATTGATTGTACTTCTTTTGTCTATTTTTAATTTTTCCATTTTGTTAATGGTGATTTCATAGTGTGCCTTATGTGAATAAATAATTTTGCAAACTTTAGATGAGTTAAGCTCAGACTGAAATAAGCTTTTTAATTTTTAACACTTTTAACTTTATGTACCGCTTTAGGGTTTTATTATAATGAATATGACCTAGGATTTTTGGTTCCATTTAAATTTTAAAATAGTAATTTTAAAACTTAATAATATAAAAAATTAAAATTAAATACCATTAACCAAACGAAACCTTTCATTTATATTAGTTTTGAGATGACTGTGAATTAATTAATGATTTACTCAATTAAGCCGAAAAGGAGAATAGGTATTCAGGATATCTTTTTTTATTTAAATATTTTATTTTATATAATTCTTACATCTTTTTTCATCTTTGCACAATGTATGCATTTTCATTTTGGTTATATTCCCCATACAATTGCACCTCCCCCCTCATTTTGACTCTAGTCCTTCCTCTCCCCCCTCCCCCCCCACCAGTGTGTCTCTGGTTTATAGTTGCTTGTTGATTTTGATTTTTACTTTGTATTGATTAGTCTTTTTCCTGGTCTCTTATTTAAGTTTTCTAAATTCCTGCTATGAGTGAGACCATCCAGTATTTTTGTTTTTCTTTCTGGCTTATTTCGCTGAGCATGACCCCTTCTACCTCCATCCATGTTGCTGCAAACTGCATGTGTTTATCTTTTTTGATTGCTGAATAATATTCCATGATGTATATGTACCACATCTCCTTGATCCAGTCATGTGTTTTTGGGCATTTGGGTTGCTTCCATAGCTTAGCTATTGTAAACAGTGCTGCTATAAACATAGGGGTGCAGGTGTTCTTTGGAATTACTGTTTCTGTGTCCTTTGGGTAAATACCTAGGAGTGGAATTGCTGGATCATATGGAAGCTCTATGTTTAATAGTTCAAGAAATCTCCACACAGCTCTCCACAGTGGTTGGAACAGTTTTCACTCCCACCAGCAGTGCAGGAGAGTTCCTTTTTCTCCACAACCTTGCCAACATTTGTTGTTGCTAGTTTTTTTAATAATGTGCCATTCTCACTGGTGTAAGATAGTATCTCATGGTAGTTTTGATTTGCATTTCCCTGATGACAAGTGATGTTGAACATTTTTTCATATGCCTGTTGGCCATTTGCATTTCCTCTTCAGAGAAGTTTCTTTTTAGCTCTCTGCCCATTTTTTGACTAGATTATTTTCTTTGTTTTTGTTGAGTCTCATCAGCTCTTTGTAGATTTTTGTGATCACTCCTTTATCATTAGTGTTGTGTGCAAAAATTTTCTCCCAGTTGGTGGGGTTTCTCTTTGTTTTTGTTATTGTCTCTTTTGCTGTGCAGAAGCTCTTTGATGTAGTCCCAGCTGTTTATCTTTGCCTTCACTATCACTGCTTTGGGTGATATGTCTGTAAAGATGTCTTTGATGTGCATATCATGTAGGGTTTCACCTGTATTCTATGTATTTTATGGTTTCAGGTCTTATGTCTAGTTCTTTAATCCATTTTGAGTTGGTTTTTGTGCATGGTGTGAGGTAGTAGTCAAGCTTCATTCTTTTGCATGTAGCGACCCAGTTTTCCCAGCACCATTTACTTTCTTTGCTCCAGTGCATATCCTTTGCTCCTTTGTCAAATATTAGTTGACCATAAATCTATTCAGGATATCTTGAGTCTCTGACTCCTGAAGGAGAATAGAGGTTCTTAATTTGACTAAAAAAAAAGCTTCTGAGATTTTTCTAGGCAATTAATTACAATGCAGCATCTCAAGGTCAATATTCACTGTACACACTATTGAGATCCGGATTTTCAACAGTTTTTTAAAATTGATCTATTGAGAATATAAGTTTTTCCATCACACAGAATCAGATTTCAAGTATGACAGGCCAGAGGGTCTGTAGCCCAGGGACTAGATGAGTATTCACATTTGTGCTAACATTCTCAGTCAAGATTGCTGTGAATGGCTCCCAGTTTGGTCCCAGTGTAACGTGTTGTAGGGTAAGGTAAAAGTATTGGGCTTTTCTGCCCTCCTCCCATTAGGATAGATGACAGAACCCTGTTGTCCTGAATGCATGCCTGCTGGCGGGCACCTGGAATAGGGTGTGGGCATATGTAGATGGGATTCACCTGGGCTGAGACTGGGCTTTCACGGGCGGCGTCACGGGGACGCCAGCAGAGAAGCAGAAGCAGAAGCAGAAAGACCACCAGAGAATGCCGGAGAGCCCAGAGTGAAGACTTGCTGGGGGCTGGCAAGTCTGCCTGCCTCCCGACCCTTCAGCACCCTTGCCTACTGTGTACCTGGTAAATCCCAATAAAACCCTGCAAAACCACTAAGGGCTCCAGGACTCTCTCCTCCTTCACCCGTCTGCTGGAATCATAGAAAACCTGGTCCATGTCCTCCTGCCCCTACATGTGCTCATCTGGGGGACAAGGGCATGCCGACACCTGCCCCAGGTTCCTTGCCATGTACCACAACAAGAAGCTGTTTCTGCCCAGAGGAAGGAACGTCTTTTTCTTTGCACAACTGGCCTCTTGCCTAGCCAAACACCCATCTTTGGGGCTGCCTCTTCTCAGAGGGAGGAGTCTGTTTCTAATAACTGCTGAGGTAAGAAAGGGGAGGCAGTTTTTAATTTTTCAAACAGATATGATGCAGTTTCCTAATATATCTGCCATGAATCAGTCTCCTTTACCAATTTGCACAAAGTTTAGTTTGCTTCGTTCCTAACCTTCATTTTTCTTGAATATAGTTTACAAGTGGCTGTAATGCTTGGTGTCCTGCCTCTGCACTGCATCTTTGTGGGGGGGGGTGGGAATTGTCAGTTTTTTTTTTTTTTAATTTTACTAACAATTGCTAACTAGAATGCTTGAAGTTCTGGTTAAAGACAACATTCTATTAGATTATCAAAATATCAGAAAATACAAAGATTATAGAAAACCTGAAATAGAAATACAAATTATATGTTCTTTATGTAGTTTAGTATTTAAGTTTCTGACTTCTCATTCATACTTGTTTTGTGTCAAATTATATTGAATTATATCTGCCTATGTTTTATTTTATTAAGTTACATATGTATGCACATAAACACACACATAAGTAATTTCGCTTTATTAACCCAATTTAATAATTCTATAACTCTTATCCTTAATGCCAATTGTAATGCTTCCATTATTTAATTTCTATGTCTGTTTTGTTGCTTTGTATCTACAAGTAATTGTTCTCTAGAAAGTTTAATGGATCCTGTATTTTCTAAGATTTTGCTCACAGTATAACATGATACTTATGGTCTCTGGATAAAAGGGGTCAATTGTTGAAGGACAGATAGACTTGAACTTTAAGTGGTGAACTTAATGTGGTATATGCAAATGTTGATTTGTAATCATCCACACCTGAAACATAACATCATAACATGCTATAATACAATATTTCTTCAATAAAATAATGCTCAACCAATATATGAAAATTATTCAATGTTGACGGTTAAAATCAACACCTCGACACTACTTTCCGTAGGGTTTGGACCAGTCTTCATTCCCGCCAATAGAATAAAAGGGTTCCTTTTTCTCCACATCCTACGCCCGCAGATGTGGACATAAGAGCCAAGAACCAGCAAGGAAGGTCAGAGACCCTAATTGTGAGCTCAGGGAGGAGGAAGGCTTGACTCAGCAGTCAACTGCTGCAACTAACACCGAACTTATTATCAACGAAAGAATGTGGCTTCGTGCACAGCCACATGGATAAACTTAAAACGGTGCTTGATGGGGACTATTCAGACACATGGTTGACTCTTTTCTTTTCCAGGAGAGGACAATGTTTCCCATTCACGTTCTCTCCCGTGGCCCTGTGCTCCTGGCTTCCAGTGTGCGGCGTCATTCTTCTCCAGATGTCAGTGTTTAGGGATTCGCCTCCCACTCCTATCCCGCGCTTGCGTTGCCATGGAGATCGTCGCTTAATTAGCAGGCAAGGCCTCAAGGAAACTCCCCTGCGTAAGGGTGGGAAAAGCGCCATCTAAGCGCTGACTCTGAGAGGAGCCCCCCCCCCAAAAAAAAAAAAAAACAAGCTGGGAGGCGGGCCTCGCGGGGGGGCTGAGACCAGATTCTCCTGGTCTAGTGCACTGCGCGCATCCCTGTGGCTCCCGGACAGGGTTACCCGAGCGCAGCACCTAGTGCCTCAGGGCGCTTGCAAAGCTTGTGTGGTGCAGCCAGGTTGGGGTTGGGGTCGGGGTCAGGGGCGGGTCAGGCGAGGCGGGGTGGGGAGCTGCGGGGAGGCACAAGGCACCTGCAGTCTACTCCACGGTGCCCTACCTGCCCTTTGATTTCCAGGTCTCTGTTCCTTCTTTTCCCACCAGCCTAACTGTTCTGGAAACCTCAGTTCTTTCTTTTATATGCATCAATCAAAAGTGGGTTCCTTTGGACTGTTTCTAAAACAGTGCGCCTGGAGCAGCGGCTTCTCTTTCTGCATTCCGGCCGCAAACGCTGTGAGTCACAGAACTGAATTTGAGCGAAGATCAGCCGGGAGCGACCTTTTTACTTTGACATTGTTATTATAGCGCGCACGTATTTGAAATTCTACGTGACACTTAGCTGGAGTGGGGTGTGTTAATATCGCAACTCAGAGGATAGAACTCTTAGATCGCTGAAAAAAATACGAACAAGGTTCCAACTCAGAGGTTTTGTGGAGGAGTCTGTGAGGTGAAAGAGCAGGTACTTCTTTTGAAGTGGGTTGCAGTTTATCTGAGGTAAAAGTTTATCTGACTCCTGCTTACCAAGAGTCAGAATTTTGTAGCAACAAACTTACTGTAGAGTTGGCTGTGGAGAGCTTTAAAGTTGATCCTGGAGACCTGTTTGCTATGAAATGGTAGTTTTCAATTTTAGAAATGTCTATTTAAATACAGGGCTGCTTTTTTAAAAAACAAACAAACAAACAAACAAAAAACCTTAAGTTGAATGTAGACGTTCTTTGGACCCCAGCACTGCTAGGTTCCTAGGAAAAGTTCCACAGGCTTGTTAGATGAACGCGTTTTATAAAAAGTGTGCTTGTTTACAAGTGCTCAATTCTCCCCCATGTAAGTTTCAGTTTCAATGGTATTTTCAAATGTTTTTCTTAAAGATGGTGTAACTTTAAAATGTGAGGAATTACTTCTAATGAAGTAGCTCGGTGTAGGTGTTCTAGATTTTCATCAAAGTTAACTAGTTTCACATAATGCAATATAATTTTGCGTGATTTCCTGCTAATTCGTTTTGTTTCGATTATCTGCTTTATATTTAATTATAGGGGTTTCTAGAAGAAATTATTTTGTTATTTGTTGGAAAATACTAATATTTTCAATTTATTAGACAGAGAATATTATACAGCATCTATTCTTAAGGCCTTAGCATTCACTTGGATGTGTGAGTCAGTCAAAATTGAAAAGATTTTACATTCAAATGAAACACACCATGTAAAGAATGTCCAATAATTTAGTTTTGAGGCCAAAAATATACATGTTTAATTGACTAAATATGCCTTATTTTCCAGATGCAGATTTCAGTCATTCTACTGCTCTGGTTACCATTCATCTTTAAGGTAAGACATTCTGGAATATGCCCTTTTTGAAATAGTAAATGGATCATATACTCTCGAATTGACTCTGTCCATTTTGGGAAATGAGTGGTGTGAAGAGAAAGAACACTGAATATTGGGGTTAGTTGCTCAGAAAGTTTTCTTTGCTGGATGTTGCCCTAATACATGCAAGTAGGGAGCATCTGTATTCATTACTTACAAATTGTTTTGGGTACAATCAATGGGGAGAGAGGTCTAAATTATGGTGAAATACATTCATAGTGAGGCTTTTGCTTTTGGTAGGAATTACAATAAATACGTCATTCTCCTGAAAGTTGAAAGTTTTGTTTTTTCTTTTCATGTAAATGAACCAGGCTCTAAAATAACTCAGAGTCATACGTATGTCAAAGTTTTCATTGCAAATGTGTTAGCAAGAATGTCTGTGGAATAACTCACTCTTGTATCCATTATCATCAAAATATACAATTGACTTGATGAGACCTGCTGTTTTTCCTCTAATTTTGGTCTCGTCTCCTTCTTGACCTCAGGAACACCCGGTGATCCCTCGTTTGAGAAACTTGGATCTTAAATGTATTTGATCTTATTTTACTTGTTTTTCTTAAAATTTTCTAAAATTTTCTAAAATTCTATTTATAAAGAATATCCAAATAGTGTTATTCAATTCATGTGTAATGATGGCCATAGGTGAAATACTTTTCAATTAAAATTTGGCATAATTTAGGTGCCATTTTTCTAAGTTTGCTCAATAAATATTAACCAAGAATTTATTTTTTATTATTTCTTACAATTAACTCTTCTTTTCCATTTCAGACCTCAAAAAGTGTCCACTACATACCAAAGAATAAACAAACAACAAAAGTTTTTATCGAATGGGATGTATTTCCTAAGGAAGGAAGTCCTGAATTTTATTTTTTAAAATACCAACTTGTCAATAATTTTGCTCAAAAAGTAAGGCAAGTTTTTGTTGGTTCTCATAAAAAGTTCAATATAGTATAATTTTGTTGTAATTAAGTGTCATATTAAATGTGACCCCAAAGTCATATAGACATCTAAAAAACTGACAAATTAATAAAAATAAATAAATGTCAACCCTCACACCCTAAAAATACCATAAATAGTAATTGAATAGTTATTGCAGTTTCTTATTTTTATTTTCTCAATATATAAAATTTTAGTTTTTTATGAAATATTTTAATAGCTATGTAGTTGACCAAAATAATGTTCAATTTTTTCATAGAATTTTGAGAATTTGTAAAATACACAGAATAAACATTTAAGAAGTAAAAGTTTATGTAAAGTAATCGTTTCATGTACATGTTTATATCCCCTGTTAGAAACACTGCTTCTTGTGAAGGAGATGTATAAAAGTCAAACTTTAATGATGTATCTGACAGAGTTAATAAACATTTCATAAGCAGATTAATCTTATTTACAGGCTGTCAAAAGTATTCTCATAGACTCACAAAAGCTTCCAAAATCAGTAATAACTCTAGAAGAAGATGAAGACTATTACATCATTTTACAGTCCATAAAACATGGGCAAATTTTAAGTGAAATGTCATTTCAAACATGTAAGTAATAAATGTATGTTGTTCAGCTATTTTATTATAAAAGGAAAAATTTTTAATTATGAAAGATTTGAATTTTACAGTGATTATAGGTCCCAGTGGTACTAGAAAATCACTTTATGGTAGTGTTTTGTTTTTAATATATAATATAAATTTCAACATTTAAAGGAAATTGTAAACTAAGTAAGATTTTCATTTTTGACATTTGTGTGTGCATATATAAAGAGTAGATATGTAATCCATATGTAGAATAGATATGTAATTTCAGATTATCTGAAACATATTGTGGATTTGTATTTTAATTTATTCATTCTGAGTGTAATAAGCTCCCATGTAATCTAGAAAATACTTTGTAATTAAATAATGTTATCTCAGTTCATGAATCTTTTGTGCTTCAATAACTTTTGTGTTTCATTAGATTGTATTTGAAACCATACTAATTATTCTCTCTGATATTTTAGGTGGAATCTCAACCAGAAATATTAAAACAGTATCAACAAGTACAAGTGTTTCTTTTAACTGGAGTATGCTCTCTTCCAATAACTTTTCAGTGTCAATATTCCTTAATAATTCTTCAAAAATGTTGCAAAATAATATGGTTTATGAGTGGGATCATTTGATGCCTGCCACCTTATATACATTTACATTTGAATTTAAACAGTTGCATTTGGATTTTATAAATATATTTCAGAGACTTGATATCCAAGTTGAAACAGGTATATGGTTATTTGTTTCATTATTAATATATTCATTGCATATTTTATAGATAATTTGGCAGTGGTATTGTTCTTTAGAAAGTTGTTCAGCAAATATTAGGTATTGTGAAGTGATTGTAAATAAATGAACATAATCCCTTTTTTAAACTAAATCATTCTGGTATTTTACTGATTTATTAAACAAACTGAATTAATTAGCAAGGTAAAAGTGAGAACCGACTTTATTTTCCTCCGACACTTCTTTTAAACGAAGCCCAGTGGATTATCTTTTTTTCTTGTTTAAGCTCTAGCAATGGTTCGTATAGATTGATACCTTTTTGGTGACTTTAAACTATCAATAAACAGTCTCACTTTCAAGTATTAAAAAGGCCATTAAAAATCCAATATAAAAATGTTAATCTTTCATTCTGTTTAAAGCTTCTGTTATTCATGCTTCATCAGATTTGATCAAACTTTGGGATACTGTTGGGGATGGTAAATGTGTTAATGTATTGTGACTTCCTAGTTCTACTTCCTTTCTCCACATGGAGGGAAAAGATAGACAAGGACAGAGCTAATCAAGGCAGTGCATTTTGTGATGGGCTAAGGATCCCATCTAGTACCTTCTACAGGAATAATCAATGAACCACAATGTATGTTTAAAAGTGAAGTAGAGAAATGCTTGAATAATGAAAATAAAAAGATACTAAAATAATTAAAATAGTCTCTCTTCCATTTTCCTTTTACCCCTGTGGAAAAAACAGGACAAGAATTTCTTCAAAATCTCCTTCTCACTTCTTCCTAAAATGTTGGGTTGAGGTACTGATGAAGTATTAGCACGAACTGAAGTGCAGTTTCTACCCTGAGCAGGCTGATATATCTACCCCACAGTTTTTATGTGGTGTGTGATCTTGAAAAAGAAAGGCTAAGCCAGTTTTAGGTTTTTGTGGAAAGTGAACTCATTTGAAGATAATCCACTGGGCTTAGTTTAAAAGAAGTGTGGGAGGAAAATAAAGTTCGTTCTTACTTTTACCTTGCTAATTCAGTTTGTTTAATAAATCAGTAAAATACCAAATGACAGCAAAATTCTTAGCAAGCACACAGTCTACTTCTCTCAGTGAAATATACTTTAATGTTCTTTACTAGTAAAGGAAAGGCAACCTCAGCAACTTAGGAAAATATCTGTGATTCTTGTTTTAATGAAGTCATAATTGGACAATAATTCTGCATAATTAGTTCTTGTAACTGCTTTAAAGCTATTTTAATTGGTAATAAATAACTTACTACTCCATTAATAACAATTTAGCACTGTTATCATTTTGGGAGAAATACAGGGAAAGTGTACAATAAATACTGTGAGGTTTTCACTATTAACTTCTCTAGATGTTAAGAAATGTAATTATGAAATTTTATATTACTGAATTCATCTCTAACAAAACATTTTTATTTTGTAGGATCATGTTCACAAGAATGGGTAGCATTTAAAAAAGGCTGTTACAGAATTAGCAAAGAGAGTAAGCCATGGAAAACAGCTCAACAACACTGTAACTTATCCTTAAATTCTGCACACCTTGTGGATATAAAAAATGAAGAGGAAAAAAGATTTTTATTTTCACATCTCAGATCAAAGAATCAAACAATGATATGGACTGGTCTTAATGATTTGAAGGTCAGACACTGTTGCTCTTTTTATTTTCTGATCTCCCTCCCTCCCTCTCCTCTCTGTTACAGATTTATAGCAAAATTGAGGGGAAGGTACAGGTATTACCCATACACCCCCTGCCTCCACATATACATATATATCAACATCCCCTACCAGACAGGCACATTTGTCATAATTGAGGAACCTGTATCAACACATCATATTACCCAGAGTTCACAGTTTACATCATGGTTCACTCTTGGTGTTACCCATTCATTGGGTTATATGATGATATGTACCCATCATTATGATCATAGAGTACTTTCTTTTCTTTCTGTTGAGTAACACTGATTTACAACATTGTGACTTAGAGGTATAGGATCTCCCCATTCGAGTGCTGTGGCCATACCACACTACCACCAAAACACTCATAGTTCTCCACCATAATCCATTGTGCTCCCTCCCATGCCCCTCTCTGCCACTCACTCTCTAGTAGCCTCAGGTATACAGTCAGATTCCTAGGGTTTATTATTTGTTTGGTCTTATCTGGCCCTTTGTTTTGATTCTCTATATCCCAGATAAGTGGCATCATCCATATTTGATTTAATTTAGTATAGCCCACTCCACTTCTATCCATATTGTCACATATGACAAGAGTATTTTTTTATAGCTGACTAGTATTCCATTATGTATATATCAATATATCACATCTTGAAACACTCATCTCTTTATGGACTTAAGTTAGTTTTATTGCTTGGCTATTGTAAATTGTGCTGCTATGAATATAGGAGTGCTTAGTTCCTTTCAAATTATATCTTATAATTTTGGATAGATAGTAGTGGAATTGCTATGTCAAATGGCAGATCCATTTTCAACGTTTTGAGAAACTTTGATAATGTTTTCCATAGTGACTCAACAGGAACTCAGTGAATGAAAGATTAAAATTCCCTATATTTCACTAAAGGAAATTTACATAGGTAACACTCATTTAATTCTTATGGCAACCTTATGAGGTAGGCACGATCAATATTCACATTTTATAGGCAGAGAATATAGACAACAGAATGAGTCTATCACATAGCTAGCTAATCAATGGTCATGCCAGTCCTTGAACCTTTATTTGTTTCTCCAAAAACTCATGTCCTAATTATTTGGCCTCTGAGCCTTTGATGCTTTCAAAACTGCAGCACAATATATGCAATAGGATAGACTTAGAGGAAACAATAGCCTCCATGCTGTTACATGGAATTGTAATGTATTGTTTTAAAATCTCTTTAGAAAGTCTGGAGCAGGTCTCAATATTCTTATCCTTACAACTAACTTGTTGCTGTTTCTGGTGCTGAGAATGATGTTCTAATCACAACACACCCATAGTCTTTGTTTTTATAGTGCTTATTATCTCTGGGAATTATGATTATTTTTTGAGGAAATTTTATGTGACTTGTGTTTTACAAATATACTCTCAAAGCTGTTGACAACCAGGAAAAATTGTCTTGATTATCTCCATTGTCCAGAGTAAAAAAATGAAGTAAACATTTTACCTCTTAAATGCTAAGAGTGACCATTGTCCAAGAACAGATAGTAAGTAAAAGAAATGTTTAGAATACAGGTATATCATTGTCAAAGTTTGTACTTTTATTTTCACTACCCCTTTCAAGTACAATAGCCACATAACTAACTAGAGATAGATTCATTCTTTTGAGTATTGAGAATAGTGATATCCACCAGTAACATCTCCTCATGCCTTTATTTGATGACTTGAAACAAAATAACTAACATCTGATGAATAATGGGTCTGTACCTGCCATTGTGATGAGTCCTTCAAATGAAAAACCTTTTAATCCTTACAACAATGCAAGATGTAGATTCTATTTTTTAGAGATGCAAAAATAAAGGTTTAGTGTGAGATTCATCAATTTACTTAAAGACATATGACTAATGCGTTACTGAAAGTGAACTCCATCGGCAGTTCAGAATCATTGTCATGAAGGAAATAGACATAAAAATATTAAGCTGGTTTGATTTAATAATCAGAGAAAATTTTATAATAGTGGTGTTACTAATGAAAATCATCAAATATATGCATTTGAAGACGTGACACTTTTCCTCTAAATTGGCTTAATTTGTATATCTTGTTGCAGAAAGAAGGTCAGCTTACATGGACAGATGGATCATCTTTTGACCTTAAGAAAAATGAAATTTTTTCTTTCCCATTGCCACCCGAAAATGAAAGAGATTGCTACATTTTACAGCAAAATACAACTGGATCAAATTATTTCTTCACAAATTTTTTCTGTTATCTTCCATTGCCATATATTTGTGAATATGAATGTAATTATATTATTAGTATTTTTATATTCATGAATCTCACTCTTATTTTAAATATAGAAATATAATATATAATCAAAAAGAAATTTTTTTTTCAGTACCTTCTCTCCATGAAAACCCTTCATTTAATGTAAAAGAAGTTAGAACAACTGAAATCGTATTTGGTTGGAATAATTTGAATGACTGGAATAATTTGAATAAGTGGCTGAAACTGGGATATAAAATTATCATTAAATATTATTTAGACTCTACAGAAGAGCAACATTTTGACAGCTTGCCCCCGAACACTACAGAAAAAACAATAACCCAATTGTGTCCTGGCTATATTTACAGATTTTTACTCTTTGCAATAAATGAATGGGGAGCTAAAACTATACTAAGTCCAGTATTCATTGTTGAAACACGTAAGTTACAAGACACCTAAAAGTTTAATTTTTCAAATATTTAATGTCATCACTAGCAGATATTTCTGAGGGTCTGATACTTTCTTACAGCATTCTGAGCATAACTGTGTCTTTAACCATTTTAAATTATAGTAAATTTGATTATCTCTCAACATTCCTGTTAAACTATAAATCCTTAAGGGTGTGAGCTGTATCTTATTTGTCTTATGGCAACAAGTGTACCTAGTCTGCGGTAGATAATGAATCATTTTTGTGGAACTGAATTTTTATTATGTAAAAATATCAGGAGTTAAATATACATGTTTCCTGGATTTTAAGAGGCTTATAATAGAGAGGATTAATAAGAAACAGAAGCAAATGCAAGCAAAGTTAATGTAGTAAAATGCCACCTAAATTCCCAATCAGTGTGGTGTGTTTAAAAATTACTAGAATTCAGAGGGTGAGTGATAGAGGAAGACTCCTAGAAAGGAGAGGCTTAGACTTAAACTTGAAGGAAGTAAATCATGTTGTAAGCAAAAGCGAGGAAATATGAATTTGTGGGAAAAGAATAGTACAGACTGACTGGAGATTTCCTTGGATATGAAGTAAAACTAGTTTAAGAGGTAGATGATGCCAGATTTGAGTGTGCCAGGCGTATCTGTCTCAGGTGGTTGACCTTGACCTAGAAGCAATGGAAATCAATTAAGACTGTAGTTCTAAGATTTCATTTACTTTTTACAAAACACTTTTAATGCATCATCTCACTCCATCCTTACCTCAAATGTGGGAGTAGCTAGATAGAAATGAGAAAACGGAGCTTCAGAAAGGTTAAGTGAAAGGTTAAATAAACTGATTTAGTAACACTTGATAAAGCTACACAGGAACCCACATGTCCTCATTTTAACTCTTGAACTATTGCTTCTAAAGAATCAAGAATGTGCATGTGTGTGTTGGGAGGGTGGGAAACAGATAGGGGTTTGAGGATGATATGTGTAAGGTGCTGTTTTAAGCAAATTAATCTGGGAAGATTAGTTAGAAAAATCACTGGCACTGGATGAAATGGTTTGGAATGGGAAATATTTCAGTAACAGAAGGAGTGCCTGAGTTCTGGTGATGAGGGGATTAATCCATGCCTTCTAATCTGACAAAATGGAAGAGGTAGAATGAATACTAGAAAGGCCATTGAACAATAGTATGTATCATACATTTTGCTAGTGTTTTACATTCCTTATCTAATTTAATCTTCAAGATAATTTTATAAGAGAGCCACTACTATAATTCCCATTTTGCAGTCAAGAAAACTGAGGCTCAGAGAATGTGAGTAATTTACTCAAGGAGTGGAGCTGGACAGTGGAAGAACTCAAACCCAACTTTCCTTTTCTTGCCAAACTGGAGTATGTAGGGTGGGCTGGTGTATTAAGGAGAAGCAAGAGAAGTCAAACTAGACCACCTAATGTATTTTCCTAATTTTTTACCTACTAGGTCCATTATCAGCCAACAATCTCACAGTTAGCCATGTGACCTCAACAGAAATATTTTTACGCTGGGATCCTCCAGATTCTGTATCTTTCCACCATTATCTTGTGACTATTTTGGATGTTGAAACCAACAAATCTGAAGAGGTGTTTGTTGAAAAACTCAACACATCAACAACAATTGGAAATCTCAAATATTTCCATCATTATCTGATATACCTCTTCAGTGTAGCAGAAAGAGGAACTTCAAGCTCTTTAGAGAAACCTGTTTCAGTCATTACAGGTAAGCAGGGGCGCACTGTCCCTTTTTATAAAAAAATATAAAGTTCATATTTAGAAAGACTACCTTGCTGAAATTTAGTTGTGTTAATCATTCACAGGTAGAATGCCCACAGCTGAACATTTGATTTAATGCTGAATCACAATTATAACCATAAAAATCTATATTTATTTAGATTTAATGAACTCTTTAAATATCAGCATTTGTTCCTACAAGAGTTTCTAGGAGATACTTTCCTTATCATAGTCCTGGATGGAAAATATGTTATCAGAAAATATGAAGATTAGTTTACCCAGGTCTCTCTAATAGCAGTTCTCTGGGAATCTGCATATTTAAACAATTTTTCTTGTTTCTGTATTTTCTCAAACAATGTGATAGATTGACCTCTAGGGGGCAGTCTTATACCAGGACTTTTGGCAAATTTCTAATTTCTGTTTTCTAATTTCTCGCTTTTCTCACTTCTAATTTCCACTTACCTCTATGTGGCAGTTTTTGAACCCTTGTCTAGAACATAATCATTAACCTATCTTTCAACTGAACATTCCATTTATTCCCTTAAATCGATGTTTTTTGGAAAGATAAAATACTATCATATGAAACTACATAATTATGAACACTTGCAGCATATACCTGGGTATTGTAGTGTGTGTATTTTTCATATGTGTCTATTTAGTGTGCCAGTACGCAAGAGTCTTTGAACTTTCACCATTAAAATTTAGACACTAAACCTGAGATAAGAGAAACCAAATAAAAAACCCTGCAAGTACACACTTTAACATTAATTAATTTTATAGATTAATTAACTTCATAGCTTAATTGACTTCATTTACTGGGAATACTTGGGATTATTTTAAAATAACAACAGACATCATTCAATGCTTCCTAAATGTAAATGCTTAGCATTCAATGTTGCAAATCTTCATCAAAAGAAATCTTCCAGTTGGATACTAAATAACAGGTGTTTTCCTTTCATTGAATTCAGATAAAGCCTCCTTTGCTTGATAAATTCTTGCTTGTGTCCCTTACACTTAGAAAGATCTTTTCATTTTTAGCTGAAGGGCAGAATAGGAGAATTTTTCACAGATCCATTAATTTTGACATAAAATTAAAACCTCCTATACTATGTAAATTTGTTTAATAGAGGGACCAAAATAAGTACATGTGAGTCTTAGCATTTAATTATGGATCATTTGTTATGTATCAACTGTAAGCTGACAGAGCACTGCCAGTCTAGGATGAAGTAGTATGGTGTTCTTACTCTCTTAAGATTGAGGCAATACTCTTTATTAATTCATTAATTGTTCAATAATTGCTTTTTCAGAATCAGGAACAGTAATTGGTATTAGAAACACAAAGATGAGTAAGACCTAGTCTCTCTCTTCAGACAGCCTACAAACTGCATCGAGACAAGTTAAAACGAAGTGATAGTGCTTTATTATACTTGCTGTTAGAGTAGCTGTGCTCTGGATACAATGGGAGTCTAGAGAGGGAACAGTTAACCCAGATTTGGGGTACAGTGTTAATCATGAAAGTCTTTTTTTTTTAAAAGATTTATCTATACAAGAACTGGGGCATATGTCAGTGGCGCCAGAGGGTGAGAGAATTCACCAGAGACAGAGTGTGGAGCAGAACAGGCAGATGGACCAAAGACACTGCTGAGTGGAACAGCGGGCGAGGCAGGAGAGGTCTGCCACGCCATGTGGGTTTCTCCCTGGCCAACTGGGAATTGATCCCGCACTTCAGAGGCTGCGGACAGCTTCACAGTGCGGCGCTCAACCCACTGTGCCATCAGGGAGGCCCTCATCATGAAAATTTTCCTGGAGGAGGGATATGCTGAATTACAAAGAAGAATACCTGTTCGCCAGACAGGAGTGGGAGGCTGAGATGCTGCAGATAGAGCAAACAGCATGTGCACAGGCAGAGGACTGCAGAGGAGCTTATCTATCTTCTTTGAAGAAACTGACATTTCGATATTGCAAGTAGATTAGCATGACTGGAGTGCAAGGAAATATGTAGAGAGCGTTGAGAAAAAAATGTTAGATACGTACTTGAAGGGCCTTCAGTGAAATTTAACTTTTGTAGGGTATGGAACATTTTGATAATGTGAAAAAATGAAAGGACTCCCGTAAAAATGCATGTGCATACACAGAAAATTCTTTATTGGGTTATCACAGACTTACCAAATGCCACTATTTCTCAATCTCTACTTATGTCTGGCATTCAGGACTTTTCACCTAAGTTCCCTACCGAAGTAAAAGTTTATTATAGGTTAATGCTAATTTTTGCAAGTAGATAAGAACAGAAATCTGAAGTTGTTTCACTCCGGAATCATGTGAACAGTTTTTCTCATTGAATAATTATGGCATTTTCTGATAATTTTGCATAAATAAACAATTTCAAAGCCTAAAGTCAGGCCAATTACAATTTTGTGAAATTAACGTTTGGAATGAACAGACTATGGGTCTGACCAAGAATATTTTCCTGAGAAATTAAGGTGTGGTGTTTATTTGAGTTGTTAAGAAAATTAACTTCAAAATAGATTAATTATAGTTTCTAAAAGTAAAGCAATTATGAAAATCATAGAGAATTTTTTTCAAGATTATTTAAAGCTATGACAATCTTTATAATAAATACCGAGCTTTTAGCAATCATCTGTATGTAAATGATACCTATATTTTTATCTCTAACCTAGACCTCCTATACTCAGACTTAAATATCTATCTGCCTAATCTATCTAAGAGACTTCTTAAATTTAGTATCCAAACTGAATGACCCGAGTTTGCTTTACCCATACCCTCCCCGTGTTAATTCCTGGTCATTTAATTTATCCAGTTGCTTAGGTCAAAACTTGAAGGTGTCCTTGACACCTATTTTTCTCACAGTCTACACCCAATCTATAGGATATCCTATTGGTTCTCTCTTCAAAATAAGTCCAGAATCCCAATATTGCCCCCACTTCCTTCAGGATTCCCACTCACCAGGTCTCCACTCTCTCTCAACTGGATTACTGGGGTGGCTCCTAATTCTACCATTGGTTTGCTCCATGTTTTGTTATTAACATAACACCTCAAGTGATTCTTTAAAATTTAGAAAGATCACACTTATGCATACAACCCTGGTGTCGCATCTACATTATTCAAAGTAAAAGCCTAAGAATTCTTACAAGACCTGACTGACTATTAATTCCTGACCTTCTCTTAGACTCTCTCTGTGTTCATTCTGATTTTCTTTCTGTACTTGAAGATAGCAGGTAAAATCCTGTTGTAGGATTTTACTTTAGCTATTTTTTTTCCTGCCTTAAATACTCTTCTTCCAAAGAAAGTCTAACTACCTCACTTCTTTCAAAGTTTTGCTTCAAGTTTGATCTTTTCCCAAAGACACATGTCCTGAATTTTCTATCTAAAAATTCTCCTACAGTTACCACACTCCTGATCCCCTATCTTAATTTATTTTTTCTTAGCCTTTATCATATCTTAAGTACAATATAATATGCATATTTGTTATAGCTATTACTTATTGTCTATTTCCAACTGTTTGAATATGAACTCCAGGAGGCAGTTACCTTGTTATTTTTTACTGGTGCCTCTACAATCCTAGGATAGTGCCTGGGAAATAGCAGGTCCCCATGCATATTTGATAAAAGCATGAATAGTCACAACAATGGGAAGATTATACAGATGGAATATTTAAATTTCAAAAGAACTTGCTCAGCACATTCTATTAGTCCATAAGATGTGATATTTGTGCTTAATCATATTGGTAAATTTTACATACTAATAAGAAAAAAAGTCTTTTTGAAGACATAGTGAGACACAGTTTGTTAAATTTACTTTAAACAGTAATATTGAATTGAGATTTTTTTACTTAATACCATTAACACTGATAACAATACACTAAAATATGTGTATCTGCTTATCTATTTCTTTAAGGTATTAATCCACATCAGAAAGTTTATGTTAAAACTGAAGATGTGGGAGAAGGTAGCATAATTCTCCAATGGGAATGCCCACAAGAGAGCTACAAGGTCTGCATTCAAATCAAATCCACATCAGATACAAGAGAGGTCATGAAGCTTTTTGTGAAGAATGCTAACAGATTCAAGATTGGTAATTTAATCCCTGGAATAACATATGAAATTAAGATGGCAGCAGTGATGAATGGGAACTTGAGTGAGCTGGTAACTATTCAACACACTCTAAGTGAGAATCAAATACTTCTCATTAGCAGATATTTGCTGATACTGGGTATTGTAAAAATTCCCTGATGAAGCCCCTGAGAGCAGGCTTTTTATGTAGATTGTAGATATGCTTTATCTGATAGTAGCCTCAGGACCTGGAGCAATTTGCTTGCCTTTTTTTCCTGACAATAGCCCATGTTTGTATCAGAGCAACATTGATTTTGATTAAGAACTTGATCCTAAAGCCATATTAGCAATGTCTGAATCTGAGTTCAGTTATTTGAGTAACACTGGGAAATATATTTAATCTGTTTATACCCCATTTCTACATTTGTAAAATGAGAGAAAATCGTATCATGTATTTCATCATTTGTCCTGAGATAGCTGACTTAGCGAAAAGAAGGCCTTACCTCAGGGTCTAAAGTATAGCCATATTTAAGTGTTTCTAATTATTATTTTAACAACAAAAACAGGCTGTAACACATTAAAGAAAATATTGATAGTATATAAAAGATTCAGGACAATCCAGCAAAATATTGGTGTTCTTATTCAAGTTAGGTTAATCCACTCAATGAGTAATCATTGAAATCTATTGAGAAGGAAGAAAATTAAAGTGAAAAGAAAATAATTAAATGAAATAATAATCATAGCAGCGTATTTCTCCCCATCTGACATCTAAATTATATCTTTTTGCTCTCCTTATTAGATAGTGAGCTCTTTTGAAATCTTATTAACCTCTATAGGTGAATCACATGTATCACCAGATGTAAATGCAGTTCGTGACTCTTATTTTATTTATTTTAAAACTATTATCCAACATAGATGCAGAGACATAAATTAATATGCAAATCCTACCTGTGTGGTCTTTCTTGTTGGATTTGAGGAGAGAACTGTTCATGTCAATGCCTCATTTGCCTCACAGTTCTTGGCAAAGTACCCTTCATCTTTTCGGGGTACATCCCTGTTGTTTTCCTCTACTATGGAACTATGTCTGTTCGCCAGAGGATCACAGAGTACCTACTCTCTGATTCACATGAAAGACCATCAAATGCTTAGAAACATTTATTAGGTGTTCCTGTGTATCTGTATCTTCTCTCCTCCTGGTGAATCATCTTAGATCCTTCAAGCACTACAGTATTTCTTAATAATTCTTTTTTTAAAGATTTATTTCTTTATGCATACGAGAACTGGGGTACAGGCCAGAAGTGCGGGGGTGGTGGTGAGAGGATTCACCAGAGACAGAGTGGGGAGCAGAACAGGTGGATTGCCTGAAATACACTGCTGAGGGGAGCAGTGGTGAGACAGGAGAGGTCTGTTGTACCATGTGGGTTGCTCCCTCGCCAGCGTGGGGATCAAACTTGTACTGCAGAGGCTGGTGAGAACTTCACAACGCTGTCTTTAGCCCCTGTGCCACCAGGGAGGCCCTCAACAAATATTTTTGATTGCTTTTACTATATCCTGTCTCTTCTATACACTTGAGGCAATTGATTATATAGGGGCCTTTCCTTTATAATGAGGTATTCAATTATATTATAAAACAATTACATTCATTTATTTTCCTTTCCCCATTGGAACTGCTTTAACATGATGTGCATTAATGCGTTGGTCTCATTTCCCTGGATAAGTGGTATTGATGGAAAACCCCACATTGATCCACTGACAAAAATGCTACTGACTCCTGACACTTTCAGAACCTAAATTAGATTTTGCCTATTTTAAGCCTTGTCTCTTAGAAACATGTCTTCCACACCCAAGCACATGATGGTGGGTTCCTTTCATGATTATACTGGTCACTCATTTCCAGCCCCCAGATATTTACCTTCTGCTCAAAGCTCAATTAGAAGCTTTCACAGACCATTGCCCACAGAGTAAGAAGAATTGGATACTTGTGGGATGTCACCCTAGCCTTGGGAAAGCCCTACTTATTATAAGAGCTTTGTAACTTCAGAGAGCTGGAAGAAATTTAAAGAGGAAACCCACAAAAAAAAAAACAAAAGAGGAGTGATGACAGCAAAAGTAAGTTAATATAACTGGAAAAGGAAAAACATGGTAAAAGTGCCTTGAACCTATTAGTACACCATATGGAATTTGTTATGGTTAATACAGTGAACATTTCCTTATAATAACCACCAAGGACAAAAAAAAGGCAAGAAAGTTATATGTTACAGCTGAATGATTGGTGGAGATACTGCACTGATTTTATGTGCCAGGATGCTAATTATAGGTATGTGTGTTTAAGTCCTTTACTGGCTGTGGGGAAAGTGGCAGAATTACATAATGAAATATTTAATGTTTGATATTTAAGTGATTTTGAACAACTTGTATTGCATCAAACCATAATTCACAAATAAAATAGAAAGGGAAAGACCATCTAATGATTCTCTAGAGGGAAAACTACTTTTTCACAATATATATTTTAGAAGATAGCTTCTTGGAAGAAAGACAGACCTAGGGTTATACTATTGGATAGTAGCTGCATAATCTTCAAATAGAATTGAAATTAAAGCTGACCTGAGGAAAGAATAGTGTGAACAGAAATTAAAATTTTAAAACTGCTTTAAATAGCACAGCAGAGGATTGAAATGCAATAAAACTCTTTACTAGGGTCAGGGAGAGTGTAAAATGTAAACAAATCCTCCAAACTGTTGCCAGAACTCTATTCCTAAAAATGTCTGCTCAGAATTCCTACAACTGCAGGATGAGGTCTGGCCTCCTTGGCATGGCCGGCAGAGCCTCCCATGATGGTACCCAACCTCAGCCATGGTCTTATGCTCTATGCCCTCCCCACCCAGCCCCATACTTTACACCCTGGGCACCCGCAATTGCATGTATGTGAGAATGCAATCTCTATAGATCTTCACATATATCATTATACCACCTTGTGTCTTCTTCTTTTCCAAGTATAATTTAAACTCAACTTCAATTACTATTTAAACTCAACTCTTCCATAAAATGACCCCTAAGCCAAAGTCACAAATCACATTATTCCAATAGTATTTGAACATATTTATAGTCAGCTCAGTATATATTTATCTACTGCTCACAATTTTTATTTCTTAATATATTTGTAATATCTTCCTCTCTACCTTATTTTATAAATCATCACAGATAGCATTCTATAACAGTACTTAGCTTTAAAAATAACTAATACTTGGGCCTCCCCGGTGGTGCAGTTGTTGAGCGCTGGGTTGCGGGGCTGCCCACAGCCTCTGCGGCGCTGGTTCAATCCCCGGCTGCTCCCCGGCCACTGGAGGAGGGTCCCACATGGTGCGCAGACCTCTCCTGCCGCCCGCTGCTCCCCTCAGCAGTGTACTTCGGCCCTTCTGCCTGCTCTGCTCCCCGCTCTGGCTCTGGTGAATTCTCTCACCCTCCTGCGCTTCTGACTGTACCCAGTGCATGTATAAACAAACAAAACAAACAAATAAAAATAAATAAATAAAATATGCCTCTATAAAAAAATAAAAATAACTAATACTTAACCTTCTAAATATATCAATATTGCCATATTAATCAGCAAAATATATTAATATATAAGATGATAGTCTGAAGCTGCAATTTTTTGTGATTTTTTTTTTCCTGGATTCTAATGACAGGATCTTTAAAATGGGAAAATAAGCATTAAAACGCATGAGTTAAACTTTGTACTTAGCTTTAATCAAATTTGATGCAGAGGGTTCTTTTACCTTTTTTCTAGTATTCATGTTTTTCTCCTTTCTGTCTTTTCAGTTTATACAAATAATTTCAGAAAGTTTTAATATTTTGCTCCTTTCAGTATTATGAATTTGATTCTGCAAATTTCCTCCTATGTAGTCTTTGCTGTAACATCAAAATTAACTGTGTGTAATGTATTTACAATGATTATCACTTTGTAAACTGTCATTGTATATGTAAACAACTATTTCTCATTAGGATAGAGAAGTCATTAATAAACTCTATTGTTCTTTTTCACATTGTGCTTCTTCTTATCCTTTTAAGGGCATAAATTTAAAAAAAACAAAAATCTGTTAGAAAGCATCCAAGAATTTAAGTGTGCTTTGTGTTTTCGGTAGGTCTGAAAGCAACATTAAATATCCATGAAGGTAAAGTTACAGACTCTTCCATAGAAATTCTTTGGAATCAAGCTGATGGGAATTTTCAGCATTATGAAATCACATGCATCAACTTTGCTGCTGCTTTCATGGTATGTTATAAGCTGTTCCTGGAGGAATTAAACTTGAATCTTTCATGCTGAAGCCGATATTAACAACATTCTTAGAGTGTAGCACAACTGAATAACACCCGTGATTTTGTGTGTTAATTGTGTTTCTTAAATGAACTCTTCCTAATTCATTCTCTTGGATTGGTAGGTCCAGAAGGTAGCTCAACAAGCAACAACAGTCTCTGATCTGGATCCTGCCACAGTGTACACCTTTTCAATTTGGCCTGAAAAAGAAGGTTTTAAAGACATTACTTCTAACATCATAGTAACACAGACAGGTACAGCTTGTGTAAGCTCTTTAGATATTTATTTAATGTTCCAATATTTGCTTTTTTAGGAAATATCTAGCAAATAGTTCATCTTTCCAGATTTTCTTTTTGAGAAGTATAGTCTCACCTCCTTTTCTGTTTCCCCTACTATGGGTTAGTACAGCATGTCTTATGCATGTCTTGTCAGACAATAGACTTGCTAACTGCCTGGGCTCTGCCCAGATTCTCCATTTGTGATATGATTTCTCCTTTGTTCAGGTAAGCAGACAATGACGTGACATTTTCCTCTTGTTAGAAACTTACTCCCAATCACAGATGGTGACTAATTACACTGTAGTCATATGAAATAAAGGATGTATACAAAATGGGCAACTTTCCATATTTCAGTGAATTAAAATTGTCATCTAATTGACCAAAATAACTATTTTAGTTATTCTTGACACTGATACTATTGGACTATTGCTTTATGTATTTAGAACGTGGTCATGTCTAGTTTTCTTTTACTATAATAGCAAAGAATAGAATGGAGAGAGGATAATTTGGCATTGAGTTCCTTTCCTATGCAGGGAAAATTTTTAAAGAGTAGAAATAAGATATTTATTATACAGTATTTAACTTTTTTTGCTCAAGAAAGAAAGAAAGCACTTCATATTTAAATTGCAATTCACTTTCCTGCTGATTAACCTTGTCACTGTTTGGTATTTAATTAGAATGAATCCTAAAAATTACTAAAATTTTCTGACCTTGGTGTTTACACAAGACTGAGATGTAATATCTGTCTACATTTTCAAAGCAAGGGAAATATTAAATACATCCTACTGCAATGCACATTTGTTTCATTTAAAATTTTAAACTTATTCTGGGTGTTTTTTGTTATCTGTTGACTTTTGATTTCTCGTGTCTAACAGGAATAATAAAAGGAAAGTCTTGGCTATCCTCTGAGTTTATAGAAAGAGAAATTCTGTGAATGTTTCAGGGCTGTTTTAAAGCAGGTTCTTCATGCAGTAGGAAAAAAATGTCATTTTATGTGTATGTTTTAAATGATACAGTCCCAAGTGCAGCTGAATTGATGAACCATAGTAGAAATTCAAATGCAGTAACTGTTAGCTGTCCTTTAGTTGGAAGTCTGGATGGATACAGTATTTCAATATCCAATGAAAACTTAAAAAAAAGAAAAATCCTCCCTTCCACAAAAAAGGTATGAAAATATTAAAATTAAATTATATCAAGTGATATGAAACACAAGATAGATCCATTAGGTAGTTCTGGTAGTACACATTATACATATGTGTTTGTGTACATATATATATTTAGAATATATAATATATTTAGAAAGGTAAGTTGTTGGTTTAATATAAATAGAAAACATTGTAAGAAAACCTTTTGGATAACAATGTAATTAGGATAAGTTTGATGTATAGTAACAAAATGTATATGCAAATAAATAATAATGAATTAATTCAGATTATTGTCATGCTTATGTGTGATGTACACTTTTGGACTTAAATGAAATTCTCTAAGAAACTGTTATTTCTAATAAACCATTTGTGCTTAAGCATGGCAAGTTTTTCCATGATAGACAATAAATATATATATGTATATATAAAATTCTTTCTGCAGATAGTGTAAGATTGAGTTTTCCAATTGTTTCTGAGCTAAAAAATGTTTTAATATGTTTCTTTCTTTAATGTATAGAGTATTCATATTTAATAGCCTTTCTCCAAGGACTGATTTTTTAATTAGTGTTATAACTACCAAGGGACTAAAGAAAAGTCATCCTACTGTCCTGATAGTTAGCGCTTGTAAGTTCATTTTATATTTAATTAACTTTTAATGGGTAATAACAAGGGAAATAGTTGTGTTTAAGGCAAATATCTAATTAAAAATGAATGAATATGGAAGTAGTTTACGCCATGCTTAAAGAGAAGAACACTACATTTACAAGAACACCTGAGTTATGTTCCTGTCTTTGTTTAGTTAATTGAGCTTGGACAAAATTCTCAAGTTCTCATTTAGAAAAAGAAAATGATTATTCCTGCCTACATACCGAATGATGATGCTCAAATTAAATTACAAAGATGCTTTTAGTAAAACTACAAAAACCTCTAAAACCCTTAGGTATTGTTGTCATGACACATTCAATTTTTCCAATATTTTGGCTATCATTTTTAATGCTTTTTAAAAAACCAAGCAAAACCTCAGAATATGAAAATAATACAGACACTGTCCTTCCCATTGCATCCTTTGGGTCTAATTCCCCTCTTCTTACCTTCTTAGCATGACTTACATGTGTGCCTGCCCTGGATATTTACAGTCCTTCCAAAGAGCCCTGTCACTTGTGGGGCCCAGTTACATGACCACTGACCTCAACTATCAGTGCCCATATAAGTAGTAGGGCTTAATCTCAGAATTTGCAAAGTGAAGCAAGGGAAAACACCGGAGAAGCAGCAAAGACCAAATCAATTCCTGAGAAATATACTAAAACACCAGAGCACTTATTATATGCCAGCGTGGTACTACATATTTAAATTACTGCATTGAATGTCACAGTGATGTTTAGAGATAATGAGGTTAGAGACATTCATAACTCTTCACTGAATATGAGATTTTTGATCCAGGGATCTAACTCTATAAGTGATATGACACTTTGCTGCCCCTCATAAAGACTGTCCTAAGAAATACAGAAATAGATGAGAAACTACTTCATTTAAAAAATGATATCTCATTATTTTGTATCAGTGAAAACTTCCTTGCTGCTTAGATGGAACCTTGACATTATGGTCATCACCATCATCACTGTTACCATTTTGAGTGCTTGCTCCTTGTCATACACTATGCTAAGCATAGTCTATGCTTTATGCCACTTATTTCTGAATGGCAATCTTTATTAATCATGGCATGCATATTGCTTATGGATTTTATATATGAAGACACTGAGACCTTACAGAATTTCAGTAGCTTGTATAAGATGTGCAGATCTGAATCACATTTCCCTGACTTGAGGCCCTGTCTTTGTAACCACTGTGCTTGAGTAGAAAGGCTGCTATGTTGCAGGAGTACTGATTCCAGGTTTCTGGTTCTGTGGCTTGGTATAAGTCATTATTCTGTTTGGACCTAAAGTTCATTTCTACCCTGGGTTGAACAATTCTTTCCAAATGTTATGATGGCCTTGTTTTGTTTATTCCAAACAAGGCTGGTAATTTTTTTCCTCCCTTCCCACTTTACAATTTGACTTTTGTTTTCTATTGTATATTAATAATTTTTGTTCCTTTTGTATGCTTTCAATTTGTAAGCTACCTCAAATGCATTTGGAAGTAGATGAACTATTAATAAATGTATGAAGTGGGGCTAAAATATATTATGGGAAATAGAGCAAATAGTAAATTAATTCCAGTAGAAGGAAAGATGCATCACAGAAAAATAGGATAGAAATCATTGTGTATCAGAGACTCGATTTTAAATCTACCACTGATCTGAATACTAATAAACTTAAATCAATATGTAAGTAGGGCCCAAAACACTCATACAGAATTTCAACTTTTCAGATGAAATTATTCCAATAAAATGTTAATTTTACATTTCTTCTAGTTAAGACAGACAATGCGCCATCTCAATTTTGAATATAAATTAGAAATAGAGACTATTAACTGATTTGAAAATATGTCTTGAACCTTTTAGATAAAATGTTTCAGGGGAAAAAGAGTTTGTGAACTTAAATGAGGGGCCTAGATATATCTCTTTATTTAGTGCATAAACTTTTTTTAAGTTAAAAACTCCAGTTGTAATACCTTCATTCTGAATTCTGCTATGAGAAATAAAACTGTGAAATTCCATAGTTCAAATAATGTTTTTTTAAAATATATTTTCTTTTTCTTTAAGATTTATTTATTTATTTATTTATTTATTTATTTATTTATTTATTTATTTATTTATTTATTTATGCAAGCACTGGGTACAGTCAGAAGCACGGGAGGGAATTCACCAGAGCCAGAGCAGGGAGTACACTGCTGAGGGGAGCAGCGGTGGCAGGAGAGGTCTGCACACCATGTGGGCCCCTCGCCTGGCAGCTCAGCAGCCTCGCAGCCCAGCGCTCAACCACTGCGCCACCAGGGGAGGCCATCAAATAATGTTTTTGTGGTAAAAGTTCTTCTAATTCTTTTCCTCTTCCACTTTAGATATGGGGACACTGACATTCAGGGTAAATAATTTGCACAAGATGATTTGATACAAACACTGCATCAAGAAAAACCTAGATATCCTGTATTCTTCTTACTACTCTTCCTTAATGTGAAAATTAAGGTTATTAGTGCACTACAAACAAAATGAGGAGCCTCCCCTGGTGGTGCAGTGGTTGCGCGCTGGGCTGCGAAGCTGCCACCAGCCTTTGCAGAGCTGGTTCAATCCCCGGCCACAGGCGAGGGTCCTACATGGCGCACAGACCTCTCCTGCCGCCCCCGCTGCTCCCCTCAGCAGTGTACTTCGTCAGTTTGCCTTCTCTGTTCCCCGCTCTGGCTCTGGTGAATCCTCTCACCCTCCCGCGCTTCTGACTGTACCCAGTGCTTGTATAAATAATTAAATAAATTTAAACAAACAAATAAACTAAAAACCCAAAATGATAGTAGACATGCTTTTTTAAAGACGTCATTTCAGTATCTTATTTTATTGCCCTAGATCTTGATCTACCATCAAATTTGCTGATTTTGGGGGAGGAAGCAAACACAATATATCTGTCTTGGAAATGCCTACAAGGAGGTATCAAAAAATTTCAGGTAAAGAATGATGCTACTTTATACAGTCTTAATGTTTGTAGAGGTCATTATTTCACTCCTTCTTTTTGCTCCTCATTTTACGTTAATGAGTTTAGAAACTAGAGTACCCTAATGTTAGGGTGCCCCCCAGATTTATGTTTCTATTGACTACTTTAAAAATGTGATTGTCATGGTAAGTGTTCAGATAGTAGTGAATGAATAAAAGAACTTGTGGTTTTCAGTGGAGGTAGACATGTGCATAGTTAGCACAAAAAAAGTGAAGAAATGTGTGATGGTGCTGGATGATTATATTTCTATGACAGCACAGCCTGAAAAGAGATCCCAGAAGTTAAAACTGGGGGATGTGTCATAGGCTCTCTTTCATCTCCATCCTAGATATTTGGTTCAGAGTGGAGACTTTTGGCCCAGGGAGTAAGAGGTGAAAAGGAACTACTTTTAAACTGTTTCTGATGCCATTTGCAAAATAAATGTGTTTATTTTCATTGATTCTTGTTACTGATAATGTAAACTGGTATATGAGGACATATTATACACACCCTATAGCCTTTATCTTATGGTTTTTTAAATTTTAAAATTTGTATATTTTTTACTTCATTTTTTGTACAATGTATGCATTTTCATCTTGGTTATAGTCTCCATACAATTCCCACCACCCTTGTGTCCACCCACTATGGAGAGCTGTGTGGAGGTTCCTCGATCTGTTAAAGGTGGAGCTTCTATATGATCCAGCAATTACACTCCTTGGTATTTACCCAAAGACACAGAAATATCAATTCAAAAGGGCACCTGCACTCTTACGGTTTATAAACAAAATACATTCCCAGGGACAGCACTGTTGTTTTGTATGGGGGGAATCACCATTTCCATATTTCATTGTGGTAAGAAATGGTGATTTTAGTTGTAAATAATGGAAAACCTGAAGCAGTTTAAGCAGTGAAGAAATATTTGTGGTATCTATAGGAATGCCTCATTTAGATGAAGGATAAAAATATACCTGAGTGGGGGAAGAAATGGAATCAGTTATTTTAAGACCATTGAGAATCCAGGGTTGATTTCTTTCTTTCTGCTGCTTTCTGCTTAGCTGCTTCATTATTTTTTTTCTGAATACCAACTTTTCTATTAAGTAATCTGTGTAGTTGGTGAAATAATGCCATATACAACTTCCAAGTACAAATGGTACATTATCAGCCACAGGGAAAGACAGAGCAAAGGGCAGGGCCATCCAAAAGGCTCTGGTGAGGAACAGGGGTTGCTTTGGTGGAGTGTGGTGTGGTAACATACATATGAAGCTTGGTGATACTATACTTCTGAATCCTACACAATATTGGAAAACAATTTTACCATAATTAAAAAATATCAGGTAGCAGATGGAATTAAGTTTGCTAGCTGACAGATTTTAAAATAGGGAGATTATAGTTCATGCTGGTGGGTACAGTATAATCTCAAGGATTCTTAAATATGGCAGTGGTAGGCAGAAGAGGAAGAGTCAGAATCAGGTGCCATGCGACAAAAATGGAAGGAGACTATGAGCCAAAGACTGTGGGCAGTGTCTAGAAGCTGGGAAAGCTTTTGGGTGTGTGGGTGGGGTGTTGAAACATTATTGTCAATTTTTTCTGATTAGTTAACTTATTAAAATGTTGGATATTAGGAATCTAGACAAATGATAAAGTAAGCACTTCAAGTATCCCTTTGATAATACTCGTTTTCTAGGCCAACTCTTGAACACAATTTGAGAGTAGTCAATTAATTCTTAAAATTTTAGCAAATGACTATTAAAGAGATAGTTCAAAATGCTGCATAAAGTAGCAACAATTTAACTGAGATAGAATTTTTAAGTAAAGCAAATATATAATTCTGTTTATACTTGAGACTAGACTGTCCTCCCACCTAATTTCAACTCTAATAAAATTTCCTCTCTCTACCTGAACAAGGGTATATGTGATCAAAACTACCAATGTTTTAGAATTTCCCTGGTGTTTAAGCATGATACTATGATAACCATAGTGTCACTGAATACATACTATTAATATATTAAAACTCTATATTAAAATAATCACGGATTAACCTACTGTCTTTTTAAAGTTATGATTTTTTTAAGCTATTTAGAATATTGAAGCTTAGTTTCCATTTGCTAGCTTCCCAATGTAAATAAACATTATTAATCAATATGTTGATATAATATTTGCACATATTATTAATATGTATCAATGCATATATAGTATATGCACTATTTCATTTGTTTAGAACTTAAAATATTCTGTATTTTATTTTTAATTCTGTCTATCATACGTCTGTCTGATATCATACATCTGGCTCCTTACTGTCCACCTAATAATATACATGCTACTTGGTGTAATAGTAAAAACCAGGCCTTCTGTGTATACCATATTTCAGCAGAATAGTAATACCTACCATTATCCAAATATTTTGTGTTTTTTTGATTCCTTTCTTTGATTATTTTGATCATCCAACCAGAATACATTCTTTCCCATGTTTTCCTTGGATAATTCTTCAAGACTATGCTCAAGTATCATTCCTTCCACAAATGCTCCCTTACATATCCATATGTACTTCATATCCATATGTACTTGTTCACTGTATCCTGATGATTCTATTCTAGCATAGAAATAGTGTGCAAATCCTCCCTTCCTTCGCATCTCCATTTTCTCTGCCTCTCTTTAGACCTTTACCATCATTGTTGGCTTCCTTTCACCCAAAAGGGTCAAACTGACAGTCAGAATAATCCTTCTAAATCTGCTGAGACATCATCTCATGACTTTGCCTAAGGCATTCCAGACTCATGAATGCATTAGACATATCACTCTTTTCTTGATAATACACACATATTTGAGATCCCACAGTGTATTCCTCCCCCGAAATATACTTTTGTGTATTTTTTACTCTCACCATTTTGGCAGGTGAATGACTTCCCCAGCTATTTCTAAAATATTTTTTTCTCTCCCATGACCCACCCAGCATTATGTTCAAATGATTGCCATAGTGTTTATTCAATATGCTTGTTTTGATCTGTCTGCTCAGTAGCAGATATGATTATCCACCAGGAATTTCTTTGGATGTCAAGGGAGATGACACAATACACTGATCTATGACTATGAATAAAGTACACTTCAAATTCACAGGTTGAAGATTCTCAGGAAGAGGTCCAGTGAGAAGGCAAGAAAGTAGAGCGGAGGAGTTGGCTTCTGATTTTCATTATAGTTAAAGGGTGGAGCTGGGTTAGGGCTTCCTAGAGTGATTAGAAGCTGTGCTGTTTGAAATTTTCCCTGAACTCAGAGGCAGAAGGAACTAGAGCCTTCTTATCTTGGTTGCTGAGATGTAGGGTAGGCTAGGAAAAGTAGTAAGTGTCTGAGAGTTGTCAACAGATATGAAAAATGGAATTGGCTCTTAATTACAATGTTTTTATTATCTACAGTTTAAGATTATGAGAAATGAAGTGAAAGGGATTTTTTTCTTTTTTTAAGAATGAGGGTATTATATATGCTTCTAGGCTGATTTGAAAGATTCCTAGAACAGGTACAATTTTATTGTCAACAAATATTTAACTTTCAAAAAATTCATTCCTTCAGCTAATTCTTATCTTCATGGTGTTTACATTCTAGAACTACAGATGTGAGAAAGATAGTTACTAAAACACAGCTCAAGAGAGCTGGTGAAGTTAAGATCAAGTCTAAACTTTCTCAAACCGAAAGGAAGGTGAAGTGCTGTGTGTTAGATTCTAGCCAATTAGTCAGAAGCAGGTTTCAAACCTGTTTTAAACAAACCAGATCTTCAGTCACCTAACACTGTCAATTCCACACAGCCATGCAAATCCCTCTTGGCTCTATAAGGATCCTCAGATCACCAAATTATCTAAAAGTCACCTACCAATATGAAATAATGGGGTCTGTGTAATATGTAAGGTTATTAAAATCTGTATTACAGAGAACATAAGAACACAAGTATACTGCTTTTCCCATAAGATTCCTAGACATCAGATGCAATCAATTATGTATCTTTTTTTATTTTTTGAAGAGTTCACTGTAGTGGCACAATACTCTGGCGATAAATTTGATACTAAAATTTTCTTTTCAAAATAGAATTCCTTATTTTGTTTTATTCAGCATTCTGAGAGTTCAAAAGATAAGGAACATTTATTAGTATGGTCAAACTGTGAAATTCATTTATAAACATCAAATATTTGTTCTATTTAGTAATCCTCTGAAACTATTAAGTTGCTGGCTTTCTTTTTATGAGCACTGGGAGTCCAAAAAGATTTAAATTCTCTAAAAGAATCCCAGAACTGTAAAGGAATTGAAGAAGGTTTAATTTATCCCAAGCATGAAAATGCATTTTGGCTTGCATATTTAAGACCTAAAAGAATTCAGTGTGAATTTAGAAAAAATCAAGAAGTTGACATAGAACATTATGGAAGCTTGCCACTTCCTTTGTTAAACCTTACAACTGTTCCACACCAGCTCTGTCCAATAGAAATATAATCTCAACCATAAATGAGAGTGATAGGTGTTATTTTAAATTTTCTAATAGAAACATTAAAATAGTAAAACACCAAGTGAAATTGATGTTAGTGATACAATTCATTTACTCAAATATTTTAAATACATTAGTCTATAACTAATGTAAAATTATTGAGGAGATATTTTACATTTTCTCATACTATTCAAAATCTGCTGCCTGTAAGTACATTTCAGTTCAGCTAGATGTATTTGAGGTATTCTGTAGCCGCACGTGGCTATTATATTGGACTACAAAGGTACAGAGTAACTACTGCCATCTGGACTTAATATTAAGGTGGAAAAATAACAAAAAATCAACCCATCGATGTGCAGCTCAAATCCCACTTCTTTCTCGAATCTTTTTCTGATCCCATCATCAGGGATTGACATTTCCTTGCATTAAGCTATTATTAAACTTCACCTTAAGCTTTCCTATGTGACATTTATTGTGTTACCTTTTATTGTTATTGTTGTACATGTGCTAAC